TTCAGGAATTTGGGGATTCAGGAATTTGGGGATTCAGGGATTCAGGAATTTGGGGGTTCAGGAATTTGGGGGTTCATGAATTTGGGGTTTCAGGGATTCATGAATTTGGGGGTTCAGGAATTTGGTGGTTCAGGGGTTCAGGAATTTGGGGGTTCAGGGATTTGGGGGTTCAGGAATTTGGGGGTTCAGGTATTCAGGAATTTGGGGGTTCAGGGATTCATGAATTTGGGGGTTCAGGGTTCAGGAATTTGGGGGTTCAGGAATTTGGGGGTTCAGGGGTTCAGGAATTCGGGGGTTCAGGGGTTCAGGGGTCCTGCGCCACCTCAGCCCCTCAGGGGCCGCATTGCCTCTCCCGGGAATGCGCCGCTCCCTGACGGGATCCCGTTCCCGCAGCTCCGGTGCCGCTGGATCCCGAGGCGCGGCCGCTGCCCCGCGGGGACACGCGGGACCCGCTCCCGCGGGCGGCGCTGGTGGCGCGGGACGCGCTGGGAGCCGGGAAGGGCTACTGGGAGGTGGAGCTGGGCCAGCAGCGGAGCTGGGCCGTGGGCGTGCTGCGGGACCCACGGCACCCACGGGAGAAACGGGATACACGGGATCCACGGGAACCACGGGACCCACGGGACCCACGGGATACACGGGATACACGGGATACACGGGACACACGGGACCCACGGGATTCACGGGACCCACGGGATACACGGGATACACGGGATACACGGGACCCACGGGACTCACGGGATACACGGGATACACGGGACACACGGGACACACGGGATACACGGGACCCACGGGACACACGGGATACACGGGATACACGGGATACACGGGATACACGGGAGAAACGGGATACACGGGACCCACGGGATACACGGGATACACGGGAACCGCGGGACCCACGGGATACACGGGATACACGGGATACACGGGACCCACGGGAGAAACGGGATACACGGGACCCACGGGACACACGGGATCCACGGGATACACGGGATACACGGGATACACGGGACCCACGGGACCCACGGGATACACGGGACCCACGGGATACACGGGACCCACGGGATACACGGGATCCACGGGACCCACGGGATACACGGGACCCACGGGATCCACGGGACCCACGGGATCCACGGGACCCACGGGACCCACGGGATACACGGGATACACGGGATCCCCGGGATCCTCGTGATCCCCAGGACCCACGGGATCCCCGGGATACACGAGATCCACGGGACCCACGGGTTCCCCGTGACCCACGGGATCCCACCAATCCCCACAATCCCCACAATCCCCACAATCCCCACGATCCCCACGATCCCCGCGATCCACGGGACCCATGGGATCCCCGCCATCCCCGGGATCTCCGCCATCCCCACCATCCTCTGGATCACCACGATTCCCGCGATCCACGGGACCCACGGGACCCACGGGACCCACGGGACCCACGGGACCCACGGGACCCACGGGATCACTACAATCCCCACAATCCCCACGATCCCCGGGACCCACGGGATCCCCGCGATCCCCGGGATCCCCCGCGCCTCTGGGCTCTCTGCGCATCCCAGGGCCGCCTCTTCTCCATCTGCCGCGCCCTCGGGGAGTATCCCCGGGATCTCTCGGTGCTGAGGGAACACCCCCGGGATCTCTCGGTGCTCGGGGAACACCCCCGGGATCTCTCGGTGCTCGGGGAACATTCCCGGGATCTCTCGGTGCTCGGGGAGCATCCCCGGGATCTCTCGGTGCTCGGGGAGCATCCCCGGGATCTCTCGGTGCTCGGGGAGCATCCCCGGGATCTCTCGGTGCTGAGGGAGCATCCCCGGGATCTCTCGGTGCTGAGGGAGCATCCCCGGGATCTCTCGGTGCTGAGGGAGCATCCCCGGGATCTCTCGGTGCTCGGGGAACATCCCCGGGATCTCTCGGTGATCGGGGATTATCCCCGGGGTCTCTCGGTGCTCGGGGTGCTCCTGGACCGGGAGAAGGCGCGGCTGGAATTCTACGACGCGGAGCGGAGGGAGCCGCTGGCCGGGATCGCCCTGGGGGATACCGCGGGAAGTTTCTTCCCGTTCGTGTCCCGCGGGGAGGAGGGAGCGCTGCGGATCCGCCCGGTGCCGCTCCCGGTGCCGCTCCCGGCGCTGGAGCCGGTGCCGGTGCCGGTCCTGGAGCCGGAGCCAGTCCCGGTGTCGGTGCCGGTGTAACTCCCAGTGTAGCGCCCAGTGTAGCTCCCGGTCCCGGTACTGGTGTCACTCCCGGTGTTGGTCCCAGTGTCAGTCCCGCTCCCGGTGCCGCTCTCGGTGTCACTCCCGGTGTCACTCCCGATGTCCCTCCCGATCCCGGTGCCAGTCCCATTCCCAGTCCTGTCCCGGTGTTGGTCCCGGTGTCGGTCCTGGTGTCAGTGCCAGTTCCGGTCCTGCTGTCAGGTCGGTCCCGGTGTCAGGTCGGTCCTGGTGCCAGTCCCGATCCTGGTGTCGGTGCCGGTCCCGGTCCCGGTGTCAGGTCGGTCCCGGTGTCATTGGAGTCCCGGTCCCAGTGCCAGTCCCGGTCCCGGTGTCATTAGAGTCCCGATCCCGGTGTCAGTCCCAGTCCCGGTGTCGGTCCCGATCCTGGTGTCGGTGCCGGTCCTGGTCCCAGTGCCAGTCCCAGTCCCGGTGTCATTGGACTCCCGGTGCCAGTCCCAGTCCCGGTGCCAGTCCCAGTCCCGGTGCCAGTCCCAGTCCCGGTGCCAGGTCGGTCCCGGTGCCAGTCCCGGTCCCGGTGCCGGTCCCGGTCCCGGTGCCAGTCCCGATCCTGGTGTCAGTCCCGGTCCCAGTGTCAGGTCGGTCCCGGTGTCAGGTCGGTCCCGGGGTCATTGGAGTCCCGGTCCCAGTGCCGGTCCCGGTCCCGGGGCCAGCCCCGGTCCCGGTGTCAGTGCCGGTCCCGATGTCAGGTCGGTCCCGGTGTCATTGGAGTCCCGGTGCCAGTCCCGATCCCGGTGCCGGTCCCGGTCCCGGTGTCAGTGCCGGTCCCGGTCCCGGTGCCGGTTCCAGTCCCGGTGTCAGGTTGGTCCCAGTGTCATTGGAGTCCCGGTCCCGGTTTCAGGTCGGTCCCGGTGTCAGTCCCGATCCCGGTGTCAGTCACAGTCCCAGTGCCAGTCCCGGTCCCGGTATCAGGTCGGTCCCGGTGCCAGTCCCGGTGTCGGTGCCAGTCCCGGTCCCGGTGCCAGTCCCGGTCCCGGTGCCGCTCCCGGCACTTCTTTGCGCCCCGGGGATCGGGATCGGGAAGGGCTCCGTCCGTGGGAAGGGAAATTTTGGGTGTCGGGACTGAAAAATGAAACGGGAGCGAAGCTGCCGGGGGGAGTTCAAAAAGTGAAAGTGGGAATAAGCAAAATAAAAATGAAATAACAGCTTTAAAAATTAATTTAATTTTTAAAAATAAATTTAAAGAAAAAATTAAAATTAAATTAAAAAATCTAAAAATAAAATTTAAGGAAATAAAATGAAATTAAATCAAATAAAATCAGATTAAATTCAATTTTAAAACACAACAAAATAAAATAATAAAGTAAAAGAGTAAAGTAAAATAAAATGAGATGAAAAAAAAATAAGGGGAAAGGGAGGAAAAGAAAAAAGGGGAGAAGGTGGAAAAGGAAAAAAGTGGAATAAAAGGGAGAAAAAGGCAGAAAAGGAAAAAAGAAAAGAAAAGAAAAGAAAAGAAAAGAAAAGAAAAGAAAAGAAAAGAAAAGAAAAGAAAGAAAAGAAAAGAAAAGAAAAGAAAAGAAAAGAAAAGAAAAGAAAAGAAAGAAAAGAAAAGAAAAGAAAAGAAAAGAAAAGAAAAGAAAGAAAAGAAAAGAAAAGAAAGAAAAGAAAAGAAAAGAAAAGAAAAGAAAAGAAAGAAAAGAAAAGAAAAGAAAGAAAAGAAAAGAAAAGAAAAGAAAGAAAAGAAAAGAAAAGAAAAGAAAAGAAAAGAAAAGAAAAGAAAAGAAAAGAAAAGAAAAGAAAAGAAAAGAAAAGAAAAGGTGAATTCTCCCAGATGTTTTTTTGTTTGTTTTTTTGGGATTTTAATGAATAAATGAGTTAAATTTGCTTTAAAGGAAAAATTCAAATTGCAGTTTCGAGTCCTTTTCCTTTAACCTTCAGCTCACAGAAGTGGTGCAGGGAAAGGAGTTAAGAGGAATTTTGCCCAAAATTGGAATTTATTTGGGTTTTTTTCCTGCTCTGTGGATTTTTTTTTTCCTCAAATCCCTTGGGACTGGGGGTTCCTGGATGAAACTTAACTTTTCACCGAATTTCCGGGGGAAAAAACCCAATTTTCACCGATTTCCCTGGAAAAAACCCCAATTTTCACAGGAAATAAACACTGATTTTCACTGATTTTCCTGGAAAAAAAAAACCCAATTTTCACTGATTTTCCTATGAAAATCACAATTTTCACCTAATTTCCTAAAAAAAAATCCAAATTTTGCCCATTTTCCTGGAAAAACCCAAGTTTTCACTGATTTTCCTGGGAAAAAAAAAAACAAACAACCAGATTTTCACCAATATTCCGGGAAAAAAAAACCAATTTTTACTCATTTTCCTGGATAACCCCCCGATTTTCACTGATTTTCCTCTAAAAACCCCAATTTTCACCGAAATTCCTGGTAAAACCCCAATTATCACAGATTTTCCTAGAAAAAACCCGATTTTATACTGATTTTCGTGGATAAAAATTCCAATTTTCACCCCCGAACCGCCCACTCCCGCTCAGGCCCCGCCTCCTCACGATTCTCGCGCTCCCATTGGTTTAAAGCTCTGTCAATCATTTTTCAGACCCAGCCCACTTAGGGGCGTGCCCTCCCATTTGTGCCACGCCTCTTTGCCACAACTCGCCCTCCCATTGGCTGATCGCGCTGTCAATCTCAGCCATGTGGGCGTGGCCTCCCCGTAATTGACAGCGCGCTCGCCCAATGAGGGGCGGAGCTTCGCCGCTTCCCCGACGTACGGCGGGGCCGGGGGGGGGAATTTGGGGAGGGGGGGGAAATTTGGGGTCCCCGGGACCCCCCCGGGACCCCCCGAGCCCCACCGGGACCCCTCGGGGGCGGGGCCGGGCCCGGCCGCTCGGGCTCTTTGTGTCGGCGAGCGGCGGGCGAGGGGCCGGGCCCGGCCGGGGGGGCCGCGGGAGGGACCCCCAGGTCTGAACGGGGGGGACCCCCCGGGTTTGGGGGGTGGGGGGCAGCACCCCCAGTCTGGGGGGCTGGAAATGGGAGGGGCTGGGGGGCTGGAAATGGGGGGTCCGGGGGGCTGCGGGATCCCCAGGTTGGGGGGAGGCTTCAGGGCGGGGAGAGAGTCGGGGACCCCCAGGATTTGGGGGTGGGGGCAGCACCCCCAGTCTTGGGGGGCTGGAAATGGGAAGGGCTGGGGGGCTGGAAAATGGGGGGGGCGGGGCAGGATCCCTGGTCTGGGGGGGCTGCGGGACCCCCAGGTTGGGGGGAGGCTTCAGGGCGGGGAGGGAGTTGGGGACCCCCAGGATTTGGGTGTGGGGGCAGCACCCCCAGTCTGGGGGGGCCGCGGGACCCAGGGTTGGGGGGAATGGGAAGGGACGGGGGGGCTGCGGGACCCCCAGGTTGGGGGGGTTTTCAGGGCGGGGAGGGAGTTGGGGACCCCCAGGATTTGGGGGGGTGGGGGCAGCACCCCCAGTCTGGGGGGGCTGCAGGGGTGGGAGGGGCTTGGGGGTGCTGCGGGACCCCCAGGTTTGGGAGGGGTTTCAGGGCGAGGAGGGAGGACTGCGGGACCCCCAGGTTTGGGGGGGCTGCGGGGTCGGGACCCCAATTTCGGCATTATAAAAATCTCTGGTTCTGGGGGGGATTGGAGCCGGGGTGGGGGTTGATTTTGGGGTGAGGGGGGGTCTTTCCTTCAGCAGCCCCTGTCCCCCCTCCCCAGCTCCACGTCTGGGGCAGGATGGAGCCGCCCCCTCCCCGGCCGCGCTGCAGACCCCCGGAGGGGGACGCGGGGGTGGCGGGGGGCTGCCCGCTCCGCCCGGCCCCCGGTGCTCCGGGCGGTGCCGGTACCGAGCTGCGGCGGCTCCGGTTCCGGCAGTTCCGCTACCAGGAGGCGGCGGGGCCGCGGGACGTGTGGCGGAGGCTGCGGGAGCTGTCGCGGCGCTGGCTGCGGCCCGAGGAGCGCAGCAAGGAGCAGATCATGGAGCTGCTGGTGCTCGAGCAGTTCCTCAGCATCCTGCCCGAGGAGATCCAGAGCTGGGTGTGGGTGCGGCACCCCGAGTCCTGCGCGCAGGCCGTGGCCTTGGCCGAGAGCTTCCAGCTGGGACGAGGCGATCCCGACGGGATTTGGGAGCAGCAGGTGCGAGCGGGTCCGGATTGTGGGGTGCTGACCCCTAAAACTGGGAATAATTGGTTCCCCAATTACATCCCTCCCACTCCTGCTCATTCCCAAGAAAAAACCCAACACTGCTGCTGGAAAGGGGGTTTTGGTGCCTAAATCCCCTTGGCAGCTTTTGGGACCTGGGCACCAGGACAGCAGCTGGGAGTGGGTCCGGATTTTGGGGTGCTGAACCCTAAAAATGGGAATAATTGGTTCTCCCCTTACCCACTCCTGCTCATTCCCAAGAAAAAACCCAACGCTGAGGCTGCCAAGGGGCTGGAAATCCCCTTGGCAGATTTTGGGACCTGGGCACCAGGACAGCAGCTGGGAGTGGGTCCAGATTTTGGGGTGCTGATCCCTAAAATTGGGAATAATTGGTTCTCCCTTTACATCCCTCCCACTCCTGCTCATTCCCAAGAAAAAAAAAAAACAACAAAATTGAGGCTGGAAAGGGGGTTTTGGTGCCTAAATCCCCTTGGCAGATTTTGGGGACCTGGGCACCAGGACAGCAGCTGGGAGCCGGTCCGGATTGTGGGGTGCTGACCCCTAAAACTGGGAATAATTGGTTCCCCCCTTACCCACTCCTGCTCATTCCCAAGAAAAAAAACAAAATTGAGACTGAAAAGGGAGATGTGGTGCCTAAATCCCCTTGGCAGATTTTGGGACCTGGGCACCAGGACAGCAGCTGGGAGTGGGTCCGGATTTTGGGGTGCTGACCCTAAAATTGGGAATAATTGGTTCTCCCCTTACATTCCTCCCACTCCTGCTCATTGCCAAGAAAAAACCCAACACTGAGGCTGGAAAGGTGGTTGTGGTGCCTAAATCCCCTTGGCAGCTTTTGGGACCTGGGCACCAGGACAACAGCTGGGAGTGGGTCCAGATTTTGGGGTGCTGATCCCTAAAACTGGGAATAATTGGTTCCCCCCTTACCCACTCCTGCTCATTCCCACGAATAAAAAAACCCAACACTGAGGCTGAAAGGGGGTTTTGGTGCCTAAATCCCCTTGGCAGCTTTTGGGACCTGGGCACCAGGACAGCAGCTGGGAGTGGGTCCGGATTTTGGGGTGCTGACCCCTAAAACTGGGAATAATTGGTTCTCCCCTTACCCACTCCTGCTCATTCCCAAGAAAAAACCCAACACTGAGGCTGGAAAGGGGGTTTTGGTGCCTAAATCCCCTTGGCAGATTTTGGGACCTGGGCACCAGGACAGCAGCTGGGAGCAGGTCTGGATTTTGGGGTGCTGATCCATAAAATTAGGAATAATTGGTTCCCCCCTTACATTCCTCCCTCCTTCTCATTCCCAAGAAAAAAAATTCCAAATTGAGACTGAAAAGGGAGATGTGGTGCCTAAATCCCCTTGACAGCTTTTGGGACCTGGGCACCAGGACAGCAGCTGGGAGTGGGTCCGGATTTTGGGGTGCTGATCCCTAAAATTGGGATTAACTGGTTCCCCCCCCACCCCCAATTACATTCCTCCCACTCCAGCCCATCCCTACTCATTCCCAAGAAAAAAACCCCAAATTGAGACTGAAAAGGGAGATGTGGTGCCTAAATCCCCTTGGCAGATTTTGGGACCTGGGCACCAGGACAGCAGCTGGGAGTGGGTCTGGATTTTGGGGTCCTGACCCCTAAAACTGGGAATAATTGGTTCTCCCCTTACATTCCTCCCACTCCTGCTCATTCCCAAGAAAAAAAAACAAAATTGAGGCTGGAAAGGGGGTTTTGGTGCCTAAATCCCCTTTGCAGATTTTGGGACCGGGGCACCAGGACAGCAGCTGGGAGCAGTTCTGGATTTTGGGGTCCTGACCCTAAAACTGGGAATAATTGGTTCTCCCCTTACATTCCTCCCACTCCTGCTCATTCCCAAGAAAAAACCCAAAACTGAGGCTGGAAAGGGGGTTTTGGTGCCTAAATCCCCTTGGCAGATTTTGGGGACCTGGGCACCAGGACAGCAGCTGGGAGTGGGTCTGGATTGTGGGGTCCTGACCCCTAAAACTGGGAATAATTGGTTCTCCCCTTACCCACTCCTGCTCATTCCCAAGAAAAAAAAAACAAAATTGAGGCTGAAAAGGGAGATGTGGTGCCTAAAACCCCTTGGCAGATTTTGGAGACCTGGGCACCAGGACAGCAGCTGGGAGTGGGTCCAGATTTTGGGGTCCTGACCCCTAAAACTGGGAATAATTGGTTCTCCCCTCACATTTTTCCCACTCCTGCTCATTCCCAAGAAAAAAAAAAAAACAAAATTGAGACTGAAAAGGGAGATGTGGTGCCTAAATCCCCTTCGCAGCTTTTGGGACCTGGGCACCAGGACAGCAGCTGGGAGCAGGTCTGGATTTTGGGGTGCTGATCCCTAAAATTGGGAATAATTGGTTCTCCCCTCACATTCTTCCCACTCCTGCTCATTCCCAAGAAAAAAAACCAAAATTGAGGCTGGAAAGGGGGTTGTGGTGCCTAAATCCCCTTGGCAGCTTTTTGGGGTCCTGGGCACCCAAAACCCTTTTGGGGACTTTGGGGATCTCCAGCACACAAATTCCCCCAGGAGATTTTAGGGTTCCTGGCACCCAAAATCCCCTCTGGGGCTCCCAAACCCCCTCAGCATCTTTTGGGGGTCCCCAGCCCCCAAAACTTGGAGAACCTTTGGGGGTCCCAGGCACCCAAATCCCCCCCACACCTCCAGGGGATCCCCAGCACCCAAATCCCCTCTGCAGCTTTTTAGGGGTTCCCAAAATCTCCTTTTGGGGGTCCTGGGCACCCAAATTCCCCTCTGGGGATCCCCAAAACCGTTTTAGAGCTTCTGAGGGTGCCCAGATCCCCTCGGCAGCTCCGTGTCCCCCCAGGTGACCGTGCGGGTGAAGGTGGAGGATGTGGCCCCCGGGGATGTGGAGGACCCCGGAGCTTTGGGGGTCCCCCCGAGCCCCCCATCGGAGTCCCCCCGGGAGGAGGCGGCCGAGGAGGAGGAGGAGCCACGGGAAGGAGGTACCGGGATGGGGCAGCAGAACCTTCGGCCACCCCAAAAACGGGGTGGGGGTGGTGCCACTGGAGCTGGGGGAGCTTGGAGGTGGTGGGACCCAGAAGTCATCTCAGTGGCCCAGAAATCATCTCCTGGGGGTCCAAAAACCCAAATCCTGGGTCAAAACCCTAAGTCCTGGGGTCAAAAACCATCTTGGTGGACCAAAAACTCAAGTCCTGGGTCAAAACCCCAAATCCTGGGGTCAAAAAACCATCTTGGTGGACCAGAAATGCAAATCCTGGGGTCCAAAATTATCTTGATGGACCAAAAATCCAAATCCTGAGGTCAAAAACAACCTCAGTGGACCAAAAAGCCAAATCCTGGGGTCAAAAACCATATTGATGTACCAAAAATCCAAACCCTGGGGTCAAAATCCCAAATCCTGGGGTCAAAAATCATCTTGATGGACCAAAACCCCAAATCCTCTGGTCAAATTCATCTTGATGGACCAAAAACTCAAATCCTGGGTCAAAAACTGTCCCTTTGGGCATGAAACCATCTCCTTGGGACAAAATCAACTTTTTGGGGTCAAAAACCATTTCCTCGGCTCAAAACCATCTCCCCGGGTCAGAAGCCATCTCCTTGGGTGAAAAACCACCTCTTTAGGCTCCAAACCCACCTTGTTTGGGCTACAAAACATCTCTTTGCATTCAAAACCATCTTCTCGGGATCAGAAACCATTTTGGGCTCCAAAACCATCTCCTTGGGTTCCAAACCCATCTCCATGGGCTCCAAATCATCTCCTTGGGTTCCAAAACCATCTCCATGGGCTCCAAATCATCTCCTTGGGTTCCAAACCCATCTCCTCGGCTCCAAACCCATCTCCTTGGATCAAATCCATCTCCTTGGGCTCCAAACCCATCTCCTTGGGTCAAACCCATCTCCTTGGGCCAAACCCATCTCCTTGGGCCAAACCCATCTCCTTGGCTCCAAACCCATCTCCTTGGGCTCCAAACCCATCTCCTGGGTTCCAAAACCATCTCCTTGGCACCAAACCCATCTCCTTGGGCTCCAAACCCATCTCCTTGGGCACCAAACCCATCTCCTTGGCTCCAAACCCATCTCCTTGGGCCAAACCCATCTCCTGGGCTCCAAACCCATCTCCTTGGGCACCAAACCCATCTCCTTGGGCACCAAACCCATCTCCTTGGCTCCAAACCCATCTCCTTGGCTCCAAACCCATCTCCCTTGGCCAAACCCATCTCCTTGGGCACCAAACCCATCTCCTTGGGCTCCAAACCCATCTCCTTGGTTCCAAACCCATCTCCTTGGGCACCAAACCCATCTCCTTGGTTCCAAACCCATCTCCTTGGCTCCAAACCCATCTCCTTGGTTCCAAACCCATCTCCTTGGCTCCAAACCCATCTCCTTGGCTCCAAACCCATCTCCTTGGGCACCAAACCCATCTCCTTGGGCACCAAACCCATCTCCTTGGGCTCCAAACCCATCTCCTTGGCTCCAAACCCATCTCCTTGGGCTCCAAACCCATCTCCTTGGCTCCAAACCCATCTCCTTGGCTCCAACCCATCTCCTTGGGCCAAACCCATCTCCTTGGTTGAAGCCCCACCTGACTGGAGGTCCAGCCTCACCCTTGCCCTGGTGGCCCCCCATGGGTGGATTTGGGGGTCAGCGGTGGCCGCCGAACCCTCCGTACCCCGTTGGACCTTCTCACCCCCCACAGATCCCACCACGGTCCCGGAGCCGCCTGTTCCCCATCCCCACGACACGCGGCGAGGATCCCCCCGGCGCCAAACCCGGCGAGACCCCGGTGGTGGCATCGCGCCGGACACCGCGAGCGCGGCCGGACCACCGGCACGACCGTTCCCCTGCGGCCAATGCGGCAAAACCTTCGTCCGCCTGACCCACCTGAAGAGCCACGAGCGGACGCACACGGGGGCGAAGCCGTACGGCTGCGGCGCCTGCGGCAAACGCTTCGGCCACCTGTCCACGCTGACCACGCACCGGCGGCTGCACACCGGCGAGCGGCCCTACGGCTGCGGCCACTGCGGCAAGAGCTTCACCAACCCCTCGGACCTCACCAAGCACCGGCGGTCGCACACGGGCGAGCGGCCGTACCCGTGCCCGGCATGCGGCAAACGCTTCAGCCAACGGTCCAACCTGGCCATGCACCGGCGCAGCCACACGCAGGAGCGGCCGTTCCCCTGCGGCGCCTGCGGCAAGAGCTTCAGGTACCTGGCGGACCTGAGGGTGCACGAGCGCTCGCACACGGGCGAACGGCCCTTCCCCTGCGCCCGCTGCGGCAAGAGCTTCAGCAACAAGTCCTCGCTGGCGCGGCACGCCCGCATCCACGCCCGCGCGGCCAACTGGGACAAGTAATGGTGACCGGGGGTGGTGGAGCACCCTGAGGGTGGCCCACGGGGTGGTGGCTCGGCGGGGCTGGAGATGGAGTGAGGTGGTGGGGCCAGGACGGTGCTGAGGTGGGGCAAACATGGATGACGATGGACGTGAGCTGATGTGTGACTCCATAATCCCAATGCCTGCTCCAGGAGATCCAACATGGGTGGTGGAACATCCCCCATCACTGGAGGCTCCATGGTCCCATTCCCTGCTCCTGGAGATCCCATGTGGGTGGTGGGATGTCCCTCATGACCTGGTGGCTCCATGATCCCATTCAGAGTTCCAGAAGGGGTGTTGGGACATCTCCCATGTCCTGGTGGCTCCATGATCCCATTCCCTGCTCCAGGAGATCCCACGTGGGTGGTGGAACATCCCCCATCACTGGTGGCTCCATGATCCCACTCACAGAGTTCCAGAAGGGGTGTTGGGACATCCCCCATGACCTGGTGGCTCCATGATCCCATTCCCTGCTCCCCAAGATCCCACGTGGGTGGTGGGATGTCCCCCATGACCTGCTGGCTCCATGATGCCATTCACAGAGTTCCAGAAGGGGTGTTGGGACATCCCCCATGTCCTGATGGCTCCATGGTCCCATTCCCTGCTCCTGGAGATCCCATGTGGGTGTTGGGACATCCCCCATGTCCTGGTGGCTCCATGATCCCATTCCCTGCTCCCCGAGATCCCACATGGGTGGTGGGATGTCCCCCATGACCTGGTGGCTCCATGATCCTGTTCCCTGCTCCCATGGGTGGGATTGATGTCCCCCTGGAGCTGGTGGCCCCAGGACTGTCCAGAGGTGGATCAAACATGGATGTGGGTGGACGTGAGCTGATGTTTGACTCCACAATCCCGATCCCTGCTCCAGGAGATCCGACATGGGTGGTGGGATGTCCCCCATGACCTGCTGGCTCCATGATCCCACTCCCTGACCCCCGAGATCCCACAGGGCTGGTGGGACCATGACTGACGGGCCCCATGAACTGGTGGCTCCAGGTCTTGGCTCTCTGCTCCTGGAGATGGGAGCGAGGTGGTGGGGCCAGGACGGTGCTGAGGTGGATCAAACATGGATGAGGATGGACGTGAGCTGATGTTTGACTCCATAATCCCGATCCCTGCTCCAGGAGATCCGACATGGGTGGTGGGATGTCCCCCATGACCTGGTGGCTCCATGATCCCATTCACAGAGTTCCAGAAGGGGTGTTGGGACATCTCCCATGACCTGGTGGCTCCATGATCCCACTCCCTGCTCCAGGAGATCCGACATGGGTGATGGGATGTCCCCCATGACCTGGTGGCTCCATGATCCCATTCCCTGCTCCTGGAGATCCCATGTGGGTGGTGGAACATCCCCCATGACCTGGTGGCTCCATGATCCCACTCACAGAGTTCCAGAAGGGGTGTTGGGACATCCCCCATGTCCTGGTGGCTCCGTGATCCCATTACCTGATCCCCCGAGATCCCACAGGGCTGGTGGGACCATGACTGATGGGCCCCATGAGCCTGGTGGCTCCAGGTCTTGGCTCTCTGCTCCCGGAGATGGGAGCGAGGTGGTGGGGCCAGGACGGTGCTGAGGTGGGGCAAACATGGATGAGGATGGACGTGAGCTGATGTTTGATGTCCCCCATGACCTGGTGGCTCCATGGTCCCATTCACAGAGTTCCAGAAGGGGTGTTGGGACATCCCCCATGTCCTGGTGGCTCCAGGTCTTGGCTCTCTGCTCCTGGAGATGGAGCGAGGTGGTGGGGACAGGACGGTGCTGAGGTGGGGCAAACATGGATGAGGATGGACGTGAGTTGATGTTTGACTCCATAATCCCGATCCGTGCTCCAGGAGATCCGACATGGGGGGTGGGACGTCCCCCATGACCGGGTGGCTCCATGATCCCATTTGCTGCTCCCCAAGATCCCACATGGGTGGTGGGACCATGACTGATGGGCCCCATGACCCGGTGGCTCCATGATCCCATTCACAGAGTTCCAGAAGGGGTGTTGGGACATCTCCCATGTCCTGGTGGCTCCATGATCCCATTCCCTGCTCCTGGAGATCCCACGTGGGTGGTGGAACATCCCCCATGACCTGGTGGCTCCATGGTCCCATTCACAGAGTTCCAGAAGGGGTGTTGGGACATCCCCCATGACCTGGTGGCTCCATGATCCCATTCCCTGACCCCCGAGATCCCACAGGGCTGGTGGGACCATGACTGATGGGCCCCGTGAACTGGTGGCTCCATGATCCCATTCCCTGCTCCCCGAGATCCCACGTGGGTGGTGGGAATGTCCCCCATGACCTGGTGGCTCCATGATCCCTTTCCCTGCTCCAGAAGGTCCAACACTGGCTCGGGGGTATCCCCCATGACCTGGTGGCTCCATGATCCTGTTCCCTGCTCCCATGGGTGGGATTGATGTCCCCCCCGGAGCTGGTGGCCCCAGGACTGTCCGGAGGTGGATCAAACATGGATGAGGATGGACGTGAGCTGATGTTTGACTCCATAATCCCGATCTGTGCTCCAGGAGATCCGACATGGGTGGTGGGATGTCCCCCATGACCTGATGGCTCCATGATCCCATTCCCTGCTCCTGGAGATCCCACGTGGGTGGTGGGACATCTCCCATGACCTGGTGGCTCCATGATCCCATTCACAGAGTTCCAGAAGAGGTGTTGGGACATCCCCCATGTCCTGGTGGCTCCATGATCCCATTCCCTGCTCCCCGAGATCCCACATGGGTGGTGGGATGTCCCCCATGACCTGGTGGCTCCATGATCCCATTCCCTGCTCCTGGAGATCCCATGTGGGTGGTGGAACATCCCCCATCACTGGTGGCTCCATGGTCCCATTCACAGAATTCCAGAAGGGGTGTTGGGACATCCCCCATGACCTGGTGGCTCCATGATCCTGTTCCCTGCTCCCATGGGTGGGATTGATGTTCCCCCGGAGCTGATGGCCCCAGGACTGTCCAGAGGTGGATCAAACATGGATGAGGGTGGACGTGAGCTGATGTTTGACTCCACAATCCCGATCCCTGCTCCAGGAGATCCCACATGGGTGGTGGGATGTCCACCATGACCTGGTGGCTCCATGATCCTGTTCCCTGCTCCAGGAGATCCCACATGGGTGGTGGAACATCCCCCATCACTGGTGGCTCCATGATCCCATTCCCTGATCCCCAAGATCCCACGTGGGTGGTGGGATGTCCACCATGACCTGGTGGCTCCATGATCGCATTCCCAGTTCCCCAGGGACACGCCACCCCCAAGATCCATTTGCATCCCTTTTTTTTTTGGGCTTTTTCCCCATTTTCCCTTCACTTCCAAAATCCCTTTTTGGGCAGAAAATGGGAAATTAAGATGGAAAATGCCACTTTTTCCTGCATTTGGATGGGGATGAAGGTTCTGCCAAGAGAACCAAAACTATGGGAGAAAAACCAAAAATATGGGAGGAGAACCAAAATATGGGAGAAAACCCAAAAATATTGGAGAAAACCCAAAAATATTGGAAAAAAACCCAAAAATCTTGGAGAAAAAAAAAACTAAAGTACAGGAGAAAAACCAAAAATATGGGAGAAACCCCAAAAATATTGGCGAAAAACCAAAAATATTGGAGAAAAAAACTTAAAGTACAGGAGAAAAACCAAAAATATGGGAGAAGAAACAAAAATATGGGAGAAAAAATAAAAGGAGAAAAACCATAAAAAAACCACCCAAAACTCAAAGGTTTTCCTGGGTTTCACTAAAAAAGTCCCAAAACCCAAAGGGTTTTCTTGGATTCCAGGAAAAAAAAAATCCCAAAATTCCAAGGGTTTCAGGAAAAACAAAAAAAAATCCCCAAATCTTGAGGGTTTTTGTGGGTTTTATAAAAAAATCCCCAAAATGCAAAGGTTTTCTTGGGTTTCAGAGAAATTATCCCAAAATCCCAAAGGTTTTCCTGGGTTTCAGAGACAAAATCCCCAAATCCCAAAGGTTTTCAGGGAAAAATAATCCCCAAATCCCGAGGGTTTTTCTGGGTTTCAGTAAAAAAAAAATCCCCAAAATCCCGAGGGTTTTCCTGGGTTTCAGTTAAAAAAATCCCCAAATCCCAAAGGTTTTCAGGGAAAAAAATCCCCAAAATCCTGACGGTTTTTCCTGGGTTTGAGACAAAATTCCCAAAATCCTGAGGGTTTTCTTGGGTTTCACTAAAAAAAAAAAAAAATATCCCCAAATCCCGAGGGTTTTCCTGGGTTTCAGGGAAAAAAATCCCCAAATCCCAAAGGTTTTCAGGGAAAAAAGTCCCCAAATCCCAAAGGTTTTCAGGGGAAAAAAAATCCCCAAATCCCGAGGGTTTTCCTGGGTTTCACTAAAATAATCCCGAGGGTTTTCCTGGGTTTTAGAGACAAAATCCCCAAATCCCAAAGGTTTTCAAGGAAAAAAATCCCCAAATCCCGAGGGTTTTTCTGAGTTTCAGAGACAAAATTCCCAAATCCCAAAGGTTTTCAGGGAAAAAAAATCCCCAAATCCCGAAGGTTTTCAGAGACAAAATCCCCAAAATCCTGAGGGTTTTCTTGGGTTTAACAAAAAAAAAAAAAAAATCCCCAAATCCCGCGGGTTTTCCTGTGTTTCGCTAAAATAATCCCAAAATTCCGAGGGTTTTCCTGGGTTTCAGAGACGAAATCCCCAAAATCCCGAGGGTTTTCCTTAGTTTCACTAAAAAAAATTCCCAAATCCCGAGGGTTTTCCTGGGTTTCAGGACAAAAATCCCCAAAACACAAAAGTTTTCTCAGGTTTCACTAAAAAAATCCCCAAATCCCAGAGGTTTTCAGGGAAAAAAATCCCCAAATCCCGAGGGTTTTTCTGGGTTTCACTAAAATAATCCCCAAATCCCGAGGGTTTTCCTGGGTTTCAGAGACAAAATCCCCAAAATTCCAAAGGTTTTCAGGGAAAAAAAATCCCCAAATCCCGAGGGCTTTCCTGGGTTTTAGGGACAAAATCCCCAAAATCCCGAGGGTTTTCCTGGGTTTCACTAAAAAAATCCCCAAATCCCAAAGGTTTTCAGGGAAAAAAATCCCCAAATCCCGAGGGTTTTCTGGGTTTCACTAAAAAAAATCCCCAAATCCCGAGGGTTTTCCTGGGTTTCAGAGACAAAATCCCCAAATCCCAAAGGTTTTTAGGGAAAAAAATCCCCAAATCCCAAAGGTTTTCAAGGAAAAAAATCCCCAAATCCCGAAGGTTTCCAGGGACAAAATCCCCAAAATCCTGAGGGTTTTTCCTGGGTTTCACTAAGAAAAATCCCCAAATCCCAAAGGTTTTCAGTGAAAATAATCCCCAAACCCCGAGGGTTTTCCTGGGTTTCACTAAAAAAAAATCCCCAAAAATCCTGAGGGTTTTCTTGCGTTTCACTAAAAAAAAAAATCCCCAAATCCCGAGGGTTTTCCTGGGTTTCACTAAAAAAAATCCCCAAATCCCAAAGGTTTTCAGGGAAAAAAATCTCCAAAATCCCGAGGGTTTTCTTGGGTTTCACTAAAAGAAAATTCCCAAATCCCGAAGGTTTTCCTGGGTTTCAGTTAAAAAAATCCCCAAATCCCAAAGGTTTTCAGGGAAAAAAATACCCAAATCCCGAGGGTTTTCCTGGGTTATAGGGACAAACTCCCCAAATCCCAAAGGTTTTCAGGGAAAAAAATCCCCAAATCCCGAGGGTTTTCCTGGGTTATAGGGACAAAATTCCCAAATCCCAAAGGTTTTCAGGGAAAAAAATCCCCAAATCCCGAGGGTTTTCAGAGACAAAATCCCCAAAATCCTGACGGTTTTTCCTGGGTTTCACTAAAAGAAAATCCCCAAATCCCGAGGGTTTTCCTGGGTTTCACTAAAAAAAATCCCCAAATCCCAAAGGTTTTTCTGGGTTTCAGTAAAAAAAAAAAAAAGATCCCCAAATCCCAAAGGTTTTCAGGGAAAAAAATCCCCAAATCCCGAGGGTTTTTCTGGGTTTGAGACAAAATTCCCAAATCCCGAGGGTTTTCCTGGGTTTCAGAGACAAAATCCCCAAAATCCTGAGGATTTTCTTGGGTTTCACTAAAAAAAAAAAAAAATCCCCAAATCCCAAAGGTTTTCAGGGAAAAAATCCCCAAAATCCTGAGGGTTTTCCTGGGTTTCACTAAAAAAAAAAAATCCCCAAATCCCGAGGGTTTTCCTGGGTTTAGAGACAAAATCCCCAAAATCCCGAAGGTTTTCCTGGGTTTCACTAAAAAAAAATCCCCAAATCCCGAGGGTTTTCCTGGTTTCAGAGACAAAATCCCCAAATCCCGAAGGTTTTCAGGGGAAAAAACCCCCAAATCCCGAGGATTTTCAGAGACAAAATCCCCAAAATCCTGAGGGTTTTCTTGGGTTTCACTAAAAAAATTCCCCAAACCCCGAGGGTTTTTCTGGGTTTCAGTAAAAAAAAAAAAAAAAAAAGATCCCCAAATCCCAAAGGTTTTCAAGGAAAAAAATCCCCAAATCCCGAGGGTTTTCCTGGGTTTCAGGGGAAAAAAATCCTCAAAATCCTGAGGGTTTTCCTGGGTTTCACTAAAATAATCCCCAAATCCCGAGGGTTTCCCTGGGTTTCAGAGACAAAATCCCAAAAATCCTGAGGGTTTTCTTGCGTTTCACTAAAAAAAAAATCCCCAAATCCCAAAGGTTTTCAGGGAAAAAAATCCCCAAAATCCTGAGGGTTTTCCTGGGTTTCGCTAAAAAAAAGATCCCCAAATCCCAAAGGTTTTCAAGGAAAAAAATCCCCAAATCCCGAGGGTTTTCCTGGTTTCAGAGACAAAATCCCGAAACCCCGAGGGTTTTTTGGGTTCCCCGGTGGTGTTGTTGGATTTTTGGGGAGAAAAGCGGACACTCCTCCATCCAACGCCGTTTTCTGCATTTTGGGGTTCCCTTTATGCCGCAGAAGCCGAACGCGCGGAAAGGCGGAAAAGCCGCGCCGCATCCGAGCGCCTCCGTGGATTTGCGGGTTTTTTTTGGGGGGAAAAGCTGAATTTTGGGGTTCACACTCAGTTCGGGCACGGTGGGAGATCAGCGAGTGGGTGGCAACGCTCCAGACCCGCGCGGGCACCGGTGACCGCGGAGCTCCGCGCCCAACCGGCCACGGCGGCGCGGTGCGGGCGGCCGGAGCGGAACGCGCGGGTCAACCGCGCCGAGAAGGGGACGCGGATCTCCCGCCGGAGCCCGCGGAGAACCGCGGAGCACTCGGAGCGTGCCGGCACCTCCAGCCGCACGCGGTGGCTCCGCGACACGAACTCGGTGAGGCTGGCACCGCCCGCCCAGGGCACGGAGGTGACATTGCCCGGGTGCCACCCGCCCCGCTCGGGCAGCAGCAGCGGGGCAGCGCGGAGCACCCCGCGGGCGGCCGCCAGCGCCGGCAGCTCGGCGCTCCAGCCGTGCTCCACCTCGCTGAGCTCCTCCAAGGTGACGGATCTATCAGCCACCTCGCATCCATCGTTCCTCAGCAGCACCGCGGTCAGCTCCGCCGGCTCCGCGCTCTCCCTCACCGCGCTGCCGTTGTAGGAAACGTCGGAGATGGAGACACCAACCGCGCCCTGCCGCACCACCAGCACCTGGTACCACTTGTACCAAACCTCCTCCCCGTCCACGGCCACGAAAAGCGCCTCCTGCTCCTTGGAGGCTTTGCCCAGCCCGTCCGGGCTGCGGCCCACGAAGAGGTCGGTGAGCGGACAGGCCTCCACGGCGCCCTCGGGGGCGCTGCCGAAGGATGTGTCCACCCAGTCGAGCGCCTCGAAGCCGCCGGGGTTGAGCAGGAGGTGGAAGTCGGAGCCGCGGAGCTCCTGCTCGGCCCAGGCGAAGGAGCAGAAGGAGCCGCGGGCGGGGTCGAAGGCGCCCAACTCGCAGCCGCGGGTGGAGCAGACGAACTCGGTCCGGCCCGTGCGGGGGTTGGGGCTGGACACGGCCTCGGCCGGGATGCGGCCCCGGAACGGAGCCCAGAGCAGCCAGGAGCGGCCGGCCGCGGAGCGAGGGCGGCGGGGAGCGGGGTGGGAGCGAGCTGGAATGGAGTGGGAGGGACTGGGATGGACTGGGATGGACTGGGATGGACTGAGAGGGGATTGGGAGGGACTGGGATGGAGTGGGATGGACTGGGAGGGAGCTGGAATGGAGTGGGAGGGACTGGGATGGACTGGGAGGGGATTGGGATGGACTGGGAGGGACTGGGAGGGGATTGGGATGGATTGGGATGGGATTGGGAGGGGATTGGGATGGACTGGGATGGACTGGGAGGGACTGGGATAGATTGGGAGGGACTGGGAGGGGATTGGGATGGACTGGGATAGGATTGGGAGGGATTGGGATAGATTGGGATGGACTGGGATGGATTGGGAGGGGATTGGGATGGACTGGGATGGACTGGGATGGACTGGGAGGGGATTGGGAGGGACTGGGATGGGATTGGGATGGACTGGGATGGGATTGGGATGGACTGGGATAGATTGGGATGGACTGGGATGGATTGGGAGGGGATTGGAATGGACTGGGATGGACTGGGAGGGGATTGGGATGGATTGGGATGGACTGGGAGGGGATTGGGATGGACTGGGATGGATTGGGATGGACTGGGAGGGGATTGGGATGGACTGGTCCATACTGGGATGGATTGGGATGGACTGGGATGGACTGGCCCATACTGGGATGGACTGGCCCATACTGGCCCATACTGGGATGGACTGGCCCATACTGGGATGGACTGGCCCATACTGGGATGGACTGGCCCATACTGGGCCACACTGGGATGGACTGGTCCATACTGGGATGGACTGGCCCATACTGGGATGGACTGGCCCATACTGGGATGGACTGGCCCATACTGGGATGGACTGGCCCATACTGGGCCATACTGGGATGGACTGGCCCATACTGGGATGGACTGGCCCACACTGGGATGGACTGGCCCATACTGGCCCACACTGGGATGGACTGGCCCATACTGGGATGGACTGGCCCATACTGGGCCATACTGGGACGGGCTCCAGGCCGGGACTCACCGGGGAGCTCCTCGCGGTTCCTTCCAGGAATTCCCAAAATTCCGGAAATCCCCGAAGGCCCCGGAGCCCCAAAAACCCCCGGGATGGCCGCACTGAGCAGCAGCAGCAGCGCCAGGCCCTGGGGAGCCGGGGATGTCACCGACCCCAAAAATGATCCCAAATCTGATCCCAAATCCTGACCCCAAATCCTGATCCCAAATCCTGACCCCGAAACCCGACCCCAAACCCAACCCCGAAACCTGACCCCAAAACCTGATCCCAAACCTGACCCCGAAACCTGACCCCGAAACCTGATCCCGAATCCTGACCCCAAAACTGACCCCAAATCCCGACCCCAAAACCGACCCCAAATCCTGACCCCAAATCCTGACCCCAAACCTGACCCTAAAACCCGACCCCGAAACCTGACCCCAAAACCCAACCCCAAACCCTGACCCCAAACCCAACCCCAAACCCAACCCCAAAACCCAACCCCAAATCCCGACCCCAAATCCTGACCCCAAATCCTGACCCCAAAACCTGACCCCAAAACCCGACCCCAAAACCCAACCCCAAAACCCGACCCCAAATCCTGACCCCAAACCCAACCCCAAATCCTGACCCCAAATCCTGACCCCAAACCTGACCCCAAATCCTGACCCCAAATTCTGACCCCAAATCCCGACCGCAAACCCAACCCCAAAACCCCGACCCCAAATCCGGACCCCAAAACCCGACCCCAAAACCTGATCCCAAATCCTGACCCCAAATCCCGACCCCAAATCCTGACCCCAAACCCTGTCCCCAAATCTGACCCCAAATCCCAACCCCAAAACCCGACCCCAAATCCTGACCCAAAACCCGACCCCAAATCTTGACCCCAAAACCCGACCCCATATCCTGACCCCAAATCCTGACCCCAAACCTGATCCCAAATCCTGACCCCAAATCCTGACCCCAAATCCGATCCCAAACAGGACCCCAAACCCTGACCCCAAACCCAAATCCCGATCCCAAACAAACCCCAAAACCCCGACCCCAAATCCTGACCCCAAACCTGACCCCAAATCCTGACCCCAAATCATGACCCCGAAACCTGACCCCAAATCCTGACCCCAAACCTGACCCCAAATCCCGACCCCAAATCCTGACCCCAAAACCCGACCCCAAATCCTGACCCCAAATCCTGATCCCAAATCCTGACCCCGAAACCTGACCCCAAATCCTGACCCCAAAACCCAACCCCAAAACCTGACCCCAAAACCTGACCCCAAAACCCGACCCTGAAACCCCGACCCCAAAACCCGACCCCAAATCTGATCCCAAATCCCGACCCCAAAACCTGACCCCGAATCCTGACCCCAAACCTGACCCCAAATCCTGACCCTGAAACCTGACCCCAAATCCTGACCCCAAACCTGACCCCAAAACTGACCCCAAATCCTGACCCCAAAACCCGACCCCAAATCCTGACCCCAAATCCTGACCCCAAATCCTGACCCCAAATCCTGACCCCAAATCCCGACCCCAAATCCTGACCCCAAATCCAACCCCAAAACCCGACCCCAAATCCTGACCCCAAAACCCAACCCCAAATCCCAACCCCAAACCCAACCCCAAACCCGACCCCAAATCCGATCCCAAACATGAGCCCAAATCCTGACCCCAAACCCAAATCCCAATCCCAAACACAACCCCAAACCTGACCCCAAAGGTTGACCCAAAACCGAACCCCAAAACCCGACCCCAAATCCCGATCACAAATCCTGACCCCAAACCTGACCCCAAATCCTGACCCCAAATCCCGACCCCAAACCCGACCCCAAATCCCCCCGGGGCTGAAGCCCCGCCCCAATCCTGCCCTGAGCTCACGGAATTTTTGTTTAAAATATTAAAAATAAAATTTAAAATTTAAAATTTAAAATTTAAAATTTAAAATTTAAAATTTAAAATTTAAAATTTTAAATTTTAAATTTTAAAATTTTAAATTAAAAAAATTTTAAAGTTAAAGAATGAAAAAATAAGAATGAAAAAATTAAAAATAAAACATTAAAAAATATTTTAAAATTAAAGAATTTTAAAATGTTTAAAAATTTAAAATTTATAAGTAAAAATTTAAAATTAATAAGGAAAAATTTAAAATGTAAAAATTTGAAAATAAAAAAATTAAATAATTAGAAAATATTTTTTTAATTTAAAATTAAAGATTAAAAACTAAAAATTAAAACCGAAAAATTTAAAATTTAAAATATTAAAAAATTAAAGAATTAAAATATTAAAATTAAAACAATAAAAATTAAAATATGCAATTAAAACATTAAAGTACTTTTTAAATTTTAAATTAAGAATTTAAAAATAAAAATAGAAATTAAAATTTAAAATATTAGTAATTAAAGATTGAAAATTTTAAAACAGAAAATTATATTAAAAATTAAAACATTAAAAATTTTAAAAATTAAAATTAAATTAGTTAAAAATATAAAAACTAAAAATTAAAAATAAAAAAATAGAATGGTAAAAGTTAAAGAATTAAATACTGAAATTTAAAAAATTACACAATTAAAAATTAAACCATTTTTAAAATTCAAAATTCAAAACCTCAAAATCAACAATCACTAATTCAAAATGTAAAAAATTTAAAATTAATGATAACAATTTTAAAATTTAAAAATCTAAAAATTTCAAAATTTTAAAAATTATTTTTTTAAAAAATGAAACATTTAAAAATAAAAAAAATTTAAAATAAATTAAAATTAAAATAAATAAAAAATTAAATTAAAAAAATCAAAATTAGAAATTTAAAAAATAAAAAATTAAAAATTAAATTAAAAAATAAAAATTAGAAATTAAAAAATTTAAAAATTAAAAAATTAAAGAAGTTTTTTAAAAAATAAAATATTTAAAAAATAAAAAATGTCACAAAATTCGAAATAAAATCCACAATTTCGGATCTCTGCGGAAAATCCCTTTTTATTCCTTTTTACCCGCGGCGGCTCCATCGCTCCCGGTGGGGCTGCGAAAAATCCCAAAAATTCCATTTTGGGATCCCCAAATTCCCATTTTGGGGCTCCCCAAATTCCCCTTTTGGGATCCCCAAATTCCCATTTCGGGGCTCCCCAAATTCCCATTTTGGGGCTCCCCAAATTCCCATTTTGGGGTCCCCAAATTCCCATTTTGGGGTCCCCAAATTCCCATTTCGGGGCTCCCCAAATTCCCATTTTGGAATCCCCAAATTCCCATTTTGGAATCCCCAAATTCCCATTTTGGGATTCCCAAATTCCCATTTTGGGGTCCCCAAATTCCCCTTTTGGTCCCCAAATTCCCATTTTGGGGCTCCCCAAATTCCCATTTTGGGGTTCCCCTTCCCCAAATTCCCATTTTGGGGTCCCCAAATTCCCATTTTGGTCTCCCCAAATTCCCATTTTGGGACTCTCTGGCTCCAAATTTTGGGGCTCCCCTTCCCCAAACCCCAATTTTGGGCTTCCCACCCCAAAACTTGGAATTTTAGGGCATTTCCAGATCCAAATTTTGGGGTTCCCCTCCCCAAATTCAGATTTTTTTGGTCTTCCCCATTTAATTTTTGGGGTCCCTGTTCCCAAAATTCCATTTTTTTGTTCCTCCCTTCCAATTTTGGGGTTTCCCCTCCCCAAATTCACAATTTTGGGGCTCTCTGGCTCCAAATTTTGGGCTCCAACAACCCAAAATTCCAAATTTCGGGGCTCCCCCCAACCCACCTCCAATTTTGGGTTTCCCACCCCAATAAATCTGAATTTTGGGGCATTCCCAGATAAAAATTTGGGGTTTTCCCTCCCTAAATTCCCATTTTGGGATTCCTGCGCTCTGAATTTTGGGTCCCTTCTCCAAAAATTCCCATTTTTGGGTCCCTTTTTCCAATTTTGGGGTTCCCCCTCCCCAAATTCCCATTTTGGGGCTCCCCAAATTCCCATTTTGGGACTCTCCGGCTCCAAATTTTGGGGCTCCCCCCACCCCCAGTTCCAATTTTGGGCTTCCCACCCCAAAAATTGGAATTTTGGGGCATTCCCAGATCCAAATTTTGGGGTTCCCCTCCCCAAATTCAGATTTTTTTGGTCTTTTTGGGGTCACTTTTCCCAAAATCCCCATTTTTTGTTCCTCCCTCCCAATTTTGGGGTTTCCCCTCCCCAAATTCACAATTTTGGGGCTCTTTGGCTCCAAATTTTGGGCTCCAACAACCCAAAATTCCAATTTTTGGGGCTCCCCCCAACCCACCTCCAATTTTGGGTTTCCCACCCCAAAAAATCTGAATTTTGGGGCTGTCCCAGATTCAAATTTTGGGGTTTTCCCTCCCCAAATTCCCATTTTGGGATTCCCAAACTCCAAATTTGGGATCCCCTCTCCCCAAATTCACATTTTTGGGGTTCCCCCTTCCAATTTTGGGGTTTTCCTTCCCAAAACCCAAACTCCGAATTTTGGGGTCCCCCCTCACCTGTGCTCCGTTCCCAGGAAAAATCTCTTTTTTTGGGGTTTCTCAGCCGATTTTGGTGTTTTTTGAGTGATTTGAGCCCCAAAAACCTCCCAGGAAAAACGTCAGAAATGCAAAAATGCCCCAAAAGCAGAAATGGGATTTTTTGTGGGATGTTTTTCTGCTTTTTGAGGATTTTTCACTTCACTTTTCAGAGGTTTTTTTTTAAATTTTGAGACTCGAAAAGTTCAAAAAACCGCAAATGGCGCCAAGAAATCAGCGATTTTTGGGGGGAAATTCAGGAATTTCTGCTTTTCCCAGGGTCGGGTTTGAGAAAATCTTTTTGGTTTTTAAGGGTGACCTCCAAAAATGAGCCAAAAATCACAGAGAGACCCTAAAATGTTCCACAAAATCCCACAAAAAAACCCCAAAATCCCACAAAATGAACCCAAAATCCCACAAAAAATACCCCAAAACCCATAAATGGAATCCAGAACCCCCGAAATGAACCCAAACCCCACAAAATGAACCCAAACCCCACAAAATGAACCCAAAACCCACAAAATGAACCCAAAACCCACAAAAAACCCAAAACCCACAAAAAAAAAACCCAAACCCCATAAATTGAATGTAAAACTCCACAAAATGAACCCAAAACCCACAAAAACCCCAAAACCCCACAAAAAAAACCCCCAAACCCCCACAAAAAAAACCCCAAACCCCATAAATTGAATGCAAAACCCCACAAAATTAACCCAAAACCCACAAAATGAACCCAAACCCCACAAAATGAACCCAAAATCCACCAAAAAAACCCAAACCCCACAAAAAAAACCCCAAAACCCCACAAAAAAACCCCAAATCCCCATAAACTGAATGCAAAACTCCACAAAATTAACCAAACCCCATAAAATGAACCCAAAACCCACCAAAAAAACCCAAACCCCACAAAAAAAACCCCAAAACCCCACAAAAAACCCAAAACCCCATAAACTGAATGCAAAACCCCACAAAATGCACCAAAACCCCACAGAATGAACCCAAAACCCACAAAAAACCCCCAAAACCCCATAAATTGAATGTAAAACTCCACAAAATGAACCAAACCCCACAAAATGAACCCAAAACCCACCCAAAAAACCCAAACCCCACAAAAAAAACCCAAACCCCACAAAAAACCCCAAAACCCCACAAAAAAACCCCAAAACCCCATAAACTGAATGCAAAACTCCACAAAATTAACCAAACCCCACAAAATGAACCCAAAACCCACAAAAAACCCAAAACCCCACAGAAAAAACCCAAAACCCCATAAATTGAATGCAAAACCCCACAAAATGCACCAAAACCCACAAAATGAACCCAAAACCCACAAAAAAAACCCCAAAACCCACCAAAAAAACCCAAACCCCACAAAAACCCCAAAACCCCATAAATTGAATGCAAAACCCCACAAAATGAACCCAAAACCCACCAAGAAAACCGAAAACCCGCCAAAAAACCCAAACCCCACAAAAACCCCAAAACCCACAAATTGAATCCAAAACCCCACAAAAACCCCCCAAAGCCCCACAAAATGGACCCAAAATCCTTCAAAATGAACCAAAACCCCATAAAATGATCCCAAACCTCCCAAAATGAACCCAAACCCCACAAAAAGTCCCAAACCCCACAAAAATCAACCCAAACCCCACAAAAATCAACCCGAACCCCACAAAATGACCCCAAAATCGCCCCAGAGACCCCAAAAATCAGCCCCGGGGATTCAGAGAATCCCAAATTTTGGGGTTTTCCCGCTCAAAAGTTCCAGTTTTGGGGTTTGCCCATCCCAGACCCAAAATCGACCCCCAAAAATCCCCAAAATCCCCCAAAATCCCCCAAAATCCCCCAAAATCCCCCATCCCCCCCCCCACCAGTGCTCCCAGTGCCAAACTGGGACGGAGCCGCCGCAGGTCCAGAGAAACTTTATTGGGGGACCCCAAAAACGGGGAAAAAACCCAAAAATGGAGAAAGACCCGAAAAAGGAGGAATTTACCCCAAAAAAAGGGGGGAAGGACCCCGAAAAAGGAGAATTTGCCCCAAAGTAGTGTCAGTGTCCCAAAAAAAGGGGGGAGAGACCCCGGGGGGTCCAAAAGCTCCAAAAAAGGGAAATCCCAAAGAAAAGGAGAAAATCCTAAATAAAGGGGGAAATCCCAAAAAAAGGGGGAAAATCCCAAAAAGGGGGGAAATTTTAAATAAAGGGGGAAAATCCCAAATAAAGAGTGAAAATCCCAAAAAAAAGAGTGAAAATCCCCCCCCAAAAGGGGGGAAATCCTAAATAAAAAGTGAAAATCCCCAAAAAAGGAGGAAATCCCAAAAAAGGGGAGAAATCCTAAAGAAAAAGTGAAAATCCCAAAAAAAGAGTGAAAATCCCCCCCAAAAAAGGTTAAAATCCCCCAAAAAGGGGAGAAAATCCTAAATAAAGGGGGGAAATCGTAAAAATGGGGAAATCCCCCAAAAAGGAGTGAAAATCCCAAAAAAAAGGGGAAATCCTAAATAAAGGGGGAAAATCCCAAAAAAGAGTGAAAATCCCTCCAAAAGGGAGAAAAATCCTAAATAAAGAGGGGAAATCCTAAATAAAGGGGGAAATCCCCCAAAAAAGAGTGAAAATCCCAAAAAAAGGGGGAAATCCTAAATAAAGGGGGAAAATCTCAAAAAAGAGTGAAAATCCCTCCAAAAGGGAGAAAAATCCTAAATAAAGAGGGGAAATCCTAAATAAAGGGGGGAATCCCCCAAAAAAGAGTGAAAATCCCCAAAAAAAAAAAGGGGGAAATCGCAAAAAGGGGGGAAATCCTAAATAAAGAGTGAAAATCCCCAAAAAAAAAAAAAAATAGGGGAAATCCCAAAAAAGGGAGGAAATCTGCCCGGGATGGCCAAAAATCCCCAAAAATCCGAAATAAGGAGGAAAATCCCAAATAAGGAATGAAAGTCCCAAAGAAAAAAGGGAGAAAATCCCAAATAAAAGGGGAGAAATCCCAAAAAAATCCCAAAAAAGGGGGAAAATCCCATTTAGGGGGGTCAGAATCCCAAAAGCACTCCAGAAAATCAGAATAAAGGGGGAAAATCCCCCTTCCAGGAAAGTGAAAAATCCCAAAAAAATCCTAAAAATATCCCACAAAAATCCCACAAAAATCCCACAAAAATCCCACAAAAATCCCACAAAAATCCCAAAAAAATCCCAATAATTGGGGGAAGCCCCAAATAAAGGGGCTCAGATTTTGGGGGGGTTGCAGGAGTGGGGCAGGGACTGGAACATCCCCCCAAAAATCAGAATAAAGGGGAAAAATCCGCCCTCTGAAATGGCGAAAAATCCCAAAAATATCTGAAAATATCCCGAAAAATCAGAAAAAAATCCCAAAAAATCCCAAAAATCGGGGAAATCCCAAATAAAGGGGTTCAGATTCTGGGGGTTCACAGGGTGCTGGAGTGGAGCAAGAACCTCCCCAAAAATCGGAATAAAGGGGCAAAATCCCCCCTTTGGGATGGTGAAAAATCAAAAAAAAATCAGAAAAAATCCCAAAAAATCAGAAAAAAAATCCCCAAAAAATCAGAAAAAAATCCCGAAAAATCAGAAAAAAATCCTAAAACCTGGGGGAATCCCAAATAAAGCGGGTCAGACTTTGTGGGGTGCCAAGAGCAGAAAATCCCCCCCAAAAATTGGAATAAAGGGGCAAAATCCCCCCTTTGGGATGGCGAAAAATCCCGAAAAAATGCAAAAAAAATCCCAAAAAAATCAGAAAAAAATCCTGAAAAATCCCAGAAATTGGGCGAAATCCCAAGTAAAGAGGGTCAGAGTTTGGGGGTTCACAGGGTGCTGGAGTGGAGCAAGGACCTCCCCAAAAATTTGAATTAAGGGGCAAAATCCCCCCTTTGGGATGGCGAAAAATCCCGAAAAAATCAGAAAAAAATCCCGAAAAATCAGAAAAAAATCCCAAAAAAATCAGAAAAAAATCCCGAAAAATCAGAAAACAATCCTACAACCTGGGGAATCCCGAATAAAGCGGGTCAGAGTTTGTGGGGTGCCAGGAGTGGGGCAGAGGGCAGAAAATCCCCCCAAAAATCGGAATAAAGGGGCAAAATCCCCCTTTGGGATGGCGAAAAATCCCAAAAAAATCAGAAAAAATCCTGAAAAATCAGAAAAAAAATACTGAAAACTGGGAGAAATCCCAAGTGAAGCGGGTCAGAGTTTGTGGGGTGCCAAGAGTGGTGCAGGGACCAGAAAATCCCCCCAAAAATCAGAATAAAGGGGCAAAATCCCCCTTTGGGATGGCGAAAAATCCCAAAAAAATCAGAAAAAATCCCAAAAAATCAGAAAAAAATCCTACAAACTGGGGGAAATCCCAAGTGAAGAGGGTCAGAGTTTGTGGGGTGCCAAGAGCAGAAAATCCCCCCTAAAAATCGGAATAAAAGGGCAAAATCCCCCCTTTGGGATGGCGAAAAATCCCAAAAAAATCAGAAAAAAATCCCGAAAAATCAGAAAAAAATCCCGAAAAATCAGAAAAAATCCTACAACCTGGGGGAATCCCAAATAAAGCGAGTCAGAGTTTGTGGGGTGCCAAGAGCAGAAAATCCCCCCAAAAATCGGAATAAAGGGGCAAAATCCCCCCTTTGGGATGGCGAAAAATCCCAAAAACGTCAGAAAAAAATCCCGAAAAATCAGAAAAAAATCCTGAAAAATCCCAGAAATTGGGCGAAATCCCAAGTAAAGAGGGTCAGACTTTGTGGGGTGCAGGAGTGGGGCAGAGAGCAGAAAATCTCCCCAAAAATCGGAATAATGGGGCAAAATCCCCCCTTTGGGATGGCGAAAAATCCCGAAAAAATCAGAAAAAAAATCCCGAAAAATCAGAAAAAAATCCCGAAAAATCCGAAAAAAATCCCAAAAATTGGGGAAATCCCAAATAAAGGGGCTCAGATTTTGGGTGTTCACAGGGTGCTGAAGTGGAGCAAGAACCTCCCCAAAAAATAGAATAAAGGAGCAAAATCCCCCCTTTGGGATGGCGAAAAATCCCAAAAAAATCAGAAAAAAATCCCAAAAAAATCAGAAAAAAATCCCGAAAAAATCAGAAAAAGTCCCGAAAAATCAGAAAAAAATCCCAAAAAATCAGGAAAAAATCCTACAACCTGGGGGATCCCAAATGAAGCGGGTCAGAGTTTTTGGGGTGCAGCAGTGGGGCAGAGAGCAGAAAATCCCCCCAAAAATCGGAATAAAGGGGCAAAATCCCCCCTTTGGGATGGCAAAAAATCCCGAAAAAATCAGAAAAAATCCCGAAAAATCAGAAAAAAAATCCCAAAATTCCCAAAAACTGGGGGAAATCCCAAATAAAGAGGGTCAGACTTTGTGGGGTGCAGGAGTGGAGCAGGAGCAGGAAATCCCTCCCAAAAATCAGAATAAAGGGGCAAAATCCCCACTTTGGGATGGCGAAAAATCCCAAAAAAATGCGAAAAAAAATCCTGAAAAAATGCGAAAAAAATCCCAAAAAATCAGAAAAAAATCCCGAAAAATCCGAAAACAATCCTACAACCTGGGGGATCCCAAATGAAGCGGGTCAGAGTTTTTGGGGTGCAGGAGTGGGGCAGGAGCAGGAATCCCCCTAAAAATCGGAATAAAGGGGCAAAATCCCCCCTTTGGGATGGCGAAAAATCCCGAAAAAATCAGAAAAAAATCCCGAAAAATCCCAAAAAAATCCTACAAACTGAGGGAAATCCCAAGTGAAGAGGGTCAGAGTTTGTGGGGTGCCAAGAGCAGAAAATCCCCCCAAAAATCGGAATAAATGGGCAAAATCCCCCCTTTGGAATGGCGAAAAATCCCGAAAAAATCAGAAAAAAATCCCGAAAAATCAGAAAAAAATCCAAAAAATTGGGTGAAATCCCAAGTGAAGAGGGTCAGAGTTTGTGGGGTGCAGGACTGGGGCAGAGACCAGAAAATCCCCCCAAAAATCAGAATAAAGGGGCAAAATCCCTCCTCCGGGATGGCGAAAAATCCCAAAAATATCTGAAAAAAATCCCGAAAAATCAGAAAAAAATCCTACAACCTGGGGGAATCCCGAATAAAGTGGGTCAGGATTTGTGGGGTGCAGGAGTGGAGCAGGAGCAGAAATCCCCCTAAAAATCAGAATAAAGGGGCAAAATCCCCCCTTTGGGATGGTGAAAAATCCAAAAAAATCAGAAAAAAATCCCGAAAAATCAGAAAAAAATCCCGAAAAATCAGAAAAAAATCCCGAAAAATCCGAAAAAAATCCTACAACCTGGGGAATCCCAAATGAAGCGGGTCAGAGTTTTTGGGGTGCAGGGGTGGAGCAGGAGCAGAAAATCCCCCCAAAAATCAGAATAAGGGGGTGAAATCCCCCTTTGGGATGGCGAAAAATTCTGAAAATACCAAAAAAAAAATCCCAAAAAATCCCAAAAATCGGGGAAATCCCCAAATAAAGGGGCTCAGATTTTGGGTGTTCACAGGGTGCTGAAGTGGAGCAAGAACCTCCCCAAAAAATGGAATAAAGGAGCAAAATCTCCCCTTTGGGATGGTGAAAAATCCCCAAAAAATAAAAAAAAAATCCCGAAAAATCCGAAAAAAATCCCAAAAAATCCGAAAAAAATCCCAAAAATTGGAGGAAATCCCAAGTAAAGAGGGTCAGAGTTTGTGGGGTGCCAAGAGCAGAAAATCCCCCCAAAAATCGGAATAAAGGGGCAAAATCCCCCCTTTGGGATGGAGAAAAATCCCGAAAAATCAGAAAAAAATCCCAAAAAATCAGAAAAAAAATCCCAAAATTCCCAAAAACTGGGGGAAATCCCAAATGAAGAGGGTCAGTGTTTGTGGGGTGCCAGGAGTGGGGCAGAGAGCAGAAAATCCCCCAAAAAATCGGAATAAAGGGGCAAAATCCCCCCTTTGGGGTGGCGAAAAATCAAAAAAAAATCAGAAAAAAATCCCGAAAAATCTGAAAAAATCCCGAAAAATCCGAAAAAAATCCCGAAAAATCAGAAAAAAATCCTAAAAACTGGGAGAAATGCCAAATAAAGCGGGTCAGACTTTGTGGGGTGCAGGAGTGGAGCACAGAGCAGAAAATCCCCCCCAAAAATCAGAATAAAGGGGCAAAATCCCCCCTCCGGGATGGCGAAAAATCCCAAAAAAATCAGAAAAAAATCCCAAAAAAATCAGAAAAAAATCCCGAAAAATCAGAAAAAAATCCCGAAAAATCAGAAGAAAATCCTACAACCTGGGGGAAATCCCAAATGAAGAGGGTCAGAGTTTGTGGGGTGCCAGGAGTGGGGCAGAGAGCAGAAAATCCCCCCAAAAATCGGAATAAAGGGGCAAAATCCTCCCTTTGGGATGGTGAAAAATCCCAAAAAAATCAGAAAAAAATCCCAAAAAATCCCAAAATTTGGAGGAAATCCCCAATAAAGGGGCTCAGATTTTGGGGGTTCGCAGGAGTGCTGGAGTGGAGCAAGGACCTCCCCAAAAATCGGAATAAAGGGGCAAAATCCCCCCTCTGGGATGGCGAAAAATCCCAAAAAAATCAGAAAAAAAATCCCGAAAAATCAGAAAAAAATCCCGAAAAATCAGAAAACAATCCTACAACCTGGGGAATCCCAAATGAAGCGGGTCAGAGTTTGTGGGGTGCAGGAGTGGAGCAGGAGCAGGAATCCCCCCCCAAAAATCGGAATAAAGGGGCAAAATCCCCCCTTTGGGATGGCGAAAAATCCCAAAAAATTAGAAAATAATCCCCAAAATTGGAGGAAATCCCCAATAAAGGGGCTCAGATTTTGGGCGTTCACAGGGTGCTGGAGTGGAGCAAGAACCTCCCCAAAAATTTGAATTAAGGGGCAAAATCCCCCCTCCGGGATGGCGAAAAATCCCGAAAAAATAAGAAAAAAATCCCGAAAAATCAGAAAAAATCCCGAAAAATCAGAAAAAAATCCCGAAAAAATCAGAAAAAAATCCCGAAAAATCAGAAAAAATCCTACAACCTGGGGGATCCCGAATGAAGCGGGTCAGAGTTTTTGGGGTGCAGGAGTGGGGCAGGAGCAGCAATCCCGGCTCAGTCCCGCCGAAGGTTCTTCAGCCGCTCCTCCAGGTCGGCGTCGGCGTCGGCCAAAGCGGCCGCGGCGGCTTCGGCACCTCCGCGACCCTCCCCGGCAGCCAGAGAGCCCCCGGGGGCCGGCAGCGCTGAGGGATGGACAGGGGACACTCAGGGGACATCCCCGACCCCAAAAATCCCCTGAAATCCTTTGAAATTCCCCCAAAATCCCCCCAAATCCTTTGAAATTCCCCCAAACCTCCCCAAAATCCCCCCAAAATCCACTCAAATCCTTTGAAATTCCCCCAAAGCCCTCAAAATCCCCCCAAAATCCCCCCAAAATCCTCCCAAATCCTTTGAAATTCCCCCAAACCCCCCAAAATACCCCCAAAATACCCCCAAAATCCCCCCAAAATCCCCTCAAATCCTTTGAAATTCCCCCAAATCCCCCCAAATTCCCCCCAAAATCCCCCCAAATCCTTTGAAATTCCCCCAAAATCCCCCCAAAATCCACCCAAATCCTCCCAAAACTCCCCAAACTCCCCCCAAACCCCCCCAAAAGTCCCCAAAATCCCCTCAAATCCTTTGAAATTCCCCAAATCCTCCCAAAATCGCCCAGATTCTCCCATACCCCCCAAACTGTCCCCAAAATCCTCCCAAATCCCCCCAAAATTCCTGAAATCCTCCTCGAATCCTCCCAAAAGCCCCCCAAAAAATCCCAACCCTCCCAAAATCCCCCCAAAATCCCCTCAAATCCTTTGAAATTCCCCAAACCCCCCCAAAATCCCCCCAAAATCCCCCAAAATCCCCTCAAATCCTTTGAAATTCCCCCAAACCCCCCAAAATCCCCCCAAAATCCCCTCAAATCCTTTGAAATTCCCCAAATCCCCCCAAAATCCCCTCAAATCCTTTGAAATTCCCCCAGACTCCCCTAAAATCCCCCCAAAATCCCCTCAAATCCTTTGAAATTCCCCCAAACCCCCCAAAATCCCCCCAAATCCTTTGAAATTCCCCAAACTCCCCCCAAACCCCCCAAAAAGTCCCCAAAATCCCCTCAAATCCTTTGAAATTCCCCCAAACTCCCCCAAAATCCCCCCCAAATCCTTTGAAATTCCCCCAAAATCCCACCAAAATCCCTTCAAATCCTTTGAAATTCCCCAAACCCCCCCAAAATCCCCTCAAATCCTTTGAAATTCCCCCAACCCCTCAAAATCCCCCCAAATCCTTTGAAATTCCCCCAAACCCCCCCAAAATCCCCCCAAAATCCCCTCAAATCCTTTGAAATCCCCCAAAATCCCCCCAAAATCCCCTCAAATCTTTTTAAATCCTCCCAAACCCCCCCAAAATCCCCCCAAAAGTCCCTCAAATCCTTTGAAATTCCCCCAAAGCCCTCCAAAATCCCCCCAAAATCCCCCAAAATCCCCCCAAAATCCCCCCAAAATCCCCTCCAAATACCCTCAAATCCTCTGAAATTCCCCCAAACCCCACCAAAAGCCCCCCCAAAATCCCCTCAAATCCTTTGAAATTCCCCCAAAACCCCCCAAAATCCCCCCAAAATCCCGTCAAATCCTTTGAAATTCCCCCAAATCCCCCTAAAATCCCCCCAAAATCCCCTCCAATCCTTTGAAATTCCCCCAAACCCCCCCAAAATCCCCCCCAAATCCCCTCAAATCCTTTTAAATTCCCCCAAATCCCCCCAAAATCCCCCCAAAATCCCCCCAAATCCCCCCAAACCCCGCTCACTGGCCAGCTCCTCGGTCAGGTTCAGCCCCAGCTCGTCCAGGACCTGCGACACCACGGCGTCACTGCGGGGACAGGGACACTGAGGGACACTGGGGGACACTGGGGGACACTGGGGGACACTGGGGGACACTGGGACAGCGCGGTGGCACTGCCAGGGGACACTGGGAGGGGACACACCGGGAGCTGCTTGTCCCCGTGTCCCCTCTGTGTCCCCTCTGTGTCCCCAGGAGTGTCCTCGAGTGTCCCCAGGTGTCCCCAGGTGTCCCCTGTCTGTCCCCAGGTGTCACCCCAGGTGTCCCCAGGTGTCCCCAGGTGTCCCCACCTCTCGTCCTCGTCGTCCTCGTCCCCCAGGGCGTCGTCGATGGCGTCGTTCATCAGCTCCTCCTTCATGTCCATCAGCTCCGACTGCTTCTGGAACTCCTGCAGGATGCGCTGGATCTGCGGCAGCTTCAGCTGGGGACACGGGGGGGACATTGAGGGGACAGTGGGGACACTGAGGGGACACTGAGGGGACAGCGGGGACAGTGGGGACACTGAGGGGACACTGAGGGGACAGTGGGGACACTGAGGGGACACTGAGGGGACACCCAGGGGACAACGGGGTGACCGCAGGGACACCAGCATGGCACAGGGGACACCCAGGTGACACACATAGTGACACACACAGTGACACACACAGTGACACACACAGTGACACACACAATGACACACAGGTGACACACAGGTGCCACACCCAGGTGACACACAATGACACACACAATGACACCCAGGTGACACACGGTGACACCCGCAGTGACACACAGTGACACACAATGACACACACAATGACACACACACAGTGACACACAATGACACACACAATGACACTCACAATGACACACAACGACACACACAATGACACACAATGACACACACAATGACACCCAGGTGACACACAGGTGACACCCACAATGACACACAGATGACACGCGGTGACACACACAATGACACACACAATGACACAGAATGACACCCAGGTGACACACAATGACACCCAGGTGACACACAATGACACACACAATGACACCCAGGTGACACGCGGTGACACCCACAATGACACACACACACAGTGCCACACCCAGGTGTCACACAATGACACACACAATGACACACCCAGGTGACACCCAGGTGACACACACAATGACACACACAGGTGTCACACAATGACACACGCAATGACACCCAGGTGACACCCAGGTGTCACACAATGACACATCCAGGTGTCACACAATGACACACAATGACACACACAATGACACACCCAGGTGTCACACAATGACACACACAGTGACACACGCAGGTGCCACACAGGTGCCACACAATGACACACACAGTGACACCCAGGTGACACGCGGTGACACTCCCAATGACACATACACAGTGACACACAGTGACACACACACAGTGACACACACAGTGACACAGAGTGACACACAATGACACCCAGGTGACACACACAATGACACACAATGACACACCCAGGTGCCACACAATGACACACACCATGACACCCAGGTGACACCCACAATGACACCCAGGTGTCACACAATGACACACACAATGACACACAGTGACACACACAGTGACACCCACAATGACACACACAATGACACACACAATGACACACACACAATGACACACACAATGACACACAGTGACACACACACAGTGACACACACAGTGACACACACAGTAACACACACAGTGACACACACAATGACACACACAATGACACACACAATGACACACACAGTGACACACCCAGGTGACACACAGGTGCCATACAATGACACACACAATGACACCCAGGTGACACACACAATGACACACGGTGACACACAATGATGCCCAGGTGACACACAGGTGCCACACAATGACACACACAATAACACACACAATGACACCCAGGTGACACCCACAATGACACTCACAATGACACACCCAGTGACACACACACAGTGACACATCCAGGTGTCACACAATGACACACAATGACACCGAGGTGACACCCAGGTGACACCCTCAGGTGTCACACAATGACACACACAGTGACACACAGTGACACACACAATGACACCCAGGTGACACACACAATGACACCCAGGTGACACCCGGTGCCACCCCCAATGCCCCACAGTGCCACCCCCGTGTCGGGGCTCACCTGGCGGTTCATGGTGGCCATGGCCCGTGTCACGCCCCGCATGGCCCCGGCCATGGCGCTGTGGGATTTCAGGGTCTGCACGCGCAGTGCCACCCCCGTGTCCCACAGTGCCACCCCCGTGTCCCACAGTGCCACCCCCGTGTCAGGGCTCACCTGGCGGTTCATGGTGGCCATGGCCCGTGTCACGCCCCGCATGGCCCCCGCCATGGCGCTGTGGGATTTCAGGGTCTGCACGCGCAGTGCCACCCCCGTGTCCCACACAGTGCCACCCCCAATGCCACACAGTGCCACCCCCGTGTTGGGCACTCACCTGGCGGTTCATGGTGGCCATGGCCCGTGTCACACCCCGCATGGCGCCCGCCATGGCGCTGTGGGATTTCAGGGTCTGCACGCGCAGTGCCACCCCCTGCACGTTGGCGCGCATGGCCAGGAACTTCCGCTCGTAGCGCCGCGTCCGCACCAGGTCCTGCGCCAGCACCCGCACCGCGTCCTGACATGGGACATGGGGACGGTCAGGGACAGGGGGACAGGGACATGGGGACAGCGTCCTGACATGGGACAGGGACAGTCAGGGACATGGGGACAGGGACATGGGGATGGGGACATGGGGACAGGGACCGTCAGGGACAGGGGGATGGGGACATGGGGACAGCGTCCTGGCACGGGGACAGGGACGGTCAGGGACGGGGACAGGGACATGGGGACAGTCAGGGATGGGGACGGGGACATGGGGACAATGTCCTGGGACAGGGCACAGGGGACAGTCAGGGACGGGGACATGGGGACAGGGACAGGGACGGGGACAGGGGACAGGGGATGGGGACAGGGACGGTCAGGGACGGGGACGGGGACAGGGACAGGGACAGGGGACAGTCAGGGACGGGGACGGGGACATGGGGACAGAGACAGGGACAGGGGACATGGGAACAGTGAGGGACAGGGACATGGGGACAGTCAGGGACAGGGACAGGGACATGGGGACATGGGGATGGGAACATGGGGACAGTGTCCTGACACCGGGACAGGGACAGGGGCGGTCAGGGACATGGGGATGGGGACATGGGGATGGGGACATGGGGACATGGGGACATGGGGACAGGGACAGGCACATGGGGACAGGGACAGTCAGGGACGGGGACAGGGGGATGGGGACATGGGGACAGGGACAGCGTCCTGACATGGGGACAGCGACGGGGACAGTCAGGGACATGGGGATGGGGACAGGGACGGGGACAGGGGACATGGGGACAGCGTCCTGGCATGGGGACACAGACAGGGACAGGGACAGTCAGGGACCAGGACAGGGACAGGGACATGGGGACAGCGTCCTGACACAGGGACAGCGACAGCGACAGAGACGGTCAGGGACGGGGACAGGGGACAGGGACAGGGACATGGGGACGAGGACAGGGGACAGTCAGGGACGGGGATGGGGACATGGTGACATGGGGACAGTCAGGGACGGGGACTTGGGGACAGCGTCCTGGGACAGGGGACAGTCAGGGACAGTCAGGGACGGGGACAGGGACATAGGGACAGTCAGGGATGGGGACAGGGACAAGGACAGGGACATGGGGACATGGGGACAGGGACTGGGACAGGGGACAGTCAGGGATGGGGAGAGGGACATGGGGACAGAGACAGGGACATGGGGACAGGGATAGGGACAGCATCCTTGGGGTGGGGACACACTCAGGGACAGGGACATGGGGACAGGTCACATAGTCAGGGATAGGGACAGGGACATGGGGACAGGGACATGGGGACGGGGGACAGTGTCAGGGACACGGGGACAGAGGACATGGGCAGAGAGGGGACAGGGACAGGGTCAGGGACAGAGGGGGGACACAGAGACTGGGGACAGGGACAGGGACGTGGGGACAGGCGGGACAGGGACAGGGATGGGGACAGTGGGAACACCAGGGGACAGCAAGGATGTCACACGGTTGGACAGGGACAGTGGGGACAGAGAAGGACAGATGGACAGCAGGGACAGACAGGGGACAGAGGGGACACCAGAGTGACAGGGGACACCAGAGTGACAGTGGGGACAGCAGAGCGACAGGGGGACATCAGCGGGGACAGGAGGGACAGTGAGGGGACATCACAGGGACAGCAGGGACATCTGGGGACAGGGAGGGGACAGCAGGAAGAGACAGGGGACACTCCATGTCCCCTCAGTGTCCCCTCCATGTCCCCCAGACCCTTCTGTGTCCCTGTCCCCAATCCCCTCCCCGCTCTCCCACCCGCCATGTCCCCTCCGTGTCCCCAGAGTCCCCTCGGCCCGAATGTCCCCAAAGTCCTCTCTGACCTCACTGTCCCCTCGATGTCCCCTCGGTCCCCATGTCCCCTCTGACCCTGCTGTCCCCAGTGTCCACTCTCACCATCTGGCCCTGCTGTCCCCTCAGTGTCCCCTCAGTGTCCCCTCAGTGTCCCCAATATCTACAGTGTCCCTTCACTGTCCCCTCATTGTCCCCAATGTCCCCCCAGTGTCCCCCCTGTCCCCAATGTCCCCAGTGTCCCCTCAGTGTCCCCAGTGTCCCCAATGTCCCCAGTGTCCCCCCCAGTGTCCCCACTGTCCCCAATGTCCCCAGTGTCCCCTCACTGTCCCCTCACTGTCCCCAGTGTCCCGTCAGTGTTCCCTCACTGTCCCCAATGTCCCCCCAGTGTCCCCCCAGTGCCCTCAGTGTCCCCAATATCTACAGTGTCCCTTCACTGTCCCCTCATTGTCCCCAATGTCCCCCCAGTGTCCCCCCTGTCCCCAATGTCCCCAGTGTCCCCTCAGTGTCCCCAGTGTCCCCCCAGTGTCCCCTCAGTGTCCCCAGTGTTCCCTCACTGTCCCCAGTGTCCCCTCAGTGTCCCCCCAGTGTCCCCAGTGTCCCCAATGTCCCCAGTGTCCCCAGTGTCCCCTCTCTGTCACCATGTCCCCTCTGTCCCCACCATGTCCCCAGTGTCCCCTATGTCCCCTCTCGCCAGCTGGCCCTGCTGTCCCCTCACTGTCCCCCCAGTGTCCCCTCAGTGTCACCAGTGTCCCCTCACTGTCCCCCCAGTGTCCCCCCAGTGTCCCCATTGTCCCCCCAGTGCCCCCCCAGTGTCCCCATTGTCACCATCTGTCCCTGCTTGGCCATTTTCTTGATGTCCACGATGATTTTCTTCTCCTGCGCCTCGAGCTTGAGCCGCTCCCGCTCCAGTTCCCGCACGGCGCGGGAGAGAGCGCGCTGGTTCTGCCGGAGCAGCTCCTCAGGAGAGCGCCTCCGCCCAAACAGCACCTCCATGGGGCACCTGGGGACATTGGGGACACACTGTGACACGTGGTGACACACAGGGACACACAGGGACACACAGGGACACAGCACACAGCGCGCTGGTTCTGCCGGAGCAGCTCCTCAGGAGAGCGCCTCCGCCCGAACAGCACCTCCATGGGACACCTGGGGACACTGGGGACATTGAGGTGACATTGGGGACACGTGGTGACACACTGTGACACGCAGGGACACGCAGGGACACGCAGGGACACACAGGGACACAGCACACAGCGCGCTGGTTCTGCCGGAGCAGCTCCTCAGGAGAGCGCCTCCGCCCAAACAGCACCTCCATGGGACACCTGGGGACATTGGGGACACACTGTGACACCTGGGGACACGCAGGGACACACAGGGACACACAGGGACACACAGGGACACACAGGGACACACAGGGACACGCAGGGACACGCAGGGACACGCAGGGACACAGCACACAGCGCGCTGGTTCTGCCGGAGCAGCTCCTCAGGAGAGCGCCTCCGCCCGAACAGCACCTCCATGGGGCACCTGGGGACATTGGGGACACGTGGTGACACCCAGTGACACACTGTGACACGTGGTGACACACAGGGACACACAGGGACACAGCACACAGCGCGCTGGTTCTGCCGGAGCAGCTCCTCAGGAGAGCGCCTCCGCCCAAACAGCACCTCCATGGGGCACCTGGGGACATTGGGGACATTGAGGTGACATTGGGGACACGCAGGGACACGCAGGGACACACAGGGACACACAGGGACACACAGGGACACGCAGGGACACGCAGGGACACACAGGGACACGCAGGGACACACAGGGACACGCAGGGACACACAGGGACACACAGGGACACACAGGGACACACAGGGACACACAGGGACACAGCACACAGCGCGCTGGTTCTGCCGGAGCAGCTCCTCAGGAGAGCGCCTCCGCCCAAACAGCACCTCCATGGGACACCTGGGGACATTGGGGACACGTGGTGACATCCAGGGACACGCAGGGACACACAGGGACACGCAGGGACACGCAGGGACACACAGGGACACACAGGGACACGCAGGGACACACAGGGACACACACACAGCGCGCTGGTTCTGCCGGAGCAGCTCCTCAGGAGAGCGCCTCCGCCCAAACAGCACCTCCATGGCACACCTGGGGACAGCAGGGACACGTGGTGACACACTGTGACATGCTGTGATACACTGTGACACACAGGGACACACAGGGACACGCAGGGACACACAGGGACACAGCACACAGCGCGCTGGTTCTGCCGGAGCAGCTCCTCGGGAGAGCGCCTCCGCCCAAACAGCACCTCCATGGGACACCTGGGGACATTGGGGACACACTGTGACACGTGGTGACATGCTGTGACACACAGGGACACACAGGGACACACAGGGACACGCAGGGACACGCAGGGACACACAGGGACACACAGGGACACAGCACACAGCGCGCTGGTTCTGCTGGAGCAGCTCCTCAGGAGAGCGCCTCCGCCCGAACAGCACCTCCATGGGGCACCTGGGGACATTGGGGACACGTGGTGACACCTGGGGACACGTGGTGACACACAGGGACACGCAGGGACACGCAGGGACACACAGGGACACGCAGGGACACACAGGGACACACAGGGACACAGCACACAGCGCGCTGGTTCTGCCGGAGCAGCTCCTCCGGGGAGCGCCTCCGCCCGAACAGCACCTCCATGGGACACCTGGGGACATTGGGGACACGTGGGGACACACAGGGACACGTGGGGACACGCAGGGACACGCAGGGACACGCAGGGACACACAGGGACACACAGGGACACGCAGGGACACACAGGGACACGCAGGGACATTGGGGACACACTGGGGACAGGGATGGGACACTAGGGACATTGGGGACACTGAGGAGACACTGGTGACAGCCATGGGGACACCTGGGCACATTTGGGACACTGTAGACATTGGGGACACTGAGGGGACATTTGGGACAGGGACAGGACACTGGAGACACTGATGGGACATTTGGGACAGCCATGGAACACTTGGGGACATTGGGGACACTGAGGGGACATTGGGGACAGTAAGGGGACATTGGGGACATTGGGGACACACAGTGACACACTGTGACACACAGGGACACGCAGGGACAGCAGTGACACACAGGGACATTGGGGACACACTGGGGACAGGGATGGGACACTGAGGGGAAATTTGGGACACTGAGGGGACATTGGGGACAGCCATGGGACATTGGGGACAGCCATGGGACATTGGGGACAGCCATGGGACATTGGGGACAGGGACAGGACACTGGGGACACTGAGGGGACATTGGGGACACTAAGGGGACATTGGGGACAGCCATGGGGACACCTGGGGACATTTGGGACATTGGAGACATTGGGGACACTGATGGGACATTAGGGACACTGAGGGGACACTGAAGGGACAGGGCTGCGGGGAGGGGACAGGGGGTGACACACGGAGGGGACAGACAGGGACAGGGAGGTGACACACAGTGACACACAGGTGACACACGGAGGTGACACACAGGGACACAGAGGGGACAGAGGGGTGACACACGGAGGTGACCCACAGGGACAGGAAGGTGACACATGCTGGGGACACGCAGGGACAGGGAGGTGACACACGGTACCGCCGGTGCCACACGGAGGGGACACACAGGTGCCACAGGGGGAGACACACGGAGGGGACACACAGGTGCCACAGGGGGGGACACAGGTGCCACGGAGGTGCCTCAGATGCCACTCGGAGATGACAAAGGTGACAAAGGTGACACGGAGGCGCCACTCGGAGGTGCCACACGGATCCCGCCCCCCCCCGGCCCGGCCCTCGGCGCCTCCCCAGAGCCGCTCCCGCCGCCCCTTCAGCCCCGGGAGCCCAAAGCCGGCCCCGGCTGCCCCCGGGTGTCCCCAAATGTCCCCAAATGTCCCCAAATCCCCCCAAATGTCCCCAAATCCCCCCAAATGTCCCCAAATCCCCCCCGGCCCTCACCGGCTCCGCGCAGCACTTCCGCAAACAGTGACGTCACCGCGCTTCCGGTCGCGCGACGCCGCGCCCCGGCAGGGGAGGAGCCAATCACAGAGCGGCGGCCAGAGCAGCACTTCCGGGATGGAGCAGCGAGAGCGGCGGCCGGAGCGGCACTTCCGGGGGGAACAGTGAGAGCGGTACTTCCGGGTTAGAGCAGCGAGAGCGGCGGGCGGAGCGGCCCCGCCCGTGACAGCGCCACCTGGCGGCGCGGCGGTGTCCGGCAGGCGGGGCGGGAACTGGGGATACTGGGAGCACTGGGAATGGGACTGGGCCATACTGGGAGCACTGGGAATGGGACTGGGCCATACTGGGAGCACTGGGAATGGGACTGGGCCATACTGGGAGCACTGGGAATGGGACTGGGCCATACTGGGAGCACTGGGAATGGGACTGGGGATACTGGGAGCACTGGGAATGGGACTGGGCCATACTGGGAATGGGACTGGGCCATACTGGGAGCACTGGGAGCGCTGGGGAAGAGTGCCACCCACACCCCTCCCAGTATAAACCAGTATAAACCAGTATAAACCAGTATAAACCAGTATAAACCAGTATAGACCAGTATAACCAGTGCCACCCACACCCCTCCCAGTATAAACCAGTATAAACCAGTATAAACCAGTATAAACCAGTATAAACCAGTATAAACCAGTATAAACCAGTATAACCAGTGCCACCCACAGCCCTCCCAGTATAAACCAGTATAAACCAGTATAAACCAGTATAAACCAGTATAACCGGTACCACCCACACCCCTCCCAGTATAAACCAGTATAAACCAGTATAAACCAGTATAACCCAGTATAAACCAGTATAACCGGTGCCACCCAACCCCTTCCCAGTATAAACCAGTATAAACCAGTATAACCAGTGCCACCCACATCCCTCCCAGTATAAACCAGTATAAACCAGTATAAACCAGTATAACCAGTGCCACCCACACCCTTCCCAGTATAAACCAGTATAAACCAGTATAAACCAGTATAACCAGTGCCACCCACACCCCTCCCAGTATAAACCAGTATAAACCAGTATAAACCAGTATAACCAGTGCCACCCACACCCCTCCCAGTATAAACCAGTATAAACCAGTATAAACCAGTATAACTGGTGCCACCCACACCCCTCCCAGTATAAACCAGTATAACCAGTATAGCCAGTATAAACCAGTGCCACCCACACCCCTCCCAGTATAAACCAGTATAAACCAGTATAAACCAGTATAAACCAGTATAAACCAGTATAACCAGTATAAACCAGTATAACCAGTGCCACCTACACCCCTCCCAGTATAAACCAGTATAAACCAGTATAAACCAGTATAACCAGTGCCACCCACATGCCTCCCAGTATAAACCAGTATAAACCAGTATAAACCAGTATAAACCAGTATAAACCAGTGCCACCCACACCCCTCCCAGTATAAACCAGTATAAACCAGTATAAACCAGTATAAACCAGTATAAACCAGTATAACCAGTGCCACCCACACCCCTCCCAGTATAAACCAGTATAAACCAGTATAAACCAGTATAACCAGTGCCACCCACACCCCTCCCAGTATAAACCAGTATAACCAGTATAAACCAGTATAAACCAGTATAACGAGTGCCACCCAACCCCCTCCCAGTATAAACCAGTATAAACCAGTATAACCAGTGCCACCCACACCCCTCCCAGTATAAACCAGTATAAACCAGTATAAACCAGTATAACCAGTATAAACCAGTATAACCAGTGCCACCCACACCCCTCCCAGTATAAACCAGTATAAACCAGTATAACCAGTGCCACCCACACCCCTCCCAGTATAAACCAGTATAAACCAGTATAACCAGTGCCACCCACACCCCTCCCAGTATAAACCAGTATAAACCAGTATAAACCAGTATAAACCAGTATAAACCAGTATAAACCAGTATAACCAGTGCCACCCAACCCCCTCCCAGTATAAACCAGTATAAACCAGTATAAACCAGTATAACCAGTGCCACCCACACCCCTCCCAGTATAAACCAGTATAAACCAGTATAAACCGGTATAACCAGTGCCACCCACACCCCTCCCAGTATAAACCAGTATAAACCAGTATAAACCAGTGCCACCCACACCTCTCCCAGTATAAACCGGTATAAACCAGTATAAACCAGTATAAACCAGTATAAACCAGTATAACCGGTGCCACCCAACCCCCTCCCAGTATAAACCAGTATAAACCAGTATAAACCAGTATAAACCAGTATAACCAGTGCCACCCACACCCCTCCCAGTATAAACCAGTATAAACCAGTATAAACCAGTATAAACCAGTGCCACCCACACCCCTCCCAGTATAAACCAGTATAAACCAGTATAAACCAGTGCCACCCAACCCCCTCCCAGTATAAACCAGTATAAACCAGTATAAACCAGTATAAACCAGTATAACCAGTGCCACCCACACCCCTCCCAGTATAAACCAGTATAAACCAGTATAAACCAGTATAAACCAGTGCCACCCACACCCCTCCCAGTATAAACCAGTAAAAACCAGTATAACCAGTATAAACCAGTATAACCGGTGCCACCCACACCCCTCCCAGTATAAACCAGTATAAACCAGTCCAAACTAACCCAAACCAACCCAAACCCGCCCAGACCAGTCCAAACCAGCCCAAACCAGTACAAACCAGTATAAACCAGTCCAAACCAGTCCAAACCAGCACAAACCAGTACAAACCAGTACAAACCAGTACAAACCAGTCCCTTGGCTCTTTAATGGCCCGAGCAGCGCGGGGGGGGAGGGGCGGCCCCGCCCGGGGAATAAATAGGGGGAAAAGGGGATTTTGGGGCATTTTAAATTCATTTTTTTAATTCATTTTTTAATTCATTTTTTAATTCATTTTTTAATTCATTTTTTAATTCATTTTTTGGGGGTTTTTTGGGGGATTTTTTGGGATTATTTGGGATTTTTTAAGGGGTTTTTTTGGGGTTTTTTTTGGGATTATTTGGGATTTTTTAAGGGTTTTTTGGGGGGGGTTTTGAGTTTTTGGGGGTTTTTGGGAGAATTTTTGGGGTTTTTTAGAGGGGTTTTTGGGCTTTTTTGTTTGTTTATTTGTAGTTTCTTGGGGTTTTTTGGGGATTTTTTGGAGAGTTTTTTGGGATTATTTGGGATTTTAAAGGGCTTTTTTTTAATCTTTTGGGGGGCTTTCTATAGGGTTTTTTTAGGGCTTTTTTTGAGGCTTTTCTTGGAGATTTTTTTGGGGTATTTTTTTTTTGTCCAGGTTTTTTTTTTAGGCATTTCTGGGGTTTCTTTGCGGGTTTTTTTAGGGCTTTTTTGGGAGCCTTTTTGGGGTTTTTCAAGGTTTTTTTTTCCAAGGTTTTTCTGGGATTTTTTTGGGGGGATTTTTTTCAAGGCTTTTCTGTGGTTTTATATTTTGGGGTTTTTAGGTCTTTTTTCGAGGCTTTTCTGGGAGGTTTCTTTGGGGTTTTTTTAGGGCTTTTTTGGGGTCTTTTGGGGGGTTTTTATAGGCCTTTTTTTCGGGGTTTTTTTTTTTTAGGGCATTTTTCGAGGCTTTTCTGGGACGATTTTTTGGAGTTTTTTGGGGGTTTTTAGAGCATTTTTTGAGGCTTTTCTGGGAGGTTTTTTGGGGCCTTTTAGGGCATTTTTCGAGGCTTTTCTGGGAGGATTTTTTGGGGTATTTTTAGGGCATTTTTCGAGGCTTTTCTGGAAGGATTTTTTGGGGCTTTTTGGAGCATTTTTCGAGGCTTTTCTGGGAGGATTTTTTGGGGCTTTTTGGGTTTTTTAGGGCATTTTTCGAGGCTTTTCTGGGAGGTTTCTTTGGGGCTTTTGGGGTTTTTTTAGGGCATTTTCCGAGGCTTTTCTGGGTCTTTTTGGAGCATTTTTTGAGGCTTTTCTGGGAGAATTTTTTGGGGCTTTTTGAGGTTTTTTAGGGCATTTTTCGAGGCTTTTCTGGGAGGATTTTTTGGGGCTTTTTGGGGTTTTTTAGGGCATTTTTCGAGGCTTTTCTGGGAGAATTTTTTGGGGCTTTTTGGGTTTTTTTAGAGCATTTTTCGAGGCTTTTCTGGGACGATTTTTTGGAGCTTTTTGGGGGGTTTTAGAGCATTTTTTGAGGCTTTTCTGGGAGGATTTTTTAGTGCTTTTTTAGGGCATTTTTCGAGGCTTTTCTGGGACGATTTTTTGGGGCTTTTTAGAGCATTTTTCGAGGCTTTTCTGGGAGGTTTTTTTGGGGGTTTTAGGGCATTTTTCGAGGCTTTTCTGGGAGTTTTTTGGGGTTTATTTGGGGCTTTTTTGGGGATTTTCAGCTCTTTTATTGGGTTATATTTTGGACTTTTTTTAGGCGGCTTTTCTGGGATGTATTTTTGGGGGATTTTTAAGCTCTTTTTTCTTGTTTTTTCTGGGATTTTTTCCGGGGTTTCACAGCTCTTTTTCTGAGGCTTTTCTGGAGTTTTTTGGGGTTTTTTTCGGGTATTTTCCAAGGTTTTCACGGGGTTTTTTGGGGGTTTTTTTTCAGGTTTTTTTTTTTTGGTGCCGTTTTTTATTCCGTTTCTCGGCGGGGGTTGGGGCTGTGGCTTTCGGGGGCGCCGTTTTTGGGGTTTTTCTGTCTCGGGGTCACTTGAGGCAGCGCTCGAAGTAGGTGGCGCCGACGTAACCGCCGCGGAGCGAGCGCTGCACGTTCTGCTCGAACAGGCGGCGGTTGCTCTGCAGCACCTCGGCCGCCTCCTTGTTCAGGGGGTCCTCGGGGTTTGGTTCCTGTGGGGAATGTCCCAAAATTCCTGGAAATCCTATAGAATTCCTTCACAGACCCAAAATCCCCGGAAATCCTAAAGAATCCGCTCACAGCCCCAAAATCCCCCTAAAATCCCATAAAATCCTCCTAAAATCCTAAAGAATCCAATCACGGCCCCAAAATCTCTGTAAATCCTAAAGAATCTGCTCACAGCCCCAAAATCCCCCTAAAATCCCATAAATCCTCCGAAAATCCTAAAGAAACCGCTCACAGCCCCAAAATCTCCCTAAATCCTAAAGAAACCGCTCACAGCCCCAAAATCCCTTCACAGCCCCAAAACCTCCTTAAATCCTAAAGAATCTGCTCACAGCCCCAAAATCCCCCTAAAAATCCCATAAATCATCCTAAAATCCTACAGAATCCGCTCACAGTCCAAAAATCTCCAGAAATCCTAAAGAGTCCCCTCACAGCCCCAAAATTGCCGGAAATCCTAAAGAATCCGCTCACAGCGACAAAAATCCATAAATCGTAAAGAATCCACTCACAGCCCCAAAATCTCCCTAAATCCTAAAGAATCTGCGCACAGCCCCAAAATCTCCCTAAATCCTAAAGAATTTGGTCACAGCCCCAAAATCTCTGTAAATCCTAAAGAATCCCTTCACAGCCCCAAAATCTCCCTAAATCCTAAAGAATCTGCTCACAGACTCAAAATCTCCCTAAATCCCATAAATCCTCCTAAAAGCCTAAAGAATCCCCTCAGAGCCACAAAATCCCTTCACAGCCCCAAATTCTCCTTAAATCCTAAAGAATTCCCTCACAGCCCCAAAATCCCCCTAAATCCTAAAGAATCCGCTCACAGCCCCAAAAATCCGCTCACAGCCCCAAAATCCCCCTAAAAATCCCATAAATCCTCCTAAAATCCCACAGAATCCCTTCATAGCCCCAAATTCTCTGTAAATCCTAAAGAGTTCGCTCACAGCCCCAAAATCTCCATAAATCGTAAAGAATTCACTCACAGCCCCAAAATCTTAGTAAATCTTAAAGAATCCACTCACAGCCCCAAAATCCCCCTAAAATCCCATAAATCCTCCTAAAATCCCAAAAAATCTGCTCACAGCCCCAAAATCTCCATAAATCCTAAAGAATCCCCTCACAGCCCCAAAATCCCCCTAAAATCCCATAAATCCTCCTAAAATCCCACAGAATCCGCTCACAGCCCCAAAATCCCTTCACAGCCCCAAAATCTCCCTAAATCCTAAAGAATCCCTTCACAGTCCCAAAATCCACCTAAATCCTAAAGAATTCGCTCACAGCCGCAAAATTTCGCTAAAATCCCATAAATCCTCCTAAAATCCCAAAGAATCCGCTCACAGCCCCAAAATCTCCCTAAATCGTAAAGAATCCACTCACAGCCCCAAAATCCCCCTAAAATCCCACAAAACATCCCCTGAATCACTTCACAGCCCTCAAATCCTCCTAAAATCCCATAAATCCTCCTAATATCCCACAGAATCACTTCACAGCCCCAAAATCTCCCTAAATCCTAAAGAATCTGCTCACAGCCCCAAAATCTCCCTAAAAATCCCATAAATCCTCCCAAAATCCTAAAGAATCCCTTCACAGCCCCAAAAATCCGTAAATCCTAAAGAATCCGCTCACAGCCCCAAAATCTCTGTAAATCGTAAAGAATTCCCTCACAGCCCCAAAATCTCCCTAAATCCTACAGAATCCGCTCACAGCCCCAAAATCCCCCTAAAAATCCCATAAATCCTCCCAAAATCCTAAAGAATCCCTTCACAGCCCCAAAAATCCGTAAATCCTAAAGAATCCGCTCACAGCCCCAAAATCTCTGTAAATCCTAAAGAATCTGCTCACAGCCCCAAAATCCCCCTAAAAATCCCATAAATCCTCCTAAAATCCCACAGAATCCGCTCACAGCCCCAAAAATCCGTAAATCCTAAAGAATCCGCTCACAGCCCCAAAATCTCCCTAAATCCTACAGAATCTGCTCACAGCCCCAAAAATCCCCCTAAATCCTAAAGAATTACCTCACAGCCCCAAAATTTCCATAAATCGTAAAGAATCCCCTCACAGCCCCAAAATCTCCCTAAATCCTAAAGAATCCGCTCACAGCCCGAAAATCTCCATAAATCCTAAAGAATCCCCTCACAGCCCCAAAATCGCCCTAAAATCCCATAAATCCTCCTAAAATTCTAAAGAATCTGCTCACAGCCCCAAAATCGCCCGAAATCCTTCAGAATCCGCTCACAGCCCCAAAATCCTAAAGAATCCGCTCACAGCCCCAAAATCTCCCTAAATCCTACAGAATCCGCTCACAGCCCCAAAATCTCTGTAAATCGTAAAGAATCCGCTCACAGCCCCAAAATCCCCCTAAAAATCCCATAAATCTTCCTAAAATCCCAAAAAATCTGATCACAGCCCCAAAATCTCTGTAAATCCTATAGAATCCGCTCACGGCCCCAAAAATCCCAGAAATCCTACAGAATCCGCTCATAGCCCCAAAAATCCGTAAATCCCACAGAATCCGCTCACAGCCCTAAAATATCCACAAATCCTAAAGAATCCACTCACAGCCCCAAAATCCCCCTAAAATCCCATAAATCCTCCTAAAATACCACAGAATCTGCTCACAGCCCCAAAATCCCCCTAAAATCCCACAAAACATCCCCCGAATACCTTCACAGCCCCAAAATCCCCAAATCCCCCTAAATCCTGTAAATCCTCCTAAAATCCCCCAGAATCCCTTCACAGCGCCCAAAATCCCCTCACAGCCCCAAAATCCCTTTAAAATCCCTCAGAACCTCCCTAAAATCCCACAGAATCCCCTCACAGCCCTGAAATCCCAAAATCCCCCTAAAATCCCACAAAAACCTCCTTCCACAGCCCCCAAATCCCAGAATTCCCCTAAAATCCCAGAAAATCCTCTTAAAATCCCACAAAATCCCTTCACAGCCCCAAAATCCCAAAATTCCCCCAAAATCACCTAAATCCCCCTAAACCCCCCCCAGAATTCCTTCATAGCCCCAAAACCCCCTAAAATCCCACAAAAATTCCCCTAAAATCCCACAGAATCCCCTCACAGCCCCAAAATCCCCCTAAAATCCCACAAAATCCTCCTAAAAATCCCACAGAATCCCCCTAAAATCCGACAGAATCCCCTCACAGCCCCAAAATCCCCCTAAAATCCCACAAAAACCTTCCACAGCCCCCAAATCCCAAAATCCCCCTAAAATCCCCCCAAAACCACCCAGAACCTCTTCAGATTCCCCAAATCCCTGAATTCCCCCAAAATCCCCCAAATCCCACAAACCCTTGTCTGGGGTTTGGCTCCTTCTGGGGAAAAATTTGGGGTTTGAGGGACCCCAAAATTCCCCTAAAATCCCATAAAAACCCTTCAGATTGCCCAAATCCCAGAATTCCCCCAAAACCCAAAAATTCCCGCAAAACTGCAAATCCCCAGAATTCCTCCCAAACCCCAAATCCCGGAATTCCCCCAAAACGCCAAATCCCAGAATTCCCCTAAAACCCCAAAATTCCCCCAGAACTGCAAATCCCAAAATTCCCCCAAACACACAAATCCCAGAATTCCCCAAAACCCCAAAATTCCCGCAAAACCACTAATCCCGGAATTCCCCCAAAACCCGAAATTCCTCTCAAAACCCCAAATCCCAGAATTCCTCCAAAACCCCAAAATTCCCCCAAAACCACTAATCCCGTAATTCCCCCAAATCCCAGAATTCCCCTAAAACCCCAAAACTCCCCCAAAACCCCAAATCCCAGAATTCCCCTAAAACCCCAAAATTCCCCCAAAACCCCAAATCCCAGAATTCCTCCAAAACCCCAAAACCCAAAAATTCCCCCCAAACCCCAGAATTCCCCCAAATCCCAAAATTCCCCCAAAACCCCAAAATTCCCCCAGAACTGCAAATCCCAAAATTCCCCCAAACACACAAATCCCAGAAACCCAAATCCCAGAATTTCCCCAAAACCCCAAAATTCCCCCAAAACCCCAAATCCCAGAATTTCCCCAAAACCCCAAAATTCCCCCAAAACCCCAAATCCCAGAATTCCCCTAAAACCCCAAAATTCCCCCAAAACCCCAAATCCCAGAATTCCCCTAAAACCCCAAAATTCCTCCAAAACCCTAAATCCCGGAATTCCCCCAAAACCCCAAATCCCAGAATTCCCCTAAACCCCAAAATTCCCCCAAAACCCCAAATCCCAAAATTCCCCCAAATCCCGGAATTCCCCAATCCCGGCACCCTCCTTTCCTTTGGGGGAACATTTGGGGTCGGGGGATCCCAAGACCCCCCTGGGAAGCCCCAGAGCCCCCCCAGGTGTCCCCAGGTGTGTCCCCAGGTGTGTCCCAGGTGTGTCCCCATATCCCCCCATGTCCCAGGTGTCCCCGTGTCCCCCCAGGTGTCCCCCCATGTCCCCAGGTGTGTCCCCATGTCCCCCCACGTCCCCCAGGTGTGTCCCCAGGTGTCCCCCCAGGTGTCCCCGTGTCCCCAGGTGTCCCCAGGTGTGTCCCAGGTGTGTCCCCATGTCCCCCCATGTCCCCAGGTGTGTCCCCATGTCCCCCCACGTCCCCCCAGGTGTGTCCCCGTGTCGCCAGGTGTGTCCCAGGTGTGTCCCCGTGTCCCCAGGTGTCCCCCCAGGTGTCCCCAGGTGTGTCCCCATGTCCCCCCCATGTCCCAGGTGTCCCCCCAGGTGTGTCCCTCACCAGGAACAGGTACTGCAGGCCGTAGATGATGGAGTTGATGGTCAGCACCGGCTTCCAGTCCTCCCTGCGGGCACACAGCGGTCAGCAGCCACTGCCATGGCCACTGCGGCCACAGCCATGGCCAGCGGTCACTGCGGCCACTGTGGCCACTGCGGCCACTGCGGCCACAGCCATGGCCACCATGGCCACCATGGCCACCATGGCCACGGCCAGTGGTCAGCAGTCAGTGGGTGGGAAGTGGTCAGTGATCAGCAGTCAGTGGTCAGTGGTCAGTGGTCAGGGGTCAATGGTCAATGGTCAGTGGTCAGTGGTCAATGGTCAGTGGTCAATGGTCAGTGGTCAGGGGTCAATGGTCAGTGGTCAATGGTCAGTGGTCAATGGTCAATGGTCAGTGGTCAGTGGTCAGCGGTCAATGGTCAGTGGTCAGTGGTCAGTGGTCAGTGGTCAGTGGTCAAAGGTCAGCAGTCAGTGGTCAGTGGTCAATGGTCAGTGGTGAATGGTCAGTAGTCAGTGGTCAGTGGTCAGTGGTCAGTGGTCAGTGGTCAGTGGTCAGTGGTCAATGGTCAGTGGTCAGTGGTCAATGGTCAGTGGTCAGTGGTCAGTGGTCAATGGTCAGTGGTCAATGGTCAGTGGTCAGTGGTCAATGGTCAGTGGTCAGTGGTCAGTGGTCAATGGTCAGTGGTCAGTGGCCAGTGGTCAATGGTCAGTGGTCAATGGTGAATGGTCAGCGGTCACTGGTCAGTGGTCAATGGTCAGGGGTCAGTGGGTGGGAAGTGGTCAATGGTCAGTGGTCAGCGGTCAGTGGTCAGTGGTCAGTGGTCAGTGGTCAATGGTCAATGGTCAGTGGTCAGTGGTCAGCGGTCAGTGGTCAGTGGTCAGTGGTCAGCGGTCAGTGGTCAATGGTGAGTGGTCAGTGGTCAATGGTCAGTGGTCAGTGGTCAATTGTCAGCAGTCACTGGTCAGTGGTCACTGGTCAGTGGTCAGTGGTCACTGGTCAATGGTCAGCGGTCAGTGGTCACTGTGGCCGCAGCCATGGCCAGAGGTCAGCGGTCACTGCAGCCACCACAGCCCCCAGCTGGTGGCCACTGCCCCCCCCAGGTGTGTCACAGGTGTGTCACTGCCCCCCCAGGTGTGTCACTAACCCCTCAGGTGTGTCACAGGTGTGTCACAGGTGTGTCACAGGTGTGTCACTAACCCCCCAGGTGTGTCACAGGTGTGTCACTAGCCCCCCCAGGTGTGTCACTAACCCCCCAGGTGTGTCACTAACCCCCCACAGGTGTGTCACAGGTGTGTCACTAACCCCCCAGGTGTGTCACTAACCCCCCACAGGTGTGTCACAGGTGTGTCACAGGTGTGTCACTAACCCCCCAGGTGTGTCACGGGTGTGTCACTAACCCCCCCAGGTGTGTCACTAACCCCCCCAGGTGTGTCACAGGTGTGTCACTAACCCCCCCAGGTGTGTCACTAACCCCCCAGGTGTGTCACTAACCCCCCAGGTGTGTCACAGGTGTGTCACAGGTGTGTCACAGGTGTGTCACAGGTGTGTCCCAGGTGTGTCACAGGTGTGTTTTTAGCCCACCTGAGGATGTTGAGGCACACGTTGCCCTCCAGGTCGATGTTGGGGTGATACACCATCGTCTCGCACTTCACCTTCGGGGGGTCGTGCGGGTACCCCTGTCCCACCTGCGGGGCCACCACGTCACCCACGGGGCCACCTGGTCACCCTCGGTGGCCACAGGGGGGGTTTGGTGGCCACAGGTGGGGTTTGGTGGCCACAGGGGACATTTGGTGGCCATACAGGGGGGGTTGGTGGCCCAGCACTGACCTTGAAGCTGAAGACGAATTTGCCGCCCTTGTAGAAACCCTGGGGACAGAGACAGGTCAGGACTGGCAGGGGACAGGGAGGGGACACAGGTGGCACAGGTGGCACACACAGGTGACACACACAGGTGGCACAGGTGACACAAGGAGGTTCCCCAGGTGCCCCCCAGGTGACACAGGTGACACCCAGGTGACACACACAGGTGACACCCAGGTGTCCCCATGTCCCCACTGTCCCATGCCCCATGTCCCCGTGTCCCGGTCACGGTCCCTGTCCATGTCCCTGTGTCCCATGTCCCGATCCCAGTCCCATGTCCCTGTCCCGGTGCCGGTCCCGTGTCCCTGTCCCAGTCCCATGTCCCCTGTCCCATGTCCCTGTCCCGTGTCCCCATGTCCCTGTCCTGGTCCCGGTCCTGTGTCCCTGTCCCGGTCCCTGTCCTGGTCCTGGTCCCTGTCTGTGTCCCCATGTCCAGTGTCCCATGTCCCCATGTCCCCTGTCCCATGTCCCCATGTCCCCGTGTCCCTGTCCCTGTCCCGATCCCAGTCCCGTGTCCCTGTCCTGGTGCCGGTCCCATGTCCCATGTCCCTGTCCCATGTCCCTGTCCGTGTCCCGGTCCCGTGTCCCCATGTCCCATGTCCCAGTCCCGTGTCCCGGTCCCTGTCCATGTCCCTGTGTCCCCGTGTCCCATGTCTCTGTCCCGTGTCCTGTGTCCTGGTCCCAGTCCCGTGTCCCGTGTCCCCATGTCCCAGTCCCATGTCCCAGTCCCAGTCCCGTGTCCCGTGTCCTTGCTGTGGTGTGTCCCCATGTCCCTGTCCCGGTCCCGGTCCTGTGTCCCTGTCCCGGTCCCGGTCCTGTGTCCCTGTCCGTGTCCCCGTGTCCCCATGTCCCGGTCCTGTGTCCCAGTCCCATGTCCCAATCCCAGTCCCATGTCCCCATGTCCCCATGTCCCCGTGTCCCATGTCCCAGTCCCGTGTCCCATGTCCCCGTGTCCCGGCCCCGTGTCCCGGTCCCGGTCCCTGTCCCGTGTCTCAGTCCCATGTCCCAGTCCCATGTCCCGGTCCCGTGTCCTGGTCCCATGTCTCATGTCCCATGTCCCTGTCTCGGTCCTGTGTCCCTGTCCCATGTCCCTGTCCCAGTCCTGGTCCCAGTCCCGTGTCCTGGTGCTGGTGCCGGTCCCGTGTCCCATGTCCCCGTGTCCCCGTGTCCCTGTGTCCCCGTGTCCCCGTGTCCAGGTCCCGGTCCCTGTCCATGTCCCTGTGTCCCTGTGTCCCTGTGTCCTGATCCCAGTCCCATGTCCCGGTCCTGTGTCCCTGTCCCTGTCCCATGTCCCTGTCCCATGTCCCAATCCCGTGTCCCCATGTCCCCATGTCCCAGTCCCTGTCCCTGTCCCCATGTCCCCATGTCCCCATGTCCCAGTCCCTGTCCCTGTCCCCATGTCCCCATGTCCCCATGTCCCCATGTCACTGTCCCTGTCCCTGTCCCTGTCCCACCTCGTCGGGGCAGATGAGCAGGCGGAAGTGCAGGAGATCGTCCTGGTCCCCTGTCCCTGTCCCAGTCCCAGTCCCAGTCCTGTGTCCCCATGTCCCCATGTCCCCATGTCCCCGTGTCCCCATGTCCCCATGTCCCTGTCCCCATGTCCCCATGTCCCCATGTCCCTGTCCCGGTCCCACCTCGTCGGGGCAGATGAGCAGGCGGAAGTGCAGGAGATCGTCCTGGTCCCATGTCCCTGTCCCTGTCCCTGTCCCATGTCCCCTGTCCCTGTCCATGTCCCAGACCCATGTCCATGTCCCTGTCCCTGTCCATGTCCCCATGTCCCCATGTCCCCATGTCCCCGTGTCCCCATGTCCCCATGTCCCCATGTCCGTGTCCCCATGTCCCCGTGTCCCTGTCCCGGTCCCACCTCGTCGGGGCAGATGAGCAGGCGGAAGTGCAGGAGATCGTCCTGGTCCTGTGTCCCTGTCCCATGTCCCCATGTCCCCATGTCCCCATGTCCCCGTGTCCCTGTCCCGTGTCCCCATGTCCCCATGTCCCTGTCCCTGTCCCTGTCCCGGTCCCACCTCGTCGGGGCAGATGAGCAGGCGGAAGTGCAGGAGATCGTCCTGGTCCCATGTCCCATGTCCCTGTCTGTGTCCCCATGTCCCCATGTCCCCATGTCCCGTGTCCCTGTCCCTGTCCCGTGTCCCCGAGTCCCATGTCCCTGTCCCCATGTCCCCATGTCCCCATGTCCCCATGTCCCTGTCCCACCTCGTCGGGGCAGATGAGCAGGCGGAAGTGCAGGAGATCGTCCTGGTCCGAGAAGTCGATCTCACACGTCTTGGGCAGGTTCAGCTCGTTGATGTCTGTGGGGACAGCAGGGACATTGAGGGGACAGCAGGGACACTGAGGGGACACTGAGGGACAGCGGGGACAGCGGGGACAGCAGGGACATTGAGGGGACAGCGGGGACACTGAGGGGACATTGAGGGACAGTGGGGACACTGAGGGGACAGCGGGGACACTGAGGGGACACTGAGGGACAGCAGGGACACTGAGGGGACAGCAGGGACAGCAGGGACACTGAGGGGACAGCGGGGACACTGAGGAACAGCAGGGACACTGAGGGACAGCGGGGACACTGAGGGGACAGCGGGGAGAGCAAGGACACTGAGGGACACTGAGGAGACACTCAGGGGACACTGAGGGGACACTGAGGGGACAGTGGGGACACTGAGGGGACAGCGGGGACACTCAGGGGACAGCGGGGACACTGAGGGGACACTGAGGGGACAGCGGGGACAGCAAGGACACTGAGGGACAGCGGGGACACTGAGGGGACAGCGGGGACACTGAGGGACACAGGTGACACACAGGTGACACAGGTGACACAGGTGACACAGGTGACACACAGGTGACACACAGGTGACAGGTGACACACGGGTGACACACAGGTGACACACAGGTGACACACAGGTGACAGGTGACACACAGGTGACAGGTGACACACAGGTGACACACGGGTGACACACAGGTGACACACGGGTGACACACGGGTGACACACAGGTGACAGGTGACACACGGGTGACACACAGGTGACAGGGCCGTAACAATCTCGTGACCCCAACCCCTGCCTGGCCCATCCCTGGCCCAGGAAAGCCCAACTGGGACCAGACTGGGACCAAACTGGGCCATACTGGGACTAAACTGGGACCAAACTGGGACCAAACTGGGCCATACTGAGATCATACTGGGTCATACTGGGATCATACTGGGACTAAACTGGGCCATACTGGGCCACGGGACCAAACTGGGACCATACTGGGATAATTCTGGGACCAAACTGGGATAATACTGGAACCATATTGGGCCATACTGGGATCATTCTGGGATCATACTGGGCCATACTGGGACCGTACTGGGCCATGGCATCAAACTGGGACCAAACTGGGCCATACTGGGACGCTCACCAAGGCCTTACTGGTCCCAGTATGTGCGCCCTATTGGTCCCAGTACCAGTCCCCAGCAAGGCACTACTGGGACCAGTATGTGACCCTTACTGGGACCAGTATGTGACCCCTACTGGGACCAGTCTGTGCCCCTTACTGGGACCAGTTGGTGGCATTACCGGGCCAAGCATGTGGCTCTTACTGGGACCAGTTTCCGTCCCTGACTGGTCCCAGTTTCTCTCACTTACTGGTCCCAGTTCAAGGCCCTTATTGGCTCCAAGTTATGGCACTTACTGGTCCCAGTTCAAGGCCCTTACTGGTCCCAGTTTCTGTCCCTTACTGGTCCCAGTTGCCAAGCCTTACTGGTCCCAGTTCCATCCCTTACTGGCCCCTTACTGGCCCCAGTTTCCATCTTTTACTGGTCCCAGTTTCCATCCCTTACTGGCCCCAGTTTCCATCCCTCACTGGCCCCATTTCCGTCCCTTACTGGTCCCAGTTCCCGACTCTTACTGGTCCCAGTTTCCATCCCTTACTGGTCCCAGTTTAAGTCCCTTACTGGGCCCAGCTTGAGGCCCTTACTGGGACCAGTTGGTGGCCATTACTGAGCGAAGCATGTGGCTCTTACTGGGACCAGTTTGGGGCCGTTACTGGTCCCAGTTTCCATCCCTTACTGGTCCCAGTTGCCAACCCTTACTGGTCCCAGTTCCATCCCTTACTAGCCCCTTACTGGCCCCAGTTTCCATCTTTTACTGGTCCCAGTTTCCGTCCCTTACTGGCCCCAGTTTCCGACCCTTACTGGCCCCAGTTTCCGACCCTTACTGGTTCCAGTTTCCGACCCTTACTGGTCCCAGTTCCAGGCCCTTACTGGGCCCAGTTCCAGTCCCTTACTGGGCCCAGCTTGCGGCCCTTACTGGGACCAGTTGGTGGCCATTACTGGGCCAAGCATGTGGCTCTTACTGGGACCAGTTTGGGGCCGTTACTGGTCCCAGTTTTCGTCCCTTACTGGCCCCAGTTTCCATCCCTTACTGGTCCCAGTTGCCGACTCTTACTGGTCCCAGTTTAAGTCCCTTACTGGGCCCAGCTTGTGGCCGTTACTGGGACCAGTTGGTGGCCATTACTGGTCCCAGTTTAAGTCTCTTACTGGGCCCAGCTTGAGGCCCTTACTGGGCCCAGTTGGTGGCCATTACTGGGCCAAGCATGTGGCTCTTACTGGGACCAGTTTGGGGCCGTTACTGGCCCCATTTCCATCCCTCACTGGCCCCAGTTTCCATCCCTTACTGGTTCCAGTTTCCATCCCTTACTGGCCCCAGTTTCTGTCCCTTACTGGTCCCAGTTTCTGTCCCTTACTGGGCCCAGCTTGAGGCCCTTACTGGGACCAGTTGGTGGCCATTACTGGGCCAAGCATGTGGCTCTTACTGGTCCCAGTTTGGGGCCGTTACTGGGACCAGTTGGTGGCAATTACTGAGCGAAGCATGTGGCTCTTACTGGGACCAGTTTGGGGCCGTTACTGGTCCCAGTTTCCGTCCCTCACTGGCCCCATTTCCATCCCTTACTGGTTCCAGTTTCCGACCCTTACTGGTTCCAGTTTCCGACCCTTACTGGTTCCAGTTTCTGTCCCTTACTGGGCCCAGCTTGCAGCCCTTACTGGGACCGGTTGGTGGTCATTACTGGGCCAAGCATGTGGCTCTTACTGGCCCCAGTTTGGGGCCGTTACTGGTCCCAGTTTAAGTCCCTTACTGGGACCAGTTGGTGGCCATTACTGAGCGAAGCATGTGGCTCTTACTGGGACCAGTTTGGGGCCGTTACTGGTCCCACTTTCCATCCCTTACTGGTCCCAGTTTCCATCCCTTACTGGCCTCAGTTTCCGACCCTTACTGGTTCCAGTTTCTGTCCCTTACTGGGCCCAGCTTGCGGCCCTTACTGGGACCAGTTGGTGGCCATAACTGGGCCAAGCATGTGGCTCTTACTGGGACCAGTTTGGGGCCATTACTGGTCCCAGTTTCCGACCCTTACTGGCCCCAGTTTCTGTCCCTTACTGGTTCCAGTTTCCGACCTTTACTGGTTCCAGTTTCTGTCCCTTACTGGGCCCAATTTAAGTCCCTTACTGGGCCCAGCTTGTGGCCCTTACTGGGACCAGTTTGGGGCCGTTACTGGTCCCAGTTTCCATCCCTCACTGGCCCCAGTTTCTGTCCCTTACTGGCCCCAGTTCCTGTCCCTTACTGGTCCCAGTTTAAGTCCCTTACTGGCCCTAGTTTCCATTCCTTAGTGGTCCTAGTTTAAGTCCCTTACTGGTTCCAGTTTCTGTCCCTTACTGGGCCCATCTTGAGGCCCTTACTGGGACCAGTTGGAGGCCACTACTGAGCAAAGCATGTGGCCCTTACTGGGACCAGTTTGGGGCTGTTACTGGTCCCAGTTTCCATCCCTTACTGGCCCCAGTTCCCGTCCCTCACTGGCCCCAGTTTCCGTCTCTTACTGGTCCCAGTTGCCGACCCTTACTGGCCCCAGTTCCAGGCCCTTACTGATCCCAGTTTAAGTCCCTTACTGGGCCCAGCTTGCAGCCCTTACTGGGACCAGTTGGTGGCCATTACTGGGCCAGCATGTGGCTCTTACTGGCCCCAGTTTGGGGTCGTTACTGGTCCCAGTTTCCATCCCTTACTGGCCCCAGTTTGGGGCCGTTACTGGTCCCAGTTTCCATCTTTTACTGGCCCCAGTTTCTGTCCCTTACTGGTCCCAGTTTCCAACTCTTACTGGTCCCAGTTCCAGGCCCTTACTGGGCCCAGCTTACGGCCCTTACTGGGACCAGTTGGTGGCCATTACTGGGCCAAGCATGTGGCTCTTACTGGGACCAGTTTGGGGCCGTTACTGGTCCCAGTTCCCGTCCCTCCCTGGCCCCATTTCCATCCCTCCCTGGCCCCATTTCCGTCCCTCCCTGGCCCCGTTCCCGGCCCCGTTCCCGTCCCGTTCCCGCCCCGTTCCCGTCCCGCTTTCCGTGCCCGCCGCCTCCCGCGGACCTTTCTGGATGCGGAGCTGCGCGGCCGAGGCCTTTTTGCTGGAGCTCTTGGTGCCGCCCGCCGATTCCTCCTCCTTCTTCTGCTGCTTCAGCGAGAACAGCTTGATCATCCTGCCGGGCCGGGCCGGGGCGGCGGCACCGGGCGGGTCCGGGCCCCGCCGGGGCCGAGCGAGCGGGGCCGGGCCGGGCCGGGGGTCGGCGGCGAGCGCTGAGGGCGGCCGGTTCGGCAACTTCCGGAGCCGCTCGGCAACTTCCGGAGCCGCTCGGTAACTTCCGGAGCCGCTCGGGAATCTCCGGAACCGCTCGGGACTCTCCGGAACCGCTTCGCCACCGCCTCGGCAACTTCCGGAGTCGCTCGGGACTCTCCGTAACCGTTCGGCAACTTCCGGAGTCGCTCGGTAACTTCCGGAGCCGCTCGGGAATCTCCGGAACCGCTTCGCCACCGCCTCGGCAACTTCCGGGATGGCTTCGTGAAGCTCCGGCGGCGCTTCGGTAGAACTTCGGGAGTTTCCGGAATCGCTTCGTCAACCTCCGGAGGCGCTTGGAAGCGTTTCGCGGTTTGCGGACGGTCTCGGGGATGTCCGGAGAGGGGGAGGAGGTTCGGGAGCCTCCGGAACCGCTTCGGAACCGCTGGGCAATGTCCCGGGGCCGCTCCGCGGGTCTCTGGAATCGCCTCGAGAAGCTCCGCAGGGCTTCGGAACCGCTCGGCAAGCTCCGGTGTCGCCTGGCAACTTCCGGAACGGCTTCGGAAGCGTTTCGGGGGGTGGCGGAACCGCCTCGGGGTGCGCCGGCGCCGCTCGGGAACCGCTTCCGGAACCTCCGGAATGGTTCGGGGATCTCCGGAGCTGGGGGAGGGGCTCGGGGGGAAGGGGGGTCTCCGGAAGAGGCGGTTCGGGACCCCGCGGGACGTTCTGGAACGAATCGGGCGGGCCCGAGGCCGCCTCGGCTTTTTCCGGAAGGAAATCGACTCGTTCCGGCGCTTCGACCCCGCTTCGGTTATTTCCGGAACACTTCGGCTTTTTCCGGGCAAGGGGGCGGGGCGAGGCGCTCGGCTCTTTCCGGAAAACTTCGGCTCTTTCCGGCTCCCACCAGCCAATCCCGTGCCGGGGGCGGGGCTTGCGGCCCTTTCTCCCTGTGGGCGCCGCCATGTTCGCCATGGGCGCCGCCATCTTTGTTGGCCCGGGGCTGAACTGGGACCAGTTTCCCCTCCCAGCAGCTCCCAGTTCAGCTCGGGGGGCGGGGATGGAACGGGGGCGGTGTGCAGGGGTGGATCCAGCCCTGGAATGGGGCAGAATCCAGGAAATCCAAGCACAGAAATTGGGGCAGAATCCCGGAAATCCAAGCCCAGAAATTGGGGAAAATCCAGGAAATCCAAGCCCTAAAATTGGGGGAAATCCAGGACATCCAGGCACAGAAATCAGGGAGAATCCAGGAAATCCAAGCCCTGAAATGGGGGAGAATCCCCAAAATCCATGGCCTAAAATTGGGAAAAATCCAGGAAACCGAAACCCTAAAATTGGGGAAAATCCAGGAAACCCAAGCCTTGAAATTGGGGAAAATCCAGGAAACCCAAGCCCTAAAATTGGGAAAAATCCAGGAAACCCAAGCCCTGAAATTGGGAAAAATCCAAGAAATCCAGGCACAGAAATGAGGGAGAATCCAGGAAACCCAAGCCCTGAAATTGGGAAAAATCCAGGAAACCCAAGCCCTAATATTGAGGAGAATCCAGGAAACCCAAGCCCTGAAATTGGGGCAAATCCAGGAAACCCAAGCCCTAAAATTGGGGCAAATCCAGGAAATCCAAGCCCTAAAATTGGGGAAAATCCAGGAAATCCAAGCCCTGAAATTGGGGGAAATCCAGGAAACCCAAGCCCTGAAATTGGGGAAAATCCAAGGCCTAAAATTGGGAAAAATCCAGGAAACCCAAGCCCTAAAATTGAGGAAAATCCAGGAAACCCAAGCCCTAAAATTGAGGAAAATCCAGGAAACCAAAGCCCTAAAATTGGGGAAAATCCAGGAAATCAAAGCCCAGAAATTGGGGAAAATCCCGGAAATCCATCCCAGAACTGAGGCAGGACCCAGGAGACCACGGCAGGGCTTTATTTTCCCACGTGACCCCAGGAAAAGGGGGGACAGGGACACCCCCACGTCCCGGGGGGAACCCAAACCCCTGGGGGGGGGCTTTCACCCCCCAGGAGGGGCCATCAGGAGCCTGGAGGCACCTCCAGGGCTTCCTCGGGATCCAGCAGGAGCCGGGAGAACTTCTGGTCCCCGAAGGCGGCGCTGAGGCGGCTCTCCAGGAAGCGCTGCAGCCCCAGGATGGACTGGACGTCCGCTTTGTCCTGGGCGGGGGAAAAAGGGAATTCTCAGAGGGGCTGGATCCTCCAGGAACCCCCAGAGGAGCCCCCAGGGGCTGCCTGACCTCGGTGAGGCGGTGGAACTGGCGCAGCAGGCGCCAGCCGTCGCGGGCGAACTCCTCGGGGCTGCAGTAGTGGGGGCTCAGCTTCTCCTGCAGCCGCGCCCGCATCAGCGTCAGGTCCATGGCGTCGCGGCTGTCCTGCGGGGCCGGCGGCGCCGTCAGCGGCCCAGACGGGCGGATCCCAGCCCTGATCCCACCCCTGGTTCTGATCCATCCTCTGATCCCACCCCTGATCCATCCTCTGATCCCACCCGTGATCCTGATCCCACCCCCTGATCCTGATCTGTTCTCTGATCCCACCTCCTGATCCTGATCCGTTATCTGATCCCACCCCCTGATCCCAAACAGGGCTGATCCCACCCTTGATCCCCCCCAGATCCCACCCCCTGATCCCAGATTCCACCTCCTGATCCTGATCCATCCTCTGATCCCACCCCTGAACCTGATCCATCCTCTGATCCCACCTCCTGATCCCGATCCGTCCTCTGATCCCACCTCCTGATCCTAATCTGTTCTCTGATCCCACCTCCTTATCCTGATCCCACCCCTGATCCTGATCTGTTCTCTGATCCCACCCCTGATCCCAAACAGGGCTGATCCCACCCTTGATCCCCCCCAGATCCCACCCCCTGATCCTGATCCCACCCGGATCCCATCCCTGATCCTCCTCAGATCCCACCCCTGGTCCAGAGCCCACCCCAATCCCAACCCAGATCCCAATCCCACCCCGGATCCCAGATTCCAACCACGATCCCATCCCAGATCCTGATCCCTGATCAGATCCCACCTGCTCACCAGATCCCAGATCCCGCCTGCTCACCAGGGAGCTGATCCCACCCCCGATCCCAGATCCCGCCTGCTCACCAGGGAGCTGATCCCACCCCTGATCCCCTGTCAGGTCCCAGATCCCTCCCACTCATCAGGGAGTTGATCCCACCCAGATCCTACTCACTCACTGGGGAGCTGATCCCACCCCAGATCCCCCCCGATCCCAGATCCCGCCTGCTCACCAGGGAGCTGATCCCACCCAGATCCCAGATCCCAGACCCCGCCCACTCACCAGGGAGTTGATCCCACCCAGATCCCACCCCTGATCCTACCCAGATCCCAGACCCCACCCGCTCACGAGGGAGCTGATCCCACCCCAGATCCCCTGTCAGGTCCCAGATCCCTCCTGCTCATCAGGGAGTTGATCCCACCCCTGATCCCAGATTCCACCCACTCACTGGGGAGCTGATCCCTCCCCTGATCCCACCCTGGTCCCAAATCCCCTCTGATCCCGCCCGCTCACCGGGGAGCTGATCCCCACCGATCCCAGATCCCAGACCCCACCTGCTCACCGGGGAGCTGATCCCACCCCTGATCCCACCCTGGTCCCAGATCCCCTCTGATCCAGCCCACTCACCAGGGAGCTGATCCCCCCCCAATCCCGGATCCCATCTGCTCACTGGGGAGCTGATCCCACCCCTGATCCCCTGTCAGGTCCCAGATCCCTCCTGCTCATCAGGGAACTGATCCCACCCCTGATCCCACCCCTGATCCCAGATTCCACCCACTCACTGTAGAGCTGATCCCACCCCAGATTCCCCCAGATCCCAGACCCCGCCCGTTCACCAGGGAGCTGATCCCTCCCCTGATCCCCCCCCAGATCTTGGATCCCTCCCACTCACCAGGGAGCTGATCCCCCCCCAATCCCACATCCCATCTGCTCACTGGAGAGCTGATCCCACCCCTGATTCCACCCCAGATCCCCCCTGATCCCAGACCCCGGCGCTCACCGGGGAGCTGATGCCACCCCAGATCCCCCCCGATCCCGGATCCCGGATCCCATCTCCTCACCGGGGAGCTGCAGAGGCGCTGCAGGGGCCGGCAGGGCTCGTGGCACAGCAGCTCCAGCAGGACGAACTCGCAGCGCTGCGGGGTCGGCATCGCTGCTGAGATCCCGGCGGGAACGGATCCCACGGGATCAACCCGGCGGGATCAGCCCGGCCTCACCTGCTGGTCCTGGGGGCTCAGCTTGAGGGGGGGGCCCGGCTCCGGCTGCAGCGGCGGCTCCGGCACGGGCGGGGGCAGCTCCTGGCACAGCAAACACGTCCACTCGGGGCTGCAGATCGGCAACGGGGTCACCGGGATCGGGGCCCGGGGATCCCCATGGGGCTGGGATCAGCATCCAGGGATCCCCATGGGGCTGCGGGATCGGCAACGGGGTCACCGGGATCGGGGCCCGGGGATCCCCATGGGGCTGGGATCGGCAACGGGGTCACCGGGATCGGGGCCCAGGGATCCACACGGGGCTGGGATCAGCAACGGGGTCACCGGGATCGGCACCCAGGGATCCCCATGGGGCTGGGATCGGCAACGGGGTCACCGGGATCGGGGCCCGGGGATCCACACGGGGCTGGGATCAGTGCCCAGGGATCCCCATGGGGCTGCGGTATCGGCAACGGGGTCACGGGGAATCGGTGCCCGGGGATCCCCGCAGGGTTGGGATCGGCAACGGGGTCACCGGGATCGGGGCCCGGGATCCCCACGGGGCTGGGATCAGCAATGGGGTCACACGGGATCGGTGCCCGGGGATCCCCGTGGGGCCAGGATCGGCAACAGGGTCACCAGGATCGGGGCCCAGGGATCCCAATGGGGCTGGGATCGAGGGATCGGCAATGGGGTCACCGGGATCGGCACCCATGGACCCCCATGGGGCTGGGATCGGCAACAGGGTCACCGGGATCGGGGCCTGGGGATCCCCACGGGGCTGGGATCGAGGGATCGGCAATGGGGTCACCGGGATCGGCACCCATGGACCCCCATGGGGCTGGGATCGGCAACAGGGTCACCGGGATCGGGGCCTGGGGATCCCCACGGGGCTGGGATCGAGGGATCGGCAATGGGGTCACACGGGATCAGTGTTCGGGGATCCCCGTGGGGCTGGGATCGGCAATGGGGTCACGCGGGATCGGCGCCCAGGGATCCCCGTGGGGCTGGGATCGAGGGATCGGCACCCAGGGATCCCCATGGGGCTGGGATCGAGGGATCGGCAACGGGGTCACTGGGATTGGCGCCCGGGGATCCCCGTGGGGCTGGGATCGGCAATGGGGTCACATGGGATCGGGGCCCGGGGATCCCCATGGGGCTAGGATCGAGGGATCGGGAACAGGATCACACGGGATCGGTGCCCGGGGATCCCCACAGGGCTGGGATCGGCAATAGGGTCACACGGGATCAGTGCCCAGGGACCCCCATGGGGCTGGGATCGAGGGATCGGCAATGGGGTCACAAGGGATCGGCGCCCGGGGATCCCCATGGGGCTGGGATCAGCAATGGGGTCATGTGGGATCGGTGCCCGGGGATCCCCATGGGGCTGGGATCGGGGCCCGGGGATCCCCATGGGGCTGGGATCGAGGGATCGGCAACGGGGTCACACGGGGGATCGGTGCCCGGGGATCCCCACAGGGCTGGGATCAGCACCCAGGGACCCCCATGGGGCTGGGATCGAGGGATCAGCAACGGGGTCATGCGGGATCAACACCCAGGGATCCCCATGGGGCTGGGATCGAGGGATCGGCACCCAGGGATCCCCATGGGGCCGGGATCGGCAATGGGGTCACATGGGATCGGGGCCCGGGGATCCCCATGGGGCTGGGATCGGCAACGGGGTCATGTGGGATCGGTGCCCGGGGATCCCCATGGGGCTGGGATCGAGGGATCAGCAATGGGGTCATGCGGGATCAGCGCCCGGGGATCCCCATGGGGCCGGGATCGGGAACGGGGTCACACGGGATTGGCGCCCGGGGATCCCCGTGGGGCTGGGATCGAGGGATCGGCACCCAGGGATCCCCATGGGGCTGGGATCAGCAATGGGGTCACCGGGATCGGCGCCCGGGGATCCCCGTGGGGCTGAGATCGGCAACGGGGTCACCGGGATCGGGGCCTGGGGATCCCCATGGGGCTGGGATCGAGGGATCGGCAACGGGGTCACACGGGATCGGTGCCCAGGGATCCCCACAGGACTGGGATTGGCAATGGGGTCACACGGGATCGGTGCCCAGAGACCCCCAAGGGATGACACAGGGCAGTGGATCCCAGATGGGTGACACGGGGCAGTAGATCCCAGGGGGGTGACACAGGGCAGTGGATCCCAGGGGGTGACACAGGGCAGTGGATCCCAGGGGGTGACACGGGGCAGTGGATCCCAGGGGGTGACACGGGGCAGTGGATCCCAGGGGGGTGACACAGGGCAGTGGATCCCAGGGGGTGACACGGGGCAGTGGATCCCAGGGGGTGACACGGGGCAGTGGATCCCAGGGACATTGGGGGGTGACACGGGGCAGTGGATCCCAGGGACATGGGGGGGGCAGTGGATCCCAGGGGGGTGACACGGGGCAGTGGATCCCAGGGACATCGGGGGGGGGGGCAGTGGATCCCAGGGAGGTGACACAGGGCAGTGGATCCCAGGGAGGTGACACAGGGCAGTGGATCCCAGGGGGTGACACGGGGCAGTGGATCCCAGGGGGTGACACAGGGCAGTGGATCCCAGGGGGTGACACGGGGCAGTGGATCCCAGGGGGGTGACACGGGGCAGCAGATCCCAGCAGATCCCAGCAGATCCCAGCGGATCCCAGCGGATCCCGTACCTGGGCACGTCCTGCAGCGCGGGCAGGTGGCAGTGCAGGTGGAAGCAGCGCTGGCAGCGGTCACACATCACCACGGCCCCGGCCTGGCCGCACACGCGGCAGCACGACACCCCCGGGACCCCCGGGACCCCCGGGACCCCCGGGCCGGGCGAGGAGCCCAGGACAGGGCCCGGATCCCCCGGGGGAGGCGGCAGCAGCCCCACGGGTTTGATGTCCCCAATGTCCCCAATGTCACCGATGGGCGACTCCTGCTGCTCCTCCTGCGTGGGGGGACACGGTCAGGGACAGGGACAGGGACAGGGGACAGGGACAGGGACAGGGGCAGGGACAGGGACAGGGACAGGGACAGGGACAGGGGACACAGTCAGGGACAGGGACAGGGACAGGGACAGGGGCAGGGACAGGGACAGGGACAGGGACAGGGACAGGGGACACAGTCAGGGACAGGGACAGGGACAGGGACAGGGACAGGGACAGGGGACAGGGACAGGGACAGGGGACACAGTCAGGGACAGGGACAGGGACAGGGACAGGGACAGGGGACAGGGACAGGGACACAGGGACAGGGGACAGGGACAGGGGACAGGGACAGGGACAGGGACAGGGGACAGGGACAGGGACAGGGGACACAGTCAGGGACAGGGACAGGGACAGGGACAGGGACAGGGGACAGGGACAGGGGACACAGGGACAGGGGACAGGGACAGGGGACAGGGACAGGGACAGGGACAGAGACAGGGACAGGGGCAGGGACAGGGGACAGGGACAGGGACAGGGACAGGGACAGGGACATGGGACACGGTCAGGGACAGGGACAGGGACAGGGAGAGGGGACAGGGACAGGGACAGGGACAGGGACAGGGGACAGGGACAGGGACAGGGACAGGGGACAGGGACAGGGGACAGGGGACAGGGACAGGGACAGGGGACAGGGACAGGGGACAGGGACAGGGACAGGGGACAGGGACAGGGACAGGGGACAGGGACAGGGGACAGGGACAGGGACAGGGACAGGGACATGGGACACGGTCAGGGACAGGGACAGGGGACAGGGGACAGGGACAGGGATGGGGACAGGGGACAGGGACAGGGACAGGGGACAGGGACAGGGGACAGGGACAGGGACAGGGGACACGGTCAGGGACAGGGACAGGGGACAGGGACAGGGGACAGGGACAGGGGCAGGGACAGGGGACAGGGACAGGGACAGGGACAGGGGCAGGGACAGGGACAGGGACAGGGGACAGGGACAGGGGACAGGACAGGGGACAGGGGACACAGGGACAGGGGACACTAGAGGGGGTGGGGAGGGGACAAATGGGAATGGGAGTGGGACAGAGGACACTCACCTGGGTGGGGAGGGGACAGTGGGAACTGGAGGGGACACAGGGGACACTCACCTGGGTGGGGAGGGGACAGTGGGACACTCACCTGGGTGGGGAGGGGACAGTGGGACACTGCAGGGGACATGGGGGACACTCACCTGGGTGGGAAGGGGACACGGTGGACGCTCACCTTGACAAGAAGGACTCCATGTGACTGCACCGTCTGTGCTGTCCCTCCTGTCCCCGCTGTCCCCGCTGTCCCCGCTGCCCCCGGTGTGCCCTCTGTCCCCTCTGTCCCCTCTGTGCCCTCTGTCCCCGCTGTCCCCTGCTCGATGACGATGAGGCTGAACTCCTGCTCCGAGGGCCCCGGGAAGATGCGGAACACGGGCGGCTGCGCCGGGTCCAGCTCCAGGTCCAGCTCCAGACGCTCCAAACTCACCCGCGGCTCCTTGGGGAGCCGGGGGCTGTCCTGGGCCCCGGGGGGGCCCCTCCTGGGGGACAGCGGGGTCACCCCGGGGTCCCCAAACCTCCCCGGGGTCACCCCGGGGTCCCCAAACCTCCCAGGGGACAGCAGGGTCACCCCGGGGTCACCAAGGGGACAGCGGGGTCACCCCGGGGTCCCCAAGGGGACAGCGGGGTCACCCCGGGGTCCCCAAGGGGACAGCGGCGTCACCCCAGGGTCCCCAAACCTCCCTGGGGTCACCCCGGCGTCCCCAAACCTCCCGGGGGACAGCGGGGTCACCCCGGGGTCCTCAAGGGGACAGCGGGGTCACCCCAGGGTCCCCAAACCTCCCCGGGGTCACCCCGGGGTCCCCAAACCTCCCGGGGGACAGTGGGGTCACCCCGGGGTCCCCAAACCTCCCCGGGGTCACCCCAGAGTCCCCAAACCTCCCCAGAGGACAGCGGCGTCACCCCGGGGTCCCCAAACCTCCCCAGGGGACAGCATTGTCACCCCGGGGTCCCCAAGGGGACAGCGGGGTCACCCCGGGGTCCCCAAACCTCCCCGGGGTCACCCCGGGGTCCCCAAACCTCCCCAGGGGACAGCGGCGTCACCCCGGGGTCCCCAAGGGGACCGCGGGGTCACCCCGGGGTCACCAAACCTCCAATGGACAGCAGCGTCACCCCGGGGTCCCCAAACCTCCCCAGGGTCACCCCGGGGTCCCCAAGGGGACAGCGGCGTCACCCCGGGGTCCCCAAACCTCCTGGGGGACAGCGGGGTCACCCTGGGGTCCCCAAACCTCCCAGGGGACACGGACAGGGGGACCTGGCACAGGGTGACAGGTGACAAGGGACAGAGGGCTCCCAGGGCCTCCCATCCTCCCCTCCCCCACGCTCTAATTACCGCTTAATGAGCAGCGTCTTAACGAACTTCTCCTCCCGGGGGGAACTGCCAGGGTTCCTCCTGCAGAGGGGGACAGGGACACCCTAAAATGTCACCCCTGGGACAAGGGACAGCACGAGGGGGACAAGGGACGGGGGGAGCAGAGGGGGTGACAAGGGACAGGGGGAGCAGAGGGGATGACAAGGGACAGGGGGAGCAGAGGGGGTGACAAGGGACAGGGGGAACAGAGGGGGTGACAAGGGACAGGGAGTCCCACGGGTGGCAGGGGGTGACAAGGGACAGGGACTCCCCCACACTCACGTCCTCCCTCCGGTGACGCCGTTTCCAGGGCTGGGGGCTGGTGACAAACGCCACGTCAGGGACTTCCCGCAGGTCACCTCCCATGTCACCCCCATCCTTATCCTCGTGTCCCTCCCCGTGTCACCTCCCATGTCCCCATCCCCGTGTCCCCTCCCATGTCCTTGTCCCTGTGTCCCCATCCCATGTCCCCCTCCCCATGTCGCTGTGTCCCCCCCCCCGTGTCCCCTCATCCCCTGTCCCCATGTCCCCTCCCTGTCCCGGTGTCCCCTCCCTGTCCCCATGTCCCCTCCCTGTCCCCGTGTCCCCTCCCCTGTCCCTGTGTCCCATCCCTGTCCCGGTGTCCCCTCCCTGTCCCTGTGTCCCCTCCCTGTCCCCGTGTCCCCTCCCTGTCCCCGTGTCCCCTCCCTGTCCCCATGTCCCCTCCCTGTCCCCATGTTCCCTCCCTGTCCCCGTGTCCCCTCCCCTGTCCCCGTGTCCCCTCCCTGTCCCTGTGTCCCCTCCCTGTCCCCGTGTCCCCTCCCAGTCCCTGTGTCCCCTCCCTGTCCCCATGTCCCCTCCCCATCCCCGTGTCCCCTCCCCTGTCCCCGTGTCCCCTCCCTGTCCCTGTGTCCCCTCCCTGTCCCCATGTCCCCTCCCCATCCCCGTGTCCCCTCCCCTGTCCCCGTGTCCCCTCCCTGTCCCTGTGTCCCCTCCCTGTCCCTGTGTCCCCTCCCTGTCCCCGTGTCCCCTCCCTGTCCCTGTGTCCCCTCCCTGTCCCCATGTCCCCTCCCTGTCCCCGTGTCCCCTCCCTGTCCCTGTGTCCCCTCCCTGTCCCCATGTCCCCTCCCCTGTCCCCGTGTCCCCTCCCTGTCCCCATGTCCCATCCCGTCCCTGTGTCCCCTCCCCTGTCCCCGTGTCCCCTCCCCTGTCCCCATGTCCCCTCCCTGTCCCCGTGTCCCCTCCCCTGTCCCCGTGTCCCCTCCCCTGTCCCCATGTCCCCTCCCCATCCCTGTGTCCCCTCCCCTGTCCCCGTGTCCCCTCCCTGTCCCTGTGTCCCCTCCCTTGTCCCGGTGTCCCCTCCCTGTCCCCGTGTCCCCTCCCCTGTCCCCATGTCCCCTCCCTGTCCCCGTGTCCCCTCCCCATCCCCATGTCCCCTCCCCTGTCCCCGTGTCCCCTCCCTGTCCCTGTGTCCCCTCCCCTGTCCCCGTGTCCCCTCCCTGTCCCTGTGTCCCCTCCCTGTCCCTGTGTCCCCTCCCCTGTCCCGGTGTCCCCTCCCCTGTCCCCGTGTCCCCCCATCCCCTGTCCCCGTGTCCCCTCCCTGTCCCCGTGTCCCCTCCCTGTCCCGGTGTCCCCTCCCTGTCCCCATGTCCCATCCCCTGTCCCCATGTCCCCTCCCCTGTCCCCGTGTCCCCCCATCCCCTGTCCCTGTGTCCCCTCCCTGTCCCCATGTCCCCTCCCTGTCCCTGTGTCCCCTCCCCTGTCCCGGTGTCCCCTCCCCTGTCCCCGTGTCCCCTCCCCTGTCCCTGTGTCCCCCCATCCCCTGTCCCCGTGTCCCCTCCCCATCCCCATGTCCCATCCTCTGTCCCCATGTCCCATCCCCTGTCCCCGTGTCCCCTCCCTGTCCCCATGTCCCCTCCCTGTCCCCATGTCCCATCCCCTGTCCCCGTGTCCCCTCCCTGTCCCCATGTCCCCTCCCTGTCCCCATGTCCCCTCCCCTGTCCCCGTGTCCCCTCCCTGTCCCCATGTCCCCTCCCTTGTCCCTGTGTCCCCTCACCGGTCTCGGGGCTCTCGGTGGCCGCTGGCTCCAGGCGGGGAGGTGACAGCTGGGGGGGAGGTGACAGCGTGGGGGGACCCTGCGGGACAGCGGCGTGGGGACATCACGGGGTGGCCCCGGGGGTGGCACCCCCCCAATGTCCCCCCAGTACCTGCGCGGTGGGGGAGGGGCGGCCGGCGGGGGGAGGGCTCAGCGAGGGGGGGAGGGGCGGCTCCGAAATGATGGCACCTGGGGGGGGAGGGGAGGGGGTCAGGGGACAGCGGGGTCCCCCCGACCCCCCTTGTCACTTGTCACCCCCCAAACAGGGTCCCCTGTCCCTTGTCACCCCCTCCCTGGGACGTCCTGTCCCCTGTCACCCCCCAAACAAGGACCCCTGTCACCCCCTGTCCCCTGTCACCCCCTCCCTGGGACATACTGTCCCTTGTCACCCCCCAAATAGGGACCCCTGTCACCCCCTGTCCCCTGTCACCCACGCCCTGGTCCCCTCTGTCACCTCCCACCTGGCACTTCTTGTCCTTTGTCACCCCCATCCTGTGACCCCCTTGTCCTTTGTCACCTCCCACATGGAACCCCCTGTCACCCCCTCCCTGGGACATCCTGTCCCTTGTCACCCCACAAACAGGGACCCCTGTCACCCCCTGTCCCTTGTCACCCCCCTCCGGTCCCACCTGGCTCCTCCTGTCCTTTGTCACCTCCATCCTGTGACCCCCTTGTCCTTTGTCACCTCCCAGCAGGGATCTCTGTCCCTTTTGTCACCGCCACCCTCACCCCTCCGTGCCCTTGTCCCCGCTGTCCCTGGTGTCTGTGTCCCGCTGGGCGTCCCACAGTGTCCCCTGGCTGTCCCCAGTGTCCCCACTGTCCCCAGGTGTCCCCAGATGTCCCCAGGTGTCCCCTGGCTGTCCCCACTGTCCCCATTGTCCACAGGTGTCCCTTGGCTGTCCCCAGCTGTCCCCTGGGGTCCCCAGCAGTCCCCAGTGTCCCCTGGCTGTCCCCTGGCTGTCCCCACTGTCACCCAGCTATCCCCAGCAGTCCCCACTGTCCATAGGTGTCCCTTGGCTGTCCCCACTGTCACCCAGCAGTCCCCACTGTCCCCAGTGTTCCCTGGCTGTCCCCAGCTGTCCCCAGCTGTCCCCATTGCTCCCAGCTGTCCCCAGGGGTCCCCAGCTGTCCCCAGTGTCCCCAGCTGTCCCCGGTGTCCCCTCACCGAAGCTCTGGGCGCTCCTGGTCCAGCCCTGCGGGTCCCACTGGAATCTCATCTCCCCCTGCGGCTCCAGCGGCTCCAGCGGCACCCCCAGAGCGCGGAGCAGCTGCGAGTGGATCTGGGGACAGGGGGGACATTGGGGACATTGGGGACACTGGGGACATTGGGGACATTGGGGACATTGGGGACATCAGGCACCCCCAGAGCGCGGAGCAGCTGCGAGTGGATCTGGGGACAGGGGGGACATTGGGGACATTGGGGACACTGGGGACACTGGGGACACAGGGGACATTGGGGACATCAGGCACCCCCAGAGCGCGGAGCAGCTGCGAGTGGATCTGGGGACAGGGACACAGGGACACTGGGGACATTGGGGACATCGGGGACACAGGGGACAAAGGGACATTGGGGACATTGGGGACACCAGGGACATTGGGGACATTGGGGACATTGGGGACATCAGGGACATTGGGGACATCAGGGACCCCGAGAGCTTGGAGCAGCTGCGAGTGGATCTGGGGACAGGGACACAGGGGACACTGGGGACACCAGGGACACTGGGGACATCAGCGACACTGGGGACATCGGGGACATTGGGGACATCAGCGACCCCCAGAACGCAGAGCAGCTGCGAGTGGATCTGGGGACATCAGGGACATTGGGGACACTGGGGACATTGGGGGCATCGGGGACATTGGGGACATCAGGGACCCCGAGAGCCTGGAGCAGCTGGAGTGGATCTGGGGACATCAGGGACACTGGGGACACTGGGGACATTGGGGACATTGGGGACACCAGGGACATTGGGGACATCAGGGACACCTGGACCCTGAGAGCCCACAGCAGCTGCCATTGGATCTGGGGACAGGGGACATCGGGGACATTGGGGACATCAGGTGTGACAAGGCACAGCCCAGCGGTGGCTTCGCCCCACGGGCGCACGGTGCTGGTGACAAATGTCCCCCGGTGTCCCCCGGTGTCCCCAGGTGTCCCCAGGTGTCCCCAGGTGTCCCCCGGTGTACCCTGGTGTCCCCAGGTGACCCAAAGTGACCCCAGGTGTCCCCAGGTGTCCCCAAGTGTCCCCAGGTGTCCCCAAGTGTCCCCTGGTGTCCCCAAGTGCCCCCAGGTGTCCCCTGGTGTCCCCAAGTGCCACCCCCAGCCCGACATGCTGCTCTGGGGGGCCCGGGGGGGGTTTGGCTGCCCAGCAGGGAGTGGGGAAAAATGGGGAGAAATGGGGAAAAATGGGGAAAAATGGAGAAAAATGGAGAAAAATGGGGAAAAATGGGGAGAAATGGGAAAAATGGGGAAAAATGGGGGGAAATGGGGAAAAACTGAGAGAAATTGAGAAAAAGGGGGGGAAAGGGGGAAAACTGGGGAAATGGGGAAAAATGGAGAAAAATGGGGTGGAGCCGCTCACCAGCCTCCAGGAGAGCAGCAGGGTGGCACCGTGGGGTTGAAAAAATGGGGAGAAACAGGAAAAAAATGGGGAAAAATGGGGGAAATGGGTAGAAATTGGGGAGAAATTGGTAGAAAATGGGGAAAATGGGAAGAAATGGGAAAAATGGGGAGAAACGGGGGTGCAGCCGTTCACCAGCCTCCGGGAGAGCAGCAGGGCGGCGCCATGGGGTTGAAAAAATGGTGAGAAACAGGAAAAAAATGGGGAAAAATGGGGGAAATGGGGAGAAAAATGGGGAAAATGAGGAGAAATGGGGAAAAACGGGGAAAAATGGGCAGAAAGGGAGAAAAATGTGGGGAATTGGGCAGAAAGGGGGGTGTAGCCACTCACCAGCCTCCGGGAGAGCAGCAGGGTGGCACCGTGGGGATGAAAAAATGGGGAGAAACAGGAAAAAAATGGGGAAAAATGGGGAAAATGGGGAGAAACGGGGGTGCAGCCGCTCACCTGCCTCCAGGAGAGCAGCAGGGTGGCACTGTGGGGATGAAAAAATGGGGAGAAACAGGAAAAAAATGGGGAAAAATGGGGGAAATGGGCAGAAAGGGGGTGCAGGCACTCACCAGCCTCCGGGAGAGCAGCAGGGCGGCACCGTGGGGTTGAAAAAATGGGGAGAAACAGGGAAAAAATGGGGGAAAATGGGGAAGAAATGGGGGAAAATGAGGAGAAACGGGGAAAAACAGGGAAAAATGGGCAGAAAGGGAGAAAAATGTGGGGAATTGGGCAGAAAGGGGGCGCAGGCACTCACCAGCCTCCGGGAGAGCAGCAGGGCAGCGCCGTGGGGATGAAAAAATGGGGAGAAACAGGGAAAAAATGGGGAAAAATGGGGAAAAATGGGCAGAAATGTGGGTGCAGACACTCACCAGCCTCCGGGAGAGCAGCAAGACTGTGCCGTGGGGATGAAAAAGTGGGGAGAAACAGGAAAAAATGGGGAAAAATGGGGAAAATGGAGAGAAACGGGGGTGCAGCTGCTCACCGGCCTCCAGGAGAGCAGCAGGGCAGCGCCGTGGGGATGAAAAAATGGGGAGAAACAGGAAAAAATGGGGGAAATGGGGAGAAATGGGCAGAAAGGGGGTGCAGGCACTCACCAGCCTCCGGGAGAGCAGCAGGGCGGCACCGTGGGGTTGAAAAATGGGGAGAAACAGGAAAAAAATGGGGAAAAATGGGGGAGAAATGGGGAGAAATGGGGAAAAATGGGCAGAAAGGGAGAAAAATGTGGGGAAATGGGCAGAAAGGGAGAAAAATGTGGGGAATTGGGCAGAAAGGAAGAAAAATGTGGGGAAATGGGCAGAAAGGGGGTGCAGGCACTCACCAGCCTCCGGGACAGCAGCAGGGCAGTGCCGTGGGGTTGAAAAAATGGGGAGAAACAGGAAAAAATGGGGAAAAATGGGGAAAAATGGGGAAAAATGGGGGAAATGGGCAGAAAGGGGGTGCAGGCACTCACCAGCCTCCGGGAGAGCAGCAGTGCAGCACCATGGGGGCTGTCGAGGGCGCGGGCGCCGAAGCGCAGCACGTGCTCCTGCTGCCGCTGCGCCCGGCTCAGCGCGCGCTGCTGCCGCTGCAGCCGCTCCTGCCGCCCCTCGGCCGCGCGCTGCGGGGACACCGCGGTCACCGCCGTGTCACAGGGAGGGGACACGAGGGGACACCACGGGGTGGTGCTGACCTGCACGTCGCACACCAGCGCCTTGCTGCGCTTGTTGAGCTCCCGCATGACCTGCAGCACGGCCAGCTTCACCTCCACCTGCAGCCGCTGCTGCGCCTCCGACAGACCGCGCATGCTGCGGGGACACGGGTGTGGGGGGGACGTTGGGGACATGAGGGGGACATGGGGGACATGGGGGGACACGAGGGGACACGAGGGGACAAGGTGGGACACGGGGCGTGGAGGGGACACGAGGGGACACAGGGATGGGGCAGGGACATGAGGCGACATGGGGACGTGGCAGGGACACGAGGGGACACGAGGGGACACAAGGGGACATGAAGGGACACAAAGGGACACGAGGGGACGCGAGGGGACACCGGGGGACACCAGGGGACACGGGGCGTGGAGGGGACACAGGGATGGGGCAGGGACATGAAGCGACATGGGGACGTGACAGGGACACGAGGGGACACGAGGGGATGTGAGGGACAGGGCAGGGACACGAGGGGACATGAGGGGACACCGGGGACACGGGGTGTGGAGGGGACGCCGGGGACACGGGGGGACACGAGGGGACACGGGGGGACACGGGGGGACACGGGGGGACATGGGGGGACACAGGGGGACACGGGGTGTGGAAAGGACGCGAGGGGACACAGGGATGGGGCAGGGACCTGAGGCGACATGGGGACGTGGCAGGGACACAAGGGGACGCGAGGGGACATGAGGGGACGCGAGGGGACGCGAAGGGACACGAAGGGACATGAGGGGACGCGAAGAACGCGAGGGGACGCGAGGGGACATGAGGGGACGTGAGGGGACACGAGGGGACATGAAGGGACACGAAGGGACACGAGGGGACACGAAGGGACGCAAAGGGACACAAAGAGACACGAGGGTTCACGAGGGGACACGAGGGGACGCGAAGGGACACGAGGGGACACAAGGGGATGGGGGGGGACACGAGGGGACGCAAGGGACGTGGCAGGGACACGAGGGGACGCGAGGGTTCATGAGGGGACACGAGAGGACGCGAGGGGACACAAAGGGACGCGAGGGGACGCGAGGGGACGCGGGGACACGAGGGGACACAAGGGGACGCGAGGGGACACGAGGGGACGCGAGGGGACGCGGGGACACGCACAAGGCGCGCAGCTCCTTGGCGCAGCGCTGCACCGCCGCGTGTTTGTCCGCCAGGCGCTGCAGCAGCGCCACCAGCACCGAGCGCTGCTGCCGGATGGCCTCGTCCAGCGGCTGCGAGCTGCACACGGCGGGAACAACGGGGGGAAACGGGGGGAAATGGGGGGAAATGGGGGGGAAATGGGGGGAAATGGGAAAAACATGGGGGAAAACATGGGGAAAACATGGGGGAAAACATGGGGGAAAACATGGGGGAAAACATGGGGGAAAAATACGGGGGAAAGCATGGGGAAAACATGAAAGAAATGGGAAAAAATGGGGAAAAAGATGGGGGAAAACATGGGAGAAATGGGGAAAAAGATGGGGAAAAAGATGGGGAAAAACATGGGGGAAATGGCGGGACATTGAGAAAATGGGGAAAAACATGAGGGAAAACATGGGGGAAACATGGGGGAAAACATGGAGGAAATGGGGAAAAACATGGGGGAAATGGGGAAAAACATGGGGGAAATGGGGAAAAACATGGGGAAAACATGGGGGAAAACATGGGGGAAAACATGGGGGAAATGGGGAAAAACATGGAGGAAAACATGGAGGAAATGGGGAAAAACATGGGGAAAACATGGGGGAAAACATGGGGGAAAACATGGGGAAAATAGGGAGAAGTGGGGGGAAACAGGGAAAATGGGAAAAAGGGAAAAAACAGGGGGGAAATGGGGAGGAATGGGGAAAAACATGGGGAAAATGGGAGAAGTGGGGGAAACGGGGGTAAAATGGGGAGAAATGGGGAAAACATGGGAAAAACGGCGTAAACATGGGTGAAAACACGGGGGAAATGGGGAGAAATGGGGAAAAATAGGGGGAAATGGGGAGAAATGGGGAAAAACATGGGGAAATGGGGAGAAGTGGGGGGAAATGGGGAAAAACATGGGGAAAATGGGGGAAATAGGGGAAATAGGGAAAACGGAGAAAAACATGGGAAAAACGGGGTAAACATGGGTGAAAAAATGGGGAAAATGGGGAGAAATGGGGAAAAACATGGATAAATGGGGAGAATTGGGGGTAAACGGGGGAAATGGGGAAAAACATGGGAAAAACGGGGAGGAACAGGGAGAAACAGGGAAATGGGGAAAAATGAGGAGAAATAAGGCGGAAATGGGGGAAAAGGGCGGGAAATGGAGGGAAATGGGGCGAAACATGGGGAAAATGGGGGAAAACAGGGAAAAGCGTGGGGAAAACATGGGAAAAGTGGGGAGAAGTGGGGGGAAATGGGGAAAATGGGAAAAAGGAAAAAAACAGGGGGAAAATGGGGAGGAATGGGGAAAAACATGGGGAAAATGGGGAGAATTGGGGGAAAACGGGGGAAATGGGGAAAAACATGGGGAAAATGAGGGGAAATAGGGAAAATGGAGAAAAACATGGGAAAAATGGGGAGGAACATGGAGAAACAGTGAAATGGGGAGAAATGAGGAGAAATAAGGGGAAAATGGGGGGAAAGGGCGGGAAATGGAGGGAAATGGGGCGAAACATGGAGAAAACGGGGAAAAACGTGGGGAAAACATGGGAAAAGTGGGGAGAAGTGGGGGGAAATGGGGAAAATGGGAAAAAAGGGAAAAAATGGGGAAAATGGGGAGGAATGGGGAAAAACATGGGGAAAATGAGGGGAAATGGGGGAAATAGGGAAAATGGAGAAAAACATGGGAAAAACGGGGAGGAACAGGGAGAAACAGGGAAATGGGGAGAAATGAGGAGAAATAAGGGGAAAATGGGGGAAAAGGGCGGGAAATGGAGGGAAATGGGGCGAAACATGGGGAAAATGGGGAAAAACGTGGGGAAAACATGGGAAAAGTGGGGAGAAGTGGGGGGAAACAGGGAAAATGGGAAAAAGGGAAAAAACGGGGAAAATGGGGAGGAATGGGGACAAACATGGGGAAAATGGGGAGAAGTGGGGGGAAATGGGGAAAATGGGGAGGAATGGGGAATAACGTGGGGAAAATGGGAGAAGTGGGGGAAACGGGGGTAAAATGGGGAGAAATGGGGAAAAACATGGGAAAAACGGGGTAAACATGGGTGAAAATATGAGGAAAATGGGGAGGAATGGGGGAAAATGGGGAGAAATGGGGAAAAACATGGGAAAAATGGGGAGAATTGGGGGAAACGGGGGAAATGGGGAAAAACATGGGGAAAATGAGGGGAAATGGGGGAAAATAGGGAGAAATGGGGAAAAACATGGGAAAAATGGGGAGGAACAGGGAGAAACAGGGAAATGGGGAGAAATGAGGAGAAATAAAGTGGAAATGGGGGAAAAGGGCGGGAAATGGAGGGAAATGGGGCGAAACATGGGGAAAATGGGGAAAAGCGTGGGGAAAGCATGGGAAAAGTGGGGAGAAGTGGGGGGAAACAGGGAAAATTGGAAAAAAGGGAAAAAACAGGGGGAAAATGGGGAGGAATGGGGAAACAGGGGTAAAATGGGGAGAAATGGGGAAAACATGGGAAAAATGGGGTAAACATGGGTGAAAACATGGGGAAAATGGGGAGAAATGGGGGAAAATAGGGGAAAATGGGGAGAAATGGGGAAAAACACGGGGAAATGGGGAGAATTGGGGGGAAACGGGGGAAATGGGGAAAAACATGGGGAAAATGAGGGGAAATGGGGGAAATAGGGAAAATGGAGAAAAACATGAGAAAAATGGGGAGGAACAGGGAGAAACAGGGAAATGGGAAAAAATGAGGAGAAATAAGGGGGAAATGGGGGAAAAGAGGGAAAAACATGGAGAAAACAGGGAAAAACGTGGGGAAAACATGGGAAAAGTGGGGAGAAGTGGGGGGGGAAATGTGGGGGAAATGGGGAGAAATGGGGGGAATGGGAAAAATTGGGTGGGAAATGGGGAAAAACAAAGGGAAAAAGGGGAAAAATGGGGAGAAACATAGGGAAAATGAGGAGGAAATAGCAAAAAAGGGGAAAAGAGGGAGAAATGGGGGGGAAATGGGGGGAAGAAATGGAGAAATGGGAAAAATGGGGGGAATCAGGAGAAATGGGAAAAAGCATGGGAGGGAACAGGGAAAAATGGGGAAATGGGGATGAACACGGGGAGAAGTGGGGGAAATGGGGAAAAACAGGGAGAAACGGGGAGAAAATGGAGGAGAAAATGGGAGGCAAAGAGAAAATTAAAAAAGGGAAAAGAGAAAAAGGAAAAAAGGAAAAAAGGAGAAAGGAAAAAAGGAAAAAATGGAAAAGGAAAAAGGGGGAAGGAAAAAGGGGAAAAGGAAAAAGGGGAAAAGGAAAAAGGGGAAAAGGAAAAAGGGGAAAAGGAAAAAGGGGGAAGGAAAAAGGGAAAAGGGGGAAATGGGGCAGAAAAGGGGAGAAAAAAATGAGAGAAAAGGGGAGAAAAAAAGAAAAGTAAGTTTCTTAGCTCATTACCCATTAATAAGCTAATTAATCTTCATTAAGCATCAGTTATTTAATTAATTCAATTAGTAAATTAAGGGGTTTTAGTTAATGAGATACCCCAGGTAACAGATCCTGTCATTTAATCACTAATTACACTAATTACCTTAATCCAATTAGATCTTACCCATCTAAACTGCTTCTCGTGCCATTAACGACCATGCAAATGAGCTAATTAATAAGGCAATCAAGCTAATTAAATATGTCCCCAGCTAAGCAATCAAAACACTCATTAATTGCCTCGGAAGTTTGACAAATAAACAACCAGCAAAGCCATAAAGAAAACCCAACTAAGATTAATTTAAAAAGAAATTAATTTAAACAACCAATTACATCAGACATTTATTAGTCATTAATTAGCTCGTTCTGGTTCAAGCCACACCCGCTCTGCTAATTAATGCTCGCCTTTCCCAACCCTTCAGCACCTGCCCCGCTAACGAGCTTGAATAAAATCAGTGATAAAACCAGTAATTTTAATTAACAGGAGTAATTAACCAGCACTCATGGATGGTCACAGTGCTAATTAGCGCTAATGAGGCATATGGGTGGTCACTGTGCTAATTAGCACTAATGAGGCACTCACAGGTGGTCACTGTGCTAATTAGCACTAATGAGGAACTCATAGGTGGTCACAGTGCTAATTAGCACTAATGAGGCACTCATGGATGGTCACAGTGCTAATTAACGCTAATGAGGCACTCATGGGTGGTCACAGTGCTAATTAACGCTAATGAGGCACTCATGGGTGGTCACAGTGCTAATTAGCGCTAATGAGGCACTACAGGTGGTCACAGTGCTAATTAGCACTAATGAGGAACTCATAGGTGGTTACGGTGCTAATTAGCACTAATGAGGCACTACAGGTGCTCACAGTACCAATTAACGCTAATGAGGCACTCACAGGTGGTCACGGTGCTAATTAGTGCTAATGAGGCACTCATGGATGGTCATTGTGCTAATTAGTGCTAATGAGGCACTCACAGGTGGTCACAGTGCTAATTAGTGCTAATGAGGCACTCATGGGTGGTCACAGTGCTAATTAGTGCTAATGAGGCACTACAGGTGCTCACAGTGCCAATTAACGCTAATGAGGCACTCACAGGTGGTCACTGTGCTAATTAGCGCTAATGAGGAACTCATAGGTGGTCACAGTGCTAATTAGCGCTAATGAGGCACTCATGGGTGGTCACAGAGCTAATTAGCGCTAATGAGGCACTACAGGTGATTACAGTGCCAATTAGCGCTAATGAGGCATATGGGTGGTCACTGTGCTAATTAGCACTAATGAGGAACGCATGGGTGGTCACAGTGCTAATTAGCGCTAATGAGGCACTCATGGGTGGTCACAGTACTAATTAGCACTAATGAGGAACTCATAGGTGGTCACAGTGCCAATTAACGCTAATGAGGCACTCATGGGTGGTCACAGAGCTAATTAGCGCTAATGAGGCATGAAACTCATGGGTGGTCATGGTGCTAATTAGCACTAATGAGGCATGCAGGCACTCACAGGTGGTCACTGTGCTAATTAGTGTTAATGAGGTATGCAGACACTCACAGGTGGGCGCAGTGCTAATTAGCACTAATGGGTCACAGGGCAGTGCTAATCAGCACTAATGAGGCACTGAGGCACTCACAGGTGGTCACTGTGCTAATTAGCTAATTAGCTCTAAGGCATGCAGGCACTCACGGGTGGGTGCTAATTAGCTAATGAGCACTAACGAGGTGTGGCACTCCTGGGAGGTGCGGTCCTAATTAGCTAACAAGCGTTAACGAGCGCTAAGGAGGCAGGCACTCATGGGTGGGCCAGTGCAGTGCTAATTAGCTAATGAGCACTAATGAGCACTAACAGCACTCAGGGGTAGGCGCAGTGCGGTGCTAATTATCTAATGGGCACTAATGAGCACTAATGAGCACTAACTGCACTCACAGGTGGGTGTGGTGCGGTGCTAATTATCTAATGAGCACTAATGAGCACTAATGAGCACTAATGAGCACTAATGAGCACTAACGGCACTCAGGGGTGGGCACAGTGCGGTGCTAATTAACTAATGAGCGCTAACGAGCACAAACAGCACTCAGGGGTGGGCACAGTGTGCTGCTAATTATCTAATGAGCGCTAACGAGGCGCACACTCACGGGTGGGCGCGGTGCGGGCCCCGGTGACACTCTGCGCAGGTGAGGCGGTCGCAGGCGCTGCAGAACAGCGACAGCGGCTGCGACGGGTGCGCCGGGCACGGCCCCGGGAACGGAGACGCCGCTGCGGGAACGGGAACGGGAACGGCCGGAGAGCCTGGGAGAGACGGGAATGTGGGAATGGGAACGGGAACGGGAACGGCCGGAGAGCCTGCGGGGAGACGGGAATGTGGGAATGGGAACGGGAACGGGAACGGGAATGGGAATGGCCGGAGAGCCTGGGAGAGACGGGAATGTGGGAATGGGAATGGGAACGGGAATGGGAATGGGAACGGCCGGAGAGCCTGCGGAGAGACGGGAATGTGGGAATGGGAACGGGAATGGGAACGGCCGGAGAGCCTGGGAGAGACGGGAATGTGGGAATGGGAACGGGAATGGGAATGGGAATGGGAACGGGAACGGGAATGAGAATGGGAATGGGAACGGGAATGAGAATGGGAATGGGAATGGGAACGGGAATGGGAATGGGAACGGGAATGGGAACGGGAACGGGAACGGGAACGGGAATGGGAACGGGAATGGGAATGGGAATGGGAATGGGAATGGGAACGGGAACGGGAATGGGAACGGGAATGGGAACGGCCGGAGAGCCTGGGAGAGACGGGAATGTGGGAACGGGAACGGGAACGGGAACGGCCGGAGAGCCTGGGAGAGACGGGAATGTGGGAATGGGAATGGGAACGGGAACGGCCGGAGAGCCTGCGGGGAGACGGGAATGTGGGAATGGGAACGGGAACGGCCGGAGAGCCTGCGGGGAGATGGGAATGTGGGAATGGGAACGGGAACGGGAACGGGAACGGCCGGAGAGCCTGGGAGAGACGGGAATGTGGGAATGGGAATGGGAACGGGAACGGCCGGAGAGCCTGGGAGAGACGGGAATGTGGGAATGGGAACGGGAACGGCCGGAGAGCCTGCGGGGAGATGGGAATGTGGGAATGGGAATGGGAACGGGAACGGCCGGAGAGCCTGCGGGGAGACGGGAATGTGGGAATGGGAACGGGAACGGGAACGGGAACGGCGGGAGAGCCTGCGGGGAGACGGGAATGTGGGAATGGGAACGGGAACGGGAACAGCCGGAGAGCTTGCGGGGAGACGGGAATGTGGGAATGGGAATGGGAATGGGAATGGGAACGGGAACGGCCGGAGAGCCTGGGAGAGACGGGAATGTGGGAATGGGAACGGCCGGAGAGCCTGGGAGAGACGGGAATGTGGGAATGGGAATGGGAACGGGAACGGCCGGAGAGCCTGCGGGGAGACGGGAATGTGGGAATGGGAATGGGAATGGGAACGGCCGGAGAGCCTGCGGGGAGACGGGAATGTGGGAATGGGAACGGCCGGAGAGCCTGGGAGAGACGGGAATGTGGGAATGGGAATGGCTGGAGAGCCTGCGGGGAGACGGGAATGTGGGAATGGGAACGGGAACGGGAACGGCCGGAGAGCCTGTGGGGAGACGGGAATGTGGGAATGGGAACGGGAATGTGGGAATGGGAATGGGAACGGGAACGGCCGGAGAGCCTGGGGGAGACGGGAATGTGGGAATGGGAATGGGAACGGGAACGGCCGGAGAGCCTGGGAGAGACGGGAATGTGGGAATGGGAACGGGAATGGGAACGGGAACGGCCGGAGAGCCTGGGAGAGACGGGAATGTGGGAATGGGAATGTGGGAATGGGAACGGGGAATGGGGGAATGGGAACATGGGAAACCATTTTGGAAGCAGATAAAGAAGACAGGAATGGGAAATAGAATGGGAATGAGAGAATGAGGAATGGGGAAATGGGAATGGAATGGGGGAACGGGAATGGGGGAATGGGAATCAGAATGGGAATGGGAGAATGGGAAGGGGGAATAGGAAGGGGGAATGGGAATGGGGGAATGGGAAAATGGCAATGGGAATGAGGGAACGGGAATGGGGGAATGGGGGAATGGGAATGGGGGAACGGGAATGGGAGTGGGAGAACTGAAATGGGAATGGGGGAATGAGAAAATGGGAATGGGAATGGGAGATTGGGAATGGTAACCGGAACGGGGCAATGGGAATGGGGTGCCACAGGGAACAGTGCTGGGAATGGGGATGGGGTGATGGCACGGGGAACGAGACTGGGATGGCACCAGGAATGGCACCGGGAATGGGGCTGGGATGGCACCGGGAATGGGGCTGGGATGGCACCGGGAATGGGGCTGGGATGGCACCGAGAATGGGGCTGGAATAGCACCAGGAATGGCACCGGGAATGGGACTGGGATGGCACCGGGAATGGGGCTGGGATGGCACTGGGAATGGGGCTGGGATGGCACTGGGAATGGGGCTGGGATGGCACCGGGAATGGGGCTGGGATGGCACCGGGAATGGGGCTGGGATGGCACCGGGAATGGGGCTGGGATGGCACCAGGAATGGCACCGGGAATGGGGCTGGGATGGCACCAGGAATGGGGCTGGGATGGCACCGGGAATGGGGCTGGGATGGTGCCAGGAGTGGGGCTGGGATGGCACCGGGAATGGGGCTGGCATGGCACCGGGAATGGCGCTGGGATGGCACCGGGAACGGGGCTGGGATGGCACCGGGAACGGGGCTGGGATGGCACCGGGAATGGGGCTGGGATGGCACCGGGAATGGGGCTGGGATGGCACCGGGAATGGGGCTGGGATGGCACCGGGAATGGGGCTGGGATGGCACCGGGAATGGGGCTGGGATGGCACCGGGAATGGGGCTGGGATGGCACCGGGAATGGGGCTGGGATGGCACCGGGAATGGGGCTGGGATGGCACCAGGAATGGCATTGGGATGGCACCGGGAATGGGGCTGGGATGGCACCGGGAATGGGGCTGGGATGGCACTGGGAATGGGGCTGGGATGGCACTGGGAATGGGGCTGGGATGGCACTGGGAATGGGGCTGGGATGGTGCCAGGAATGGGGCTGGGATGGCACCGGGAATGGGGCTGGGATGGCACCGGGAATGGGGCTGGGATGGCGCCAGGAATGGGGCTGGGATGGCGCCAGGAATGGGGCTGGGATGGCACCAGGAATGGGGCTGGGATGGCACCGGGAATGGGGCTGGGATGGCACCGGGAATGGGGCTGGGATGGCACCGGGAATGGGGTTGGGATGGCACCGGGAATGGGGCTGGGATGGCACCGGGAATGGGGCTGGGATGGCACCGGGAATGGGGCTGGGATGGCACCGGGAATGGGGCTGGGATGGCACCGGGAACGGGGCTGGGATGGCACCGGGAATGGGGCTGGGAATGGCGCCAGGAATGGGGCTGGGATGGCACCAGGAATGGGGCTGGGATGGCACCAAGGGAACACGAGACCAGCACCAGGATAGCACTGGGAATAGAACCAGGAGTGGCACTGGCACGGAGCCACTGACAGCGTCACACCCGGTAACAGGCACGGACAGGAGGTGACGGGAGGTGACAGAGGTGACACGGGTGACACGGGTGACACAGGTGACACAGGCGCTGGCAGCACTCACCCAGGGGCTGCACGCTGTGCTCCCGGGTGTACCTGACCCTCTGGTGGGCCTCCACGCAGGTGTCGCACAGCGGCTCGGCGCACTCCAGGCAGAAGCTGGTGGCCGCCGCGTTGTCCTCGCAGCTGGTGCAGCTCTGGGGACAAGGGACACGCTGGGGGCCGTGCCTCGGCCCTGGCCAGCGCTAATTAGCGCTAATTAACGCTAAAGAGGAGGCGGTACCTGCTTACTGGCCGGTGCTGTGCCCACCCCGCTGTCCTGCAGGAAGAAGTTCTCCATGATGTCACCCAGGGGACACGGCTGGTGGCACACGGGGCACTCGAGGGCTGCAGGGACACAGAGGGGACACAGAGGGGACACAGAGGGGACACAGAGGGGACACAGAGGGGACACAGTCACCCCACAGCCTCCCTGTCACCTCCTGTGCCACCAAATGCTGGCTCAGGAGCGGGCTGGGGGCTGGGCACCCCCAAAACGGAGCCCCAGGGCCACCTCAGGGAGGTCCCCAGAGCCACCAAAGCCACCCCTTAGTGTAACCCTCAGTGTCCTGCACAGCCCAGTGATCCCAGTAACTCCCAATGCTCCCAGTAACCCTCAGTGTCCTGCACAGCCCAGTGATCCCAGTAACTCCCAGTAACTCCCAATGCTCCCACTAAACCCCAAAAACACCATGGACCACCAGTGATCCCAGTGACCCCAGTAGCCACCACTGATCCCAGTAACCCCCAGTGTCCTGCACAGCCCAGTGCTCCCAGTAACTCCCAGGGATCCCAGTAACCCAAATGCCTCCCCAGAACTCCCAGTAACCCGCAGTGTCCTGCATAACCCAGCAAATCCCAGTGCTCCCAGTAACCCCCAATGATCCCAGTGACACCCAAAGACATCACCCACCACCAGTGATCCCAGTGCTCCCAGTAACTCCCAGTGCTCCCAGTAAGCCCCAGTGTCCTGCACGGCCCAGTAACCCTCAGTGTCCTGCACAGCCCAGTGATCCCAGTGATCCCAGTGCTCTCAGTAACCCCCAGTGTCCTGCACAGCCCAGTGATCCCAGTGCTCCCAGTAACCCCCAGTGTTCCCAGTAATCCCCAGTGTCCTGCACAGCCCAGTGATCCCAGTGCTCCCAGTAACTCCCAGTGCTCCCAGTAACTCCCAGTGCTCCCAGTAACCCCAAAAACACCATGGACCACCAGTGATCCCAGTAACCACCACTGATCCCAGTAACCCCCAGTGTCCTGCACAGCCCAGTGATCCCAGTGCTCCCAGTAACTCCCAGTGTCCTGCACAGCCCAGTGCTCCCAGTAACTCCCAGGGATCCCAGTAACCCAAATGCCTCCCCAGAACTCCCAGTAACCCGCAGTGTCCTGCACAACCCAGCAAATCCCAGTGTTCCCAGTAACCCCCAGTGATCCCCAATGATCCCAGTAACACCCAAAGACATCACCCACCACCAGTGATCCCAGTGCTCCCAGTAACCCCCAGTGATCCCCAATGATCCCAGTAACACCCAAAGACATCACCCACCACCAGTGATCCCAGTGCTCCCAGTAACTCCCAGTGCTCCCAGTAACTCCCAGTGTCCTGCACAGCCCAGTGATCCCAGTGCTCCCAGTAACCCCCAGTGTCCTGCACAGCCCAGTGATCCCAGTGATCCCAGTGCTCCCAGTAACCCCAGTAACCCCAGTGATCCCATCAAGCTCACAAACACCACTGACCACCAGTGCTCCCAGTACCCCCCAGCAGCTCCCCGCGCTGCCCTCACCCTGCGCGTCGCCGCCCGGCGCGGTCCCCAGGCAGCCGCGGCACACGGAGTGCAGGCAGGGCAGCAGCCGCGGCTCCCGCCGGGGGCTCAGGCGCTCCCGGCAGGCGCCGCAGAGCTCCAGCGGCCCCGGCGGCTCCGGCAGCGCCGCTCCCTTCGCCCCGGGGCCGCCGCCCGGTGCCGCCGCCTCCGGCTCCGACATGGCGGCCGCGTCCCCCTCACGACCGGCACGGCCGCCCGCTCCCGCTCCCGCCCCACCGCGCCGCCAATCACAGCCCGCCGCGCCCGATTGACAGTGCAGACAGCCAATAGGCGGACAGAGGGCGGGGATTAGTGCAGATTGATAGCACGCTGGACCAATAGGAGAGGAGCAGGCGGGAAAGAAAGGGAGGGAAGAGACCTCCGGCGCGTGAACGCGAACGGGCCAATCAGCGCGCAGAGCGGCCGGAGCAGAACCAATCAGCGGCTGAAGAACCCAGGGGAAGGCGGGGTCTTCTTGGGCGAAAGGGCCAATCGGCAACGGCGCTCAGCGGGAAGGCGGGGCTGAGGCTGCGATTGACAGGTGGACAAACCAATGGGGAGCAGAACCGGGAGGGGACTGGGAGTACTGGGAGTTACTGGGGATTAGTGGGATCATGGGGGATCACTGGGATCAGTAGGAATTACTGGGATCGCTGGGGGTCACTGGTTGTACTGGGAGTTACTGGGGATTAATGGGATCAATGGGGATTACTGGGATCAATGGGAATTACTGGGATTGCTGCGGGTCACTGGGAGTACTGGGAGTTACTGGGGATTAATGGGATCATGGGGGATCACTGGGATCAATGGGAATTACTGGGATCACTGCGGGTCACTGGGAGTACTGGGGGTTATTGGGATCATGGGGGTTACTGGGATCAATAGGAATTACTGGGATTGCTGCGGGTCACTGGGAGTACTGGGGGTTACTGGGGATTAATGGGATCATGGGGGATCACTGGGATCAACAGGAATTACTGGGATCGCTGCGGCTCACTGGGGGTTACTGGGGATTAATGGGATCATGGGGGTTACTGGAGGTTACTGGGAATTACTGGGGGTCCCCCAGTGCCCCCCCCAGTGGTCCCCCCAGTCCCTGAGGTCACCCCGAGTCCCCTCCCATCCCCCCTGCTGTCCCCCCCCAGTGTCCCCAGTATCCCCTCAGTGTCCCCTCGGTGTCCCCAGTGTCCCCTCGGTGTCCCCCCGGTGTCCCCAGTGTCCCCCCAGTGTCCCCAGTGTCCCCTCAGTGTCCCCCCGGTGTCCCCAGTGTCCCCCCAGCGTCCCCAGTGTCCCCCCGGTGTCCCCAGTGTCCCCTCAGTGTGTCCCCAGTGTCCCCCCGTGTCCCCAGTGTCCCCCCCCGTGTTCCCAGTGTCCCCTCCATCATCCCCCAGTGTCCCCCCTAGTGTCCCCCCGGTGTCCTCAGTGTCCCCCAGTGTCCCCTCCAGTGTCCCCCCATGTCCCCAGTGTCCCCCAGTGGCCACCAGCAGCCGTGGCTCTTCCCGGTGGCCGAGCAGGGAACACAGCACGGGTGGCATCATCGGTTTTTAGTGGCAAAAACGACAAAAACGGCACCGAAACGGCCGCCAAACGGCACCGAAACGGCCGCCAAACGGCCCAGGCTGGTCACCACCCGCCAGGGGACGGGAGCCACCATGGGATGGTTTGGGCAGGGACCTTCCACCGAGCTTTCCATCACTCCAACCCCCGTGCCCAGCTCAGTTCCAGAATGTTCCGGGGGTCCCATCAGGTCATCACCCTCATCCAGCTCTCCGAGCATCTCCACGGCCACTCATGGCCTGGTTTATCTGTCCAATCCCCATCCCCAGTTCAGTTCCAGAACATTCCAGTGGTCCCATCAGCTCAATGACGTCATCCTGACATTCCAGGAGTCTCATCAGGTCATCACCCTGATCCAACTCATGGCGTGGTTTATCCATCCAACCCCTGTGCCCAGCTCAGTTCCAGAACGTTCTGGGGGTCCCATCAGGTCAGCACCCTCATCCAGCTGTCCAAGCATCTCCATGGCCGATCACGGTGTGGTTTATCCATCCAACCCCCATCCCCAAGTCAGTTCCAGAACGTTCCAATGGTCCCATCAGCTCAATGACATCATCCTGACATTCCAGGAGTCTCATCAGGTCATCACCCTGACCCAGCTCTCCAAGCATCTCCACAGCCGGTCACAGTGTGGTTTATTGATCCAACACCCGTGTCTGGCTCAGTTCCAGAACATTCCGGGGGTCCCATCAGGTCAGCACCGCATCGTCCAGCCCTCCGAACATCTCCACAGCTGGTCACGGTGTGGTTTATTGATCCAACCCCCGTGCCCAGTTCAGTTCCAGAACATTCCGGTGGTCCCATCAGCTCAATGATGTCATCCTGACATTCCAGAAGTCTCATCAGGTCATCACCCTGATCCAACTCTCCGAGCATCTTCACGGTGTGGTTTATCCATCCAACCCCCGTGTCTGGCTCAGTTCCAGAACGTTCCGGGGGTCCCATCAAGTCATCAGCCTTGTCCAGCTCGCTGAGCATCTCCATGGCCGATCACGGCGTGGTTTATCCATCCAATCCCCATGCCCAGCTCAGTTCCAGAACATTCCAGGAGTCCCATCAGGTCATCACCCTGATCCAACTCTCCGAGCATCTCCACGGCCACTCACGGCGTGGTTTATCCAGCCAATCCCCATCCCCAACTCAGCTCCAGAACGTTCTAGGAGTCCCATCAGGTCATCACCCTGATCCAGCTCTCCGAGCATCTCCATGGCCGGTCACGGTGTGGTTTATCCATCCAACCCCCGTGCCCAGCTCAGTTCCAGAACATTCTAGGAGTCCCATCAAGTCATCACCCTGATCCAGCTCTCCAAGCATCTCCACAGCCGATCACGGTGTGGTTTATTGACCCAACACCCGTGTCTGGCTCAGTTACAGAACATTCCAGAACATCACGGTGTGGTTTATTGATCCAACACCCGTGCCCAGTTCAGTTCCAGAACGTTCCGGTGGTCCCATCAGCTCAATTATGTCATCCTGACACTCCAGGAGTCTTATCAGGTCATCACCCTGATCCAACTCTCCGAGCATCTCCATGGCTGGTCACGGGTTTATCCATCCAACCCCCGTGCCCAGCTCAGTTCCAGAACGTTCCAGAAGTCCCATCAGGTCATCACCTGCATTGTCCAGCTCTCTGAGCATCTCCATGGCTGGTCACGGTGTGCTTTATCCATCCAATCTCCATCCCCAACTCAGTTCCAGAACGTTCCGGTGGTCCCATCAGCTCAATGACATCATCCTGACGTTCCAGGAGTCTCATCAGGTCACCACCCTGATCAAACTCACCGAGCATCTCCACGGCCACTCACGGTGTGGTTTATCCATCCAGTCCCTGTGCCCAGCTCAGTTCCAGAATGTTCCGGAGATCCCATTGTGTCGATGATGTCATCATCCCACCACCCGGGCTCCGTTTGCCCTCGGCACTACCTCCTTGGCCACCACCCACCTCCTCCAGGACTCCTCCGGCTGCCCCAGCACGGTCCCGGCAGGATTTGCTCCGTGATCCCGGCGCTGCTCGCGACGTTCCCCACGTCCCCACTGGGGTTCTCCACTCCCTTCTCCTGTCACCGGGAGCGTCCCCGCAGCTCCCGAATCCCACGGGAACACCTCGGCCGCCTCCTCCAGGCGTCACCCCGGGTGCTCCACCAGGCCCGTGGGCACCGAGGAGCCCCCAGGACCTTCCTCCAGGCCCTTCCAGGGGCAGGGACCCCTCCTCACGCCATGGGAGCGGGGCCGGCGCCCGCCACCTCCGGCCACACGCCCAGCCCAGGCTCTGGTGGCGGCGCCAGCGGTGGCCCTGGTGGCCCCGGTGGTGGCCCTGGTGGTGGCCCGGGTGGTGGCCCCGGTGGTAACCCCAATGGTGGCCCTGGTGGTGGCCCTGGTGGTAACCCCAATGGTGGTCCTGGTGGTAACCCCGGTGGTGGCCCCGGTGGCGGCAACCCCAATGGTGGCCCCGGTGGTAACCCTGGTGGTGGACCTGGTGGTGGCCCTGGTGGTAACCCTGGTGGTGGCCCTGGTGGTAACCCCAATGGTGGCCCTGGTGGCCCTGGTGGTGGCCCTGGTGGTGGCCCCGGTGGTGGCCCTGGTGGTGGCCCTGGTGGTGGCCCTGGTGGTAACCCCAATGGTAACCCTGGCGGTGGCCCTGGTGATGGCCCTGGTGGTATCCCCGGTGGTGGCCCTGGTGGTAACCCCAATGATGGCCCTGGTGGCGGTAACCCTAATGGTGGCCCTGGTGGTGGCCCTGGTGGCGGTCCTGGTGGTGGCCCTGGTGGTAGCCCTAATGGTGGCCCTGGTGGTGGTGGCCCTGGTGGTGGTAACCCCGGCTGTGGTCCTGGTGGTAACCCCGGTGGTGGCCCCAATGGTGGCCCCGGTGGTGGCCTTGGTGGCGATAACCCCGGTGGTGGCCCCGGTGGTAACCCCAATGATGGCCCTGGTGGTGGTGGCCCCGGCGGTGTCCCCGGCGGTGTCACGGCGTGGGCGGCGGCGGCGTGGCGCTCCAGGAGGGTGCGGTGGGAGAAGCCCTTGGCGCAGAGGCGGCACTGGAAGCGCTCGGGGCGGTGCGTGCGCATGTGCACGTTGAGCGAGCTCTTCTGCGTGAAGCGCTTGCAGCACACGGCGCACTGGAAGGCGCGCACGCCCGTGTGGGTCACCATGTGCTTCAGCAGGTAGTCACGCAGAGAGAAGGAGCGCCAGCAGATGGAGCACTGGTGGGGCTTCTCGCCTGCGGAGACAAAACGGGGCAGGTGGAGCCGCTGTGGGGCAGCGCGGGTGGGGAGTGGGCACAGTGGGGCAGGGTGGGGCAGTGTGGGTTGGTACTGGTCACTGTGGGGCAGTGTGGGGCAGTGTGGGGCACTGTGGGGCACTGTGGGGCAGAGTGGGGCAGTGTGGGGCAGTGTGGGGCAGTGTGGGGCAGTGTGGGGCAGTGTGGGGCAGCAGGGGTTGGTACTGGTCACTACTGGTGGGGTAGTGTGGGTTGGTACTGATCAGTGTGGGTCAGTGTGGGTCAAAATGGGTCAATGTGTGTCAACACGGGCCAACATGGGTCAATGTGGGTCAAAATGGATCAACGTGGGTCAACACGGGCCAACATTGGTCAAAGTGGATCAACATGGTTCAACACGGGCCAAAATGGGTCAATGTGGGTCAACACGGGCCAACATGGGTCAGTGTGGGTCAACACGGGCCAACATGGGTCAATGTAGGTCAACACGGGTCAAAAAGATCATTGTGGGTCAACATGGGCCAACACGGGTCAATGTGGGTCAAAATGGGTCAACGTGGGTCAATGTGGGTCAACATGGGTCAAAATGGATCAACGTGGGTCAATGTAGGTCAACACGGGCCAACATGGGTCAGTGTGGGTCAACATGGTTCAAAATGGATCAATGTGGGTCAACACGGGCCAACATGGGTCAGCGTGGGTCAGTGTGGGTCAAAATGGATCAACGTGGGTCAACATGGGCCAACATGGGTCAATGTGGGTCAACACGGGCCAACATGGGTCAGTGTGGGTCAACACGGGCCAACATGGGCCAAAATGGATCAATGTGGGTCAATGTGGGTCAACATGGGCCAAAATGGATCAATGTGGGTCAACACGGGCCAACATGGGTCAATGTGGGTCAACACGGGTCAACATGGGTCAATGTGGGTCAACATGGGCCAACATGGGTCAATGTGGGTCAACACAGGCCAACATGGGTCAGTGTGGGTCAACACGGGCCAATATGGGTCAATGTGGGTCAACACGGGCCAACATGGGTCAGTGTGGGTCAACACGGGCCAATATGGGTCAGTGTGGGTCAACACGGGCCAATATGGGTCAGTGTGGGTCAAAATGGGTCAGTGTGGGTCAACACGGGCCAACATGGGCCAAAATGGATCAATGTGGGTCAATGTGGGTCAACATGGGTAAAAATGGGTCAACGTGGGTCAACACGGGCCAACATGGGTCAGTGTGGTTCAACACGGGCTAAAATGGGTCAATGTGGGTCAAAATGGATCAACGTGGGTCAACACGGGCCAACATGGGTCAATGTGGGTCAAAATGGATCAACGTGGGTCAACACGGGCCAAAATGGGTCAATGTGGGTCAACACGGGCCAACATGGGTCAGTGTGGGTCAACACGGGCTAAAATGGGTCAGTGTGGGTGAACACAGGCCAACATGGGTCAATGTGGGTCAACACGGGCTAAAATGGGTCAGTGTGGGTGAACACAGGCCAACATGGGTCAGTGTGGGTCAACACGGGCTAAAATGGGTCAGTGTGGGTGAACACAGGCCAACATGGATCAATGTGGGTCAACACGGGCCAACATGGGTCAATGTGGGTCAAAATGGATCAACGTGGGTCAACACGGGCCAACGTGGGTCAATGTGGGTCAACACGGGCCAACATGGGTCAATGTGGGTCAACACAGGCCAACATGGGTCAGTGTGGGTCAACATGGGTCAAAATGGGTCACTGTGGGTCAACACGGGACAAAATGGGTCACTGTGGGTCAAAATGGATCAACATGGGTCAGTGTGGGTCAACACGGGCCAACATGGGTCAATGTGGATCAATACGGGCCAACATGGGTCAGTGTGGGTCAACATGGGCCAAAATGGATCAATGTGGGTCAATGTGGGTCAATGTGGGTCAACACGGGCCAACATGGGTCAATGTGGGTCAAAATGGATCAACGTGGTTCAACACGGGCCAACATGGGTCAATGTGGGTCAACACGGGCCAACATGGGTCAGTGTGGGTCAACATGGGTCAAAATGGATCAATGTGGGTCAATGTGGGTCAACATGGGCCAAAATGGATCAATGCGGGTCAACACGGGCCAAAATGGGTCAATGTGGGTCAACACAGGCCAACATGGGTCAATGTGGATCAACACGGGCCAACATGGGTCAATGTGGGTCAAAATGGATCAACGTGGGTCAACTCGGGCCAACATGGGTCAGTGTGGGTCAACACGGGCCAACATGGGTCAATGTGGGTCAATGTGGGTCAATGTGGGTCAACATGGGCCAAAATGGATCAATCTGGGTCAACATGGATTGGACCAGGTCAACAGGGTCAGTGTGGATCGACATGGGTCAGCACAGGTCAACGTAGGCCAATGTGGGTCAACGTGTGCCAAGACGGACTGGCACAGGTCAACTCTGATCCAGATGGGCCAACACGGATCAATAGAGGCCAACAGGGATCAATAGAGGCCAACATGGATCAATAATGGCCAACAGGGATCAATAGAGGTCAATGTGGGCCAGCACACATCTACGTGGGTCAACGAGGACCAACCCAAGTCAAGGTGGGTCAGGACAGGCCAAGGTGGGTCAGGACAGGCCAAGGTGGGTCAGCACAGGTCAAGGTGGGTCAGGACAGGCCAAGGTGGGTCAGGACAGGCCAAGGTGGGCCAGAACAGGTCAGGGTGGGTCAGGACAGGTCAGGGTGGGCCAGGACAGGCCAAGGTGGGCCAGAACAGGTCAGGGTGGGTCAGGACAGGTCAGGGTGGGCCAGGACAGGCCAATGTGGGTCGAGACAGGCCAAGGTGGGTCAGGACAGGTCAGGGTGGGCCAGGACAGGTCAGGGTGGGTCAGGACAGGTCAGGGTGGGTCAATGTGGCTCAGCTGACAGGACAACAAGGGACTGACCCAGGCAAGCATGGATGGACACAGTGCACCACCGAGGGTCACCATGGACTCAGGTTTGTCACCACGAGACCCAGGTGTGTCACCATGAACCCAGGTGTGCCACCACAAGCCCCAGGTGTGCCACCATGGACCCAGGTGTGCCACCACAAGCCCCAGGTGTGTCACCACAAGCCCCAGATGTGTCACCACAAGCCCCAGATGTGTCACCATGAACCCAGATGTGTCACCATGGACCCAGGTGTGCCACCATGGATCCAGGTGTGCCACCATGGATCCAGGTGTGCCACCACGAGACCCAGGTGTGTCACCATGGACCCATGTGTGCCACCATGAACCCAGATGTGCCACCATGGATCCAGGTGTGTCACCATGGACCCAGATGTGCCACCATGGACCCAGGTGTATCACCATGGACCCAGGTGTGTCACCACAAGCCCCAGATGTGTCACCACAAGACCCAGATGAGTCACCACAAGACCCAGGTGTGTCACCATGAACCCAGGTGTGTCACCACAAGACCCAGGTGTGCCACCATGAACCCAGGTGTGCCACCATGGACCCAGGTGTGCCACCATGGACCCAGGTGTGCCACCATGGACTCAGATGTGTCACCACAAGCCCCAGGTGTCCCACCATGGACCCAGGTGTGTCACCACGGACCCAGGTGTGCCACCATGGACCCAGGTGTGCCACCATTGACCCAGGTGTGCCACCATGAACCCAGCTGTGCCACCATGGACCCAGGTGTGTCACCATGGATTCAGCTGTGCCACCACAAGCCCCAGGTGTGCCACCATGAATCCAGGTGTGCCACCATGGACCCAGGTGTGCCACCACAAGCCCCAGGTGTGCCACCACAAGACCCAGGTGTGCCACCACAAGACCCAGGTGTGCCACCATGGACCCAGATGTGCCACCATGGACCCAGGTGTGCCACCATGGACCCAGGTGTGCCACCATGGACCCAGATGTGTCACCACAAGACCCAGGTGTGCCACCATGGACCCAGGTGTGCCACCATGGACCCAGATGTGTCACCACAAGACCCAGGTGTGCCACCATGGACCCAGCTGTGCCACCATGGACCCAGGTGTGCCACCATGGACCCAGCTGTACCACCATGGACCCAGATGTGTCACCATGGATCCAGGTGTGTCACCATGAACCCAGATGTGTCACCACAAGACCCAGCTGTGCCACCATGAATCCAGGTGTGCCACCATGAACCCAGGTGTGTCACCACAAGCCCCAGGTGTGCCACCATGGACCCACGTGTGCCACCATGGACCCAGGTGTGTCACCACAAGCCCCAGGTGTGCCACCATGGATCCAGGTGTGCCACCACAAGCCCCAGATGTGTCACCACAAGACCCAGGTGTGTCACCACAAGCCCCAGATGTGCCACCACAAGCCCCAGGTGTGCCACCACGCTGCCCCGTGTCCCCGGGCACCGCCCGGCGCGCTCACCTGAGTGGATGAACATGTGCTTGGTGTAGTTCTTGCGGGAGCTGAAGCTCTTGTGGCAGTGCCCGCACTGGTGCGGCGCCTGGGGCGGGCGCTGCGGTGCCGGGGCGGGCGCGGGGTTGGCACCTCCATCTTGAACCCCTTCGTAGGGCGGTGGTGGCAGCGGCAGTGGGGTCACCTCCTGTCCATGCTCAGCCCCGAAGGCACTGCCGCCATCACCGGGCCACGGCGGCAGGAAAGCATCGGTGAAAACCTCCGTGGTGCCAAAAAACGGTGGGTCCTGGCTGGGGAATGGCGCCAGCGCTGTGGGGACACCATCCTGAGGGCCACCTTCATCCTCTTCCTCATCATCATCCTCGTTATCCCCCGGCGTGTCGCGGTGCTCCTCCTTGAGCGCGGGCGCCCGGCGCAGCGGCTGCCGCTGCTTTCGGCTGTGGCCACCCGCCACCGGTTCCGTGGGCCCGTCCGGTTGTGGCGTGACCTTACGGGGATGTGACACCGGTGGTGGCACGGTGGGACCGCGTCCCCGCGAGATGATCTGCGTGCACTCATCGATGACCGTCTTGATCTGCAGCACCGAGGCGGCCGTCAGCATGTGCAGCGCCTCGGACTGTGCCACCACCAGGCTGCCGCTGTAGAGGAACTCGACCAGCTGGCGCACGGCGGCCGCGGGCACCACGGGTGGCACCTCGATGGCCGAGTGGCCGAGGCGCAGCTTGTCGTGGAAGAAGGGGCTGCCCGCGGCCAGCACGCAGCGGTGGGCGCGCAGCGACGCCTCGCGGATGCGCACGGTGACGTCGCAGAACTGACCGGACTCGCGCTGCCCCTGCAGCGACTCCAGCACCGAGCGGCTGAAGTTGTGCAGGTGGATGTAGTGCACCGCCTCGGGCATGGCCTGGGGACAGGGGGACAGAGGGGACAGAGGGGGGACACGGGGAGATGGGGGGACACAGGGGACAGAGGGGACAGCAGGGGACACAGGGAGATGGGGGGACACGGGGGGACAGAGGGGACAGAGGTCACAGAAAGGACACAGAGGGACACCAAGACAGAGGGGACACAGGAGTTAGTGGGGGACACCGGGATACTGGGAATGCGGGGGGACACTGGGGGACACGGGGATAGAGGGGACAGAGGGGACAGTGGTCACACGGAGGGACACCAGGACAGAGGGGACAGTGGGACACAGGGACAGTGGGGACACGGGGGGACAGAGGGGACACCGAGGGACACCAGGACAGAGGGGACACGAGGACAGAGGGGACAGAGGGGACAGTGGGGACAGTGGGGACAGAGGTCACAGAAAGGACACGGAGGGACACCAGGACACAGGGGACACGGGGGGACAGAGGGGACAGAAAGGACACGGAGGGACACGGGGACACGGGGGGACAGAGGGGACAGAGGGGACAGAGGGGACACGGGGGGACAGTGGGGACAGAGGGGACACAGGAGTTAGTGGGGGACACCGGGATACTGGGAATGTGGGGGGACAGTGGGGGACATGGGGATAGAGGGGACAGAGGGGACAGAGGTCACAGAAAGGACACAGAGGGACACCAGGACAAAGGGGAGACGGGGACAGTGGGACACGGGGTCAATGGGACACGGGGACAATGGGACACAGGGACAGTGTGAAAATGGGACACGGGGACACTGTGACAATGGGACACGGGGACAATGGGACTCAGGGACAGTGGGACACGGGGACAGTGTGACAATAGGACACGGGGACACTGTGACAATGGGACACGGGGACAATGGGACAACGGGCGCACAGGGACAATGGGACACGGGGACAGTGGGACAATGGGACAGTGTGACACGGGGAGAGTGGGACACGGGGACACAAGAACAGTGGGACACGGGGGGACAGGGACAGTGGGACACGGGGATAATGGGACAATGGGACACGGGGACAGTGGGGACACGGGGACACAGGGGGATGGGGGGGACAGTGGGACACGGGGACAGAGGGGACACGGGAGTTAGTGGGGGACACCGGGATACTGGGAATGTGGGGGGACAGTGGGGGACATGGGGATAGAGGGGACACAGGGGGGACAGAGGTCACAGAGGGGACAGAAAGGACACAGAGGGACACCAGGACACAGGGGACACGGGGGGACAGAGGGGACAGTGGGGACAGTGTGACAATGGGACAATGGGACACGGGGACAATGTGACAATGGGACACGGGGTCAATGGGACACGGGGACAGTGGGACACGGGGACAGTGGGACAATGGGACACGGGGACAGTGGGACACGGGGACACTGTGACAATGGGACACGGGGACAATGGGACACGGGGACAATGGGACAATGGGACACGGGGACAGTGGGACACGGGGACAATGGGACACGGGGACAGTGGGACACGGGGACAGTGGGACAGTGGGACACGGGGACAGTGGGACAGTGTGACAATGGGACAGTGGGACACGGGGACAGTGTGACAATGGGACACGGGGACACGGGGCTGGCGGGAGCCCCTTGGTGCCGGGGCCACACGCGGGGACACCGCTCCAGCGGCGAGCCTGGCGGGACCTGGGGACAGAGAAGATGTCACCGGGGCAGGGGACAGCCCGCGTGACGTCACGGGGGCGGCCCGTGTGACGTCACGCCGAGGGACAGCGGCCGGGATGTCCCCGAGCTGTCGCGACAGGCGGAGCGCCCCGAGCCCATTCCCGCCCTCCCCCTCCCCGGACCCACCGGGACCCCTCGGCCCGGCCCTGCCCCTCCCCCCACAAAAAAACCGGGACAAACCCGGGACAAACCCGGGCCCCTCCCCCACACCTCACTGCTGCTCCCGCCGCCGCCGCGCGATGACGTCACTTCCGCCGCACCGACCGGAAGCGGGGCATAGAGAGCGGCGCAGAGCGGCCCCGCCCACCATAGAGACGGGCGGGGAGGCGCATGCGCGGAGAGCGCCCTCTGGCGGGCCGGAGGTCCGGAAGGGCCGCGGCGCCTCATGAGCCCCAAAGGGACCCCAAAATACCCAAAGGGACCCCAAAATCCACAAAGGGACCCCAAAATCCACAAAGGGAACCCAAAATACACAAAGGGACCCCAAAGGGACCCCAAATAGACCCCAAAATCCACAAAGGGACCCCAAAATACCCAAAGGGACCCCAAAATCCCCAAAAGGACCCCAAAATCCACAAAGGGACCACAAAATCCACAAAGGGAACCCAAAGGGACCCCAAAATCCACAAAGGGACCCCAAAGGGACCCCAAAATCCACAAAGGGACCCGAAAGAGACCCCAAAGGGACTCTACAGACCCCAGAGGGACCCCAAAGACCCCAAATACCCCAAAGGTATCCCAAAGGGACACCCCAAAGCCCCCATGGGGACCCCAAAGTCCTCACAGACCCCAAAGGGACCCCAAAGGGACCCCAAAGGGACCCCAAAATCCCTAAAGGGACCCAAAAGTCCCCATGGGGATTCCCAGACCCCAAAGGGACCCCAAAGGGACCCCAAAGTCCCCATGGGGACCCCAAACTTCTCAAAGAGCCCAAATAGACCCCAAAGACCCCAAAGGGACCCCAAAGGGACCCCACAAACCCCAAAGGGACCCCAAATTCCCCAAAGTCCCCATGGAGATCCCAAGACCCCAAAGACCCCAAAGTCGCCAGGGAGACCCCAAAGTCCCCACAGACCCCACAGGGACCCCAAAGGGACCCCCGAAGTTCCCACGAGGACCCCAAAGTCCCCACAGGAACCCCAAAGAGATCCTCAGAGGGACCCCAAAGTCTCCAAAGACCCCATGATGGCCGTGTCCATCCATGGTGGCCACACTGACTCCTCCTGGCCCATCTCCATCCATGGTGACCCACGTTGACTCCTTTTGGCCCATCTTGATCCACCTCCGTCCATGTTGGCACATTTTGATTCCTGTTGACTCCTCCTGATCCACGGTGATCCGTGTCCATTCCTTGTGGTCCATCTCCATCCATGTCCATTCCTTGTGGTCCATCTCCATCCATCTCCATTCCTTGTGGTCCATCTCCATCCATGTCCATTCCATGTGGTCCATCTCCATCCATGTCCATTCCTTGTGGTCCATCTCCATCCATGTCCATTCCTTGTGGTCCATCTCCATCCATGTCCATTCCTTGTGGTCCATCTCCATCCATGTCCATTCCTTGTGGTCCATCTCCATCCATGTCCATTCCATGGGGTCCATCTCCATCCATGTCCATTCCATGGGGTCCATCTCCATCCATGTCCATTCCTTGTGGTCCATCTCCATCCATGTCCATTCCTTGTGGTCCATCTCCATCCATGTCCATTCCTTGTGGTCCATCTCCATCCATGTCCATTCCATGGGGTCCATCTCCATCCATGTCCATTCCTTGTGGTCTATCTCCATCCATGTCCATTCCTTGTGGTCCATCTCCATCCATGTCCATTCCCTGTGGTCCATCTCCATCCATGTCCATTCCTTGGGGTCCATCTCCATCCATGTCCATTCCTTGGGGTCCATCTCCATCCATGTCCATTCCTTGGGGTCCATCTCCATCCATGTCCATTCCTTGTGGTCCATCTCCATCCATGTCCATTCCATGGGGTCCATCTCCATCCATGTTGGCCCACCTTGACTCCTCCAGGCCCATGGTGGTCCAAATCCATCCATGATGACCCTCACTGACCCCTGTCCATCCATGGTGATCCACGGTGATTCCATGTTGATTCCATGTTGATTCCATGTTGATTCCATGTTGATTCCATGTTAATTCCATATTGATTCCATGTTGATTCCATGTTGATTCCATGTTGATTCCATGTTAATTCCATATTGATTCCATGTCGATTCCATGTTGGTTCCATGTGGATTCCATGTTGGTTCCATGTTGATTCCATGTTGGTTCCATGTGGATTCCATGTTGGTTCCATGTTGATTCCATGTTGGTTCCATGTTGATTCCATGACCACACTGACCCACACTGACCCACACTGACCCACACTGCTTTGTGCTGACCCCTGGTGACCCCTGGTGACCCTTGGTGACCCGTGGTGACCCGTGTTGACCTGTGTTGACCTGTGGTGACCTGTGGTGACCTGTGGTGACCTGTGGTGACCTGTGGTGACCGTTGTCTCTCTGTGTCTGTCCAGGTTGGTCTGTGGTTACCCCTGGTCACCCCGGTGAACTATGTTGACTTGTGGTGACCCCTGTGACCCCTGTGACCCCTGGTGACCCGTGGTCGCTCTGTCTCTGCCCAGGTTGTCCCCGCTGTCCAGGTGACCCCAGACATGACCCCGGCACCGTGACATCACACCCGGCACTGTGACGTCACAGCTGGCACTGTGGCATCACAGCTGGCACCGTGACGTCACACCCCTCTGTGACGTCACACACAGCACTGTGACGTCACACCTGGCACAGTGACGTCACACCCGGCGCTGTGACATCATACCCAGCGCTGTGACATCACAACTGACACTCCAGGTGACCTCACAGGTGACACCACCAGTGACCTCGCAGGTGACCTCAGAGCTGATGTCACAGGTGACCTCACAGGTGACATCACAGCTGATCTGACAGGTGACCTCACAGGTGACACCACAGGTGACATCACCAGTGACCCCACAGGTGACCTCACAGGTGACCTCACAGGTGACACCCCAGGTGACACTCCAGTGCCATCCCATCAGTTCCCTCCAGCCCCGCGTTCCTCCGCGGGCGGTTCCCAATTTCGGGGTGTCCTGAGCTGCGCCCCAAACCGGCACCGCCTCGGGCCGGGGCGGCGCCCGAAATCCGCAGTGTCCCCTCGGGTGGGGGTGACACCAAATTTTGGGGTGTCCTGTGTCACCTGAGTCCCCTCAGGTGGGGGTGACACCCAAATTTTGGGGTGTCCTGGGACATTGTGTCCCCTTTAGATGGGGATGACACCCGAAATTTGGGGTGTCCTGGGTCACCTGTGTCCCCCCAGATGGGGATGACACCCAAATTTTGGGGTGTCTTGTGACATTGTGTCCCCTCAGATGGGGGTGACACCCAAATTTTGGGGTCTCCTGGGTCACCTGTGTCCCCTCAGGTGGGCTTAGCATCCAAATTTTGGGGTGCCCTGGGACACTGTGTCCCTCAGGTGGGGGTGACACTGAAATTTGGGGTGTCCTGGCACACTGAGTCCCCTCGCGTGGGGGTGACACTGAAATTTTGGGGTGTCCTGGGACATTGTGTCCCTCATGTGGGGGTGACACCCAAATTTTGGGGTGCCCTGGTACTCTGTGTCCCCCGGGTGGGGGTGACACTGAAATTTTGGGGTGTCCTGGGACATTGTGTCCCTCATGTGGGGGTGACACCCAAATTTTGGGGTGACCTGGGACATTGTGTCCCCTCAGGTGGGGTGACACCCAAATTTTGGGGTGCTCTGGAACACTGTGTCCCCTCAGGTGGTGTTGGCATCAAAATTTTGGGGTCTCCTGGCACACTGTGTCCCCTCGGGTGGGGGTGACACCCAAATTTTGCGGTGTCCTGGGACATTGTGTCCCCCAGGCGGGGTGACACCCAAATTTTGGGGTGACCTGGGACATTGTGTCCCCTCAGGTGGGGTGACACTGAAATTTTGGGGTGTCCTGGGTCACCTGTGTCCCCTCGGTGAGGGTGACATCCAAATTTTGGGGTGCATTGGATTCCTGTGTCCCCCCAGATGGGGGTGAAACCAAATTTTGGGGTGTCCTCGGACACTGTGTCCCCTCAGATGGGGGTGACACTGAAATTTTGGAGTGCTCTGGGTCACCTGTGTCCTCTCAGGTGGGGGTGACCCCCAAAATTTGGGGTGTCCTGGCACACTGTGTCCCCCGGGTGGGGTTGGCATCCAAATTTTGGGGTGCTCTGGGTCACATGTGTCCCCTCAGGTGGGCTTAGCATCAAAATTTTGGGGTGTCCTGGCACACTGTGTCCCTGGGGGGGGTGACACCCAAATTTTGGGGTGCCCTGTGTCCCCGGGGGGGGTGACACTGAAATTTTGGGGTGCCCTGTGTCCCGGGGGGGGGGGTGACACCCAAATTTTGGGGTCTCCTGGCACACTGTGTCCCCTCGGGTGGGGGTGACACTGAAATTTTGGGGTGCCCTGTGTCCCGGGGGGGGGGTGACACCCAAATTTTGGGGTGCCCTGGGGCGGTGCCCGAAACCCGCGGCCCCTCGGGGCGAGGGCGGCGGCGGCACCGGAGCCGCTGGAGCCGAACGGAGCCGCCCGGGGCGGGCCCGGTGCCCTCCCGAGGGGACATCGCGGGGGGAGGGACACAGTGACACAGTGCCACCAGCGCTGCCACCCGCCGTGTCACCCGCGGTGTCACCCGCGGCTCCTCCCGTGCCCGGTGAGGGGCTGGAACGGCACCGGGACCGGCACCGGGACCGGCAGGTGAGGGGCAGGGGGCGGGCAGGGGGCACAAAAACCCACCCCAAGGGTGGGCAGGGGGCACAAACCCACCCAAGGGTGGGCAGGGGGTAAAAAAACCCACCCCAGGGTGGGCAGGGGGCACAAACCCACCCCAGGGTGGGCAGGGGGCACAAACCCCCACCCCAGGGTGGGCAGGGGGCACAAACCCACCCCAGGGTGGGCAGGGGGCACAAACCCACTCCAGGGTGGGCAGGGGGCACAAACCCACCCCAGGGTGGGCAGGGGGCACAAACCCACCCCAGGGTGGGCAGGGGGCACAAACCCACCCCAGGGTGGGCAGGGGGCACAAACCCACCCCAGGGTGGGCAGGGGGCACAGACCCCCCCCAGGGTGGGCAGGGGGCACAAACCCACCCCAGGGTGGGCAGGGGGCACAAACCCACCCCAGGGTGGGCACAAACCCCCCCCAGGGTGGGCAGGGGGCACAAACCCACCCCAGGGTGGCATCCCGGGGACCCCCGACCTTCCCCCCCACCCCAAAAAAAAGCCCCCCCGGAGCTGTGGGGGTGGGGAGGGGTCGCAGCCCCGGGGCTGATGCGGATTTTGGGGATTTTTTGGGGATTTTGGGGAAGGGTCTCTGCTGCTCCAGAGCCCCCCCGGATTGCGGCGCGATGGACGCGGGGGACAACGGGGGACAAGGTGGCGACCCCCGGGTGGCACAGGTGAGGGGGGGTCCCCCAGGTGTGTGGGGGGGTCCCAGGTGAGGGGGGGTCCCCGCGTTTGGGGGTCCCCAGCCCCTCCCCCCGCCTTTGGCCGGGGACCCCCGCGCCCCCTGCGCGGCCCCCGGGCTGGAATTGGGGCAGGGGGCGGGGACAGCGACAAAGGGACAGAGGGACACGGGGACAGCGACACGGGGCGGGGACAGCGACACGGGGCGGGGACACCTCCCCCCCCATCCCCCCGAGCCCCCCAAACTCATCCCCCCCTTGGGCCCCCCGGATTTTGGGACACCCCCCCGGATTTTGGGACCCCCCCCCCGGATTTTGGGACCCCCCCCCGGATTTTGGGACCCTTCCCCCCCGATTTTGGGATCCCCCCAAAAGTACAGCCCCACCCCCCCCCCCCGGGATTCCAGGGAACTTTCTCGGACCCCTCAGACTCTGGGGGTCCCCCAAAAATCTGGGACCCCCCAAAGATCTGAGACCCCCCCCAAAGATCTGGGACCCCCAAAAACCTGGGACCCCCCCCAAAGATCTGGAACCCCCAAAAAACTTGGACCCCCCCAAAGATCTGGGACCCCCCCAAAAACCTGGGCCCCCCCCCCAAAGATCTGGGACCCCACAAACACCGGAGACCCCCAAAAACCTGGGACCCCCCAAAAACCTGGGACCCCCCACAAAGATCTGGGCCCCCCCAAAAACCTGGGACCCCCCCAAAGATCTGGGACCCCCCCAAAACCCTGGGACCCCCCCCAATGTCGGGGACCCCCCAAAGATCCGGGACCCCCCCAAAGATCCGGGACCCCCCCAAAAACCTGGGACCCCACAAAGATGTGAGACCCCCCAATATCTGTGCCCCCCAAAAAACCTGCGACCCCCCCAAAGACCTGGGACTCCCCAAAAATCTGACACCCCCCCCATATTTCCGCCCCCCAAATTTGGGGTTCCCCGGGCATTTGGGACCCTCTGCCCCCCTGGGACTCCCCGAATTCCCGGGACCCCCGGGGACATTTGGGGTCTCCCACACCCCCGGCACCCCCCGATTTTGGGACCCCCCCGGATTTTGGGAACCCCCGAATTTTGGGACCTCCCGGATTTTGGGGTTCCCTGGATTTTGGGACCTCTCGGGATTTTGGGACCCCCCGGATTTTGGGAACCCCCTTGATTTTAGGGGTTCCCCGGATTTTGGGACCCCCCGGATATTGGGACCCCCCGAATTTTGGCACCCCCCGCATTTTGGGGTTCCCTGGATTTTGGGACCTCTCTGGATTTCGGGATCCCCCGGATTTAGGGGTTCCCCGGATTTTGGGGCCCTCAGATTTTGGGATCCCCCAGATTTTGGGGTTCCCTGGATTTTGGGACCTCTCTGGATTTTGGGATCCCCCGGATTTAGGGGCCCCCCGAATTTTGGGACCCCCCGCATTTAGGGACGTCCTGCATTTTGTGACCCCTCTGGATTTTGGGAACCCCCTTGATTTAGGGGTTCCCCGGATTTTGGGATCCCCTGGATTTTGGGACCTCTCTGGATTTCGGGACCACTCTGGATTTTGGGACCTCCCGAATTTTGAGACCCCCCCATTTAGGGGTTCCCTGCATTTTGGGACCCCCGGGATATTGGGACCCCCCGGATTTTGGGCTTCTCTGTATTTTGGGACCCCTCTGGATTTTGGGACCCCCCCCGGATATTGGAACCCCCCGGATTTTGGGACCCCCTGGATTTAGGGGTTCCCCGGATTTTGGGATCCCCGCATTTCGGGACCCCCCCCGGATTTCGGGACCCCCCCGGATTTTGGGATCCCCCCACAGGCGCAGCGCCGGCGGGACCTGGAGGCGGAGCTCCGTGACCTCAGCAGACAGGTGGGCGGGGCTTGCGGGGAGGGGCGGGGCCAGCGCCTGTCAATCACAGCCCGGCCCCGCCCCTCGCTGAGGAGGGGGCGGAGCTTGGCGCTGTCAATCACCCAGGTGGGCGGGGCCTGGGGGCTGTCCCACACCACGGGGGCGGTGCTTGGCGCTGTCAATCACGCGCTGCCCAATCAGGTGGCGGCGCTGGGGCGGAGCCTGGAGGCGGAAAGGGGGCGGAGCCTGCTGGAGGGCGGGGCCCTGCGCGCGCTGGAGATGGCGGTGGGCGGAGCCAAGGCCCGGGTGGGCGGAGCCTGTCGGGCCCTGGACCGGGCCAATGAGCGCCTGCGGCTGCAGCAGGTGGGCGGGGCCTGGGCTGGAGGGGGCGGAGCCTCGGACAGGTGTGGAAAGGGGCGTGGCCTAAGGGGGAGGAGCCTCTGGCGGGGGTGTGGCTTGGGCGGGGCAAAGAGGGCGTGGCCAGGGTGTGGTCTGTGAAGGGGGCGGGGCTTATGGGGCAGAGCTTTGGGTGGGGCCTGAGGGGGGGTGGAGCCTCTGGAGTGGGCGGAGTCACGGTGGGTGTGGCTATTAAGGCATAGCTAAAGGGGGCGTGGTCTGAGGGGCAGTGGGCGTGGCCAGGTGGGTGGGCGTGGCCTGTTTGACCCCGCCCCTCTGCAGGAGGCGGGGCAGGCGCTGTGGGAGGAGCTTGAGGCCGCTCGGGCGGCCAAGGCGGGGGCGGAGCTCCGGGCCCGGGAGGTGGAGGCGCAGTGCCGGGCCCGGGGGGCGGAGCTGGAGCGGCTGCGGCAGGTGGGCGGGGCCAAGGGACGGTGGGCGGGACTAAGGGACGGTGGGCGGGGCTAGGGAACGATGGGCGTGGTTATCACAGCCTGTGGGCGGGGCTAAGGAATGATGGGCGGGGCGATATCAGCCTCTGGGCGGGGCTAAGGAACGGTGGGCGGGGCTAAGGAACGATGGGCGGGGCTATAGAAGCCTGTGGGCGGGGCTAAGGAACGGTGGGCGGGGCTCTATAATAATGGGCGGGGCTACATCAGCCTATGGGCGGGGATAAGGAACGATGGGCGTGGCTATGGCAGCCTGTGGGCGGGGCTAAGGCACGATGGGCGTGGCTATAGCAGCCTAAGGGCGTGGCTAAGGAACGATGGGCGTGGCCATAGCAGCCCGTGGGCGTGGCTAAGGAACAGTGGGCGGGGCTATCACAGCCTGTGGGCGGGGCTATATAAAGCCTGTGGGCGGGGCTAAGGAATGGTGGGCGTGGTTATTGCAGCCTGTGGGTTGGGCTAAGGGACTATGGGCGGGGCTATAGCAGCCTGTGGGCGGGGCTTATGAACGGTGGGCGTGGTTTAAAACAATGGGCGGGGCTATAGCACCCTGTGGGTGGGGCTAAGGAGCGATGGGCTTGGCTATAGCAGCCTGTGGGCGGGGCTAAGGATTAATGGGTGGGGCTATAGCAGCCTGTGGGCGGGGCTAAGGAACAGTGGGCGTGGCCATAGCAGCCCGTGAGCGTGGCTACGTTTCAATGGGCGTGGCTATAGCAGCATGTGGGCGGGGCTAAGTTGGAATGGGCGGGGCTCTAACACCCGATGGGTGGGGCTAAGTGCCTATAGGGCGGGGCTATTGATGCTGGGGGTGTGGCCATGGAGCAATGGGCGGGGCTAGAGCAGCCTGTGGGCGTGGCTGAAGAACGATGGGCGGGGCTACTGCTGCTGGGGGTGTGGCCATGGAGCAATGGGCGGGGCTAGAGCAGCCGGTGGGCGGGGCCGTTCCGTGGGCGTGGCTCGGGGGCGTGGCCGTTCCGTGGGCGTGGCTCGGGGGCGTGTCCCTTTCGGCCCCGCCCACAGGCGGTGCAGGCGGCCCGGCAGTCCCGGCGCCGGGCGGAGCAGGAGCGGGACCGGGTGGCGGCGGAGCTCGGCCACGCCCCCCGCGCCAGGTGAGCGCCCAAGGGTGCCGGTGGGTCCCCTCGAGGTCCCTACAGCCCCCATGGGTCCCCACGTGTCCCCTCTGCGTCCCCAGATGTGTCCGAGATGTCCCCAGGTGCCCCCAGGTGTTCCCAGGTGTCCCCAGGTGTCCCCAGATGTCCCCAGGTGTCCCCCCTGATGTCCCCAGGTCCCCCCAGGTGCCCCCAGCTCCCCCCAGATGTCCCCAGGTGTCCCAGGTGTCCCCCGGGATTTCCCCAGGTCCCCCCAGGTGTCCCCAGATGTCCCCAGGTCCCCCCAGCTGTCCCCCCAGGTGTAACCAGGTGTCCCCAGGTGTCCCCAGGTGTCCCCCGGGTTGTCCCCAGGTGTCCCCCCAGGTGTCCCAGGTGTCCCCAGGTCCCCCCAGGTGTCCCCCGGGGTTTCCCCAGGTGTCCCCAGGTGTCCCCAGGTGTCCCCCCAGGTGTCCCCAGATGTGCCCAGGTGTGCCCAGGTGTCCCCCCAGGTGTCCCCAGGTGTCCCAGGTGTGTCCCCAGGTCCCCCCAGGTGTCCCCCCAGGTGTCCCCAGGTGTCCCCAGGTGTCCCCAAATGTCCCAGATGTTCCCCCAGGTGTCCCCCCAGGTGTCCCCAGGCCCCCCAGGTGCCCCCAGGTGTCCCCAGGTGTCCCCAGGTGTCCCCAGGTGTCCCCCCAGGTGTCCCCAGGTGTCCCCAGGTGTCCCCAGGTGTCCCAGGTGTCCCCCCAGGTGTCCCCAGGTGTCCCAGGTGTACCCCCAGGTGTCCCCATGTCCCCCCAGGTGTGCCCAGGTGTCCCCAGGTGTCCCCAGGTGTCCCCCCAGGTGTCCCCCCAGGTGTGTCCCCAGGTCTCCCCCGGTCCCCCCAGGTCCCCCCAGGTGTCCCCAGATGTCCCCAAGTGTTCCCAGATGTCCCCACGTGTGTCACCGTGTCCCTGTATGTCCCCAGGTCCCCCCAGGTGTCCCCCCAGGTGTCTCCCCAGATGTCCCCAGGTGTCCCCAGGTCCCCCCAGGTGCCCCCAGGTGTCCCCAGGTGTCCCCAGGTGTCCCAGGTGTCCCCAGGTGTCCTCCCCAGATGTCCCCAGGTGTCCCCAGGTGTCCCCAGATCCCCCCAGGTGTCCCCAGATCCCCCCAGGTGTCCCCCCAGGTTCCTCCAGGTGCCCCCAGATGTCCCCCCAGGTGTCCCCAGGTGTCCCCAGGTGTCCCCAGGTGTCCCCTGTGTCCCGCAGCGCCCCCACCGGTGACCCCACGGCGCTGGAGGAGCCGCGGGAGCAGAACCGGGACCTGCGGGAGCGGCCGGGACAGCGGCGGGGACAGGTGGGGACAGCTGGGGGGACACCTGGGCACACCTGGGGGCACCTGGGGGGACACCTGGGCACACCTGGGGGGACACCTGGGGGACACCTGGGCACACCTGGGGGGACCTGGGGGGACCTGGGAACACCTGGGGGGACCTGGGGGGACACCTGGGGACAGCTGGGGACACCTGGGCACACCTGGGGGGACCTGGGGGGACACCGGGGGCGACACGGGCACAGGTGTGGGTGCCATGGGGTGACGTGAGCATGGATGTGGCACAGGTGTGTCACAGGTGTGGCACAGGTGTGGCACAGGTGTGGCACAGATGTCACAGGGGTGGCACAGGTATGGCACAGGTGTGTCACAGGTGTGTCACAGGTGTGTCACAGGTGGCACAGGTGTGGCACAGGTGTGGCACAGGTGTGGGTGTCACAGGTGTGGCACAGGTGTGTCACAGGTGTCACAGGTGTGTCACAGGTGTCACAGGTGTGTCACAGGTGGGCACAGGTGTATCACAGATGTGTCACAGGTGTGGCACAGTTGGCACAGGTGTGCACAGGTGTGGCACAGGTGTATCACAGGTGGGCACAGGTGTGGCACAGGTGTGCACAGGTGTGGCACAGGTGTATCACAGGTGGGCACAGGTGTGGCACAGGTGTGCACAGGTGGCACAGGTGTATCACAGGTCTGTCACAGGTGTGTCACAGGTGTATCCCAGGTGTGTCACAGGTGGCACAGGTGGCACAGGTGGCACAGGTGGCACAGGTGTGGCACAGGTGTATCACAGGTGTGGCACAGGTGGCACAGGTGTGTCACAGGTGTGTCACAGGTGTGTCACAGGTGTGGCACAGGTGGCACAGGTGTGTCACAGGTGTGTACAGGTGTATCACAGGGGTGGCACAGGTGTGTCACAGGTGTGTACAGGTGTATCACAGGTGTGTCACAGGTGTGTCACAGGTGGCACAGGTGTGTCACAGGTGTCACAGGTGTGGCACAGGTGTATCACAGGTGTGCCCAGCCCCTGCCCCGCGCTCTCCCGCAGGTGCAGCAGCTGTGGCGGGCGCGGGACCGCCCCGGGACCCCCGGGACCACTGGGATAACAACCGGGACAACAACCGGGACCACCGGGATAACAACTGGGACAGCCGGGACAACAACTGGGATAACCGGGACAACCGGGATAACAACCGGGATAACAACCGGGATAACAACCGGGATAACCGGGACAACCGGGACCCCCGGGATAAGCGGGATAACCGGGACAACAACCGGGATAACAACCGGAACTCCCGGGATAACCAGGATAACCGGGAGCGCCGGGAGCGCCGGGAGCGCCGGGGCTCCCGGGATACCCGGGAGCGCCGGGAGCGCCAGGACCCCCGGGATAACCGGAACCACCAGGATAACCGGGATAACAACCGGGATAACCGGGAGCGCCGGGAGCACCGGGATAACTGGGAGAACAACCGGGATAACCGGGATAACCACCGGGATAACCGGGAGCGCCGGCACTCCCGGGCTGACCAGGAGCACCGGGATAAGCGGGATAACCGGGAGAACAACCGGGATAACCAGGAGCAGCGGGATAACCGGGATAAGCGGGATAACCGGGATAACCGGGATAACCGGGAGCACCGGGATAACCGGGATAACCAGGAGAACAACCGGGATAACCGGGAGCACCGGGATAACCACCGGGATAACCGGGATAACCGGGATAACAACCGGGATAACCGGGATAACCGAGTCCGCCCTGCGCGCCCGCTGCGCCCGCCTGGAGGAGCTGCTGCGGAACGAGGCGGGGTCAGAGCTGGGGGGACAGCGGGACACGGGGACACGGGGGGACACGGGGGGACACGGGGGGACACCGGGGACACGGGGGACACGGGGGGACACGGGGACACGGGGGACACCGGGGACACGGGGGACACGGGGGGACACGGGGACACGGGGGACACGGGGGGACACGGAGGACACGGGGGACACGGGGGGACATGGGGGACACGGGGGACACGGGGACACGGGGGGACATGGGGGACACGGGGGACACGGGGGACACGGGGGGACACGGGGGGACATGGGGGACACGGGGACATGGGGGACACGGGGACACGGGGACATGGGGGACACGGGGGACACGGGGGGACATGGGGGACACGGGGGACAGTGGGACACGGGGGACACGGGGGGACACGGGGGACACGGGGGGACACGGGGGAAAAGGGGGACAGGGGGGGACACGGGGGACACGGGTGACTCTGTGGGTGACACAGGTGACACAGGTGACACACAGGTGACTCTGTGGGTGCCCCAGGTGCCCCAGGGTGACCCGGGTGACTCTATGGGTGACACAGGTGACCCAGGTGACTCTGTGGGTGACACAAGGTGACCCAGGTGACACAGGGTGCCCCAGGTGACTCTGCGGTGCCCCAGGTGACCCACAGGTGACTCTGTGGTGACACAGGGGGACACACAGGTGACTCTGTGGTGCCCCAGGTGACACAGGGTGACACAGGTGACTCTGTGGGTGACACAGCGTGACCCAGGTGACTCTGTGGTACCCCAGGGTGACACAGGGTGACACAGGTGACTCTGTGGGTGCCCCAGGGTGACACAGGTGACTCTGTGGGTTACACAGGTGACCCACAGGTGACCCACAGGTGACTCTGTGGGTGCCCCAGGTGACACAGGTGACACACAGGTGACTCTGTGGGTGACACAAGGTGACACACAGGTGACCCACAGGTGACTCTGTGTTGCCCCAGGGTGACCCACAGGTGACTCTGTGGGTGACACAAGGTGACCCAGGTGACTCTGTGGGTGACCCAGGTGACCCACAGGTGACTCTGTGGGTGACACAGGTGACACACAGGTGACTCTGTGGGTGACACAGGGTGCCCCAGGTGACCCACAGGTGACTCTGTGGGTGCCCCAGGTGACACACAGGTGCCCCAGGTGACACTGCGGTGACACAGGTGACACAGGTGACTCTGTGGGTGACCCAGGTGACACCCAGGTGACTCTGCGGTGCCCCAGGTGACCCACAGGTGACTCTGTGGGTGACACAGGTGACACACAGGTGACTCTGTGGGTGACACAAGGTGACACAGGTGACACACAGGTGACTCTGTGGGTGTCCCGGGTGCCCCAGGTGACCCACAGGTGATTCTGCGGTGCCCCAGGTGACCCAGGTGACTCTGTGGGTGACACAGGTGACTCTGTGGGTGACACAGGTGACACACAGGTGACACAGGGTGACACAGGTGACCCGCGCGTGTCCCCGCAGGGCGCGGCTGGCGCTGGCCCGTGCCGCGCGTGTCACCGGGCGCCGCGTGCGGCTCCTGATGGCCGAGGCCGAGGAGGAGCGGCTGAGAGGGGAACGGTACCGGCAGCAGGTGGGACCCGTGTCACCTGTCACCTGTGTCACCTCTGTGTCACCTGTGTGTCACCTGTCACCTGTGTGTGTCACCTGTGTCACCTGTGTGTCACCTCTGTGTCACCTGTGTGTCACCTGTCACCTGTGTGTCACCTGTGTCACCTGTGTGTCACCTGTGTGTCACCTGTGTCACCGTCTGTCACCCATTGTCACCTATTGTCACTTACTGTCACCGTCTGTCACCTCCTGTCATCCGCTGTCACCTGCTGTCCCCCAGAGCCGCTGTGTCCCCACACGTCCTCCCTGTGCCCCAATGTCCCCGATGTCCCCGATGTCCCCAACGTCCCCAATCCCCAATGTCCCCAGTGTCCCCAATGTCCTTCATGTCCCCAGTGTCCCCAATCCACTCACTGTCCCCAACGTCCCCAATGTCCCCAACATCTGCAATCCTCCCAATGTCCCCAATCCCCCGAATCTCCCCAATGTCCCCAGTGTGCCCCCCATGTCCCCAACGTCCCCAATCCTCTCACTGTCCCCGATGTCCCCAATGTCCCCGATGTCCTTCATGTCCCCAATGTCCCCAATCCCCTCACTGTCCCCTCACTGTCCCCGATGTCCCCAACGTCCTTCATGTCCCCAATGTACCCAATCCACTCAATGTCCCCAATGTCCCCAGTCCCCTCACTGTGCCTGATGTCCCCGATGTCCCCTCGCTGTCCCGATGTCCCCAATGTCCTTCATGTCCGCAATGTCCCCAATCCCCTCACTGTCCCCTCACTGTCCCCGATGTCCCCGATGTCCCAATGTCCCCAATCCCCTCACTGTCCCCGATGTCCCCGATGTCCCAATGTCCCCAATCCCCTCGCTGTCCCCTTGCTATACCGATGTCCCCGATGTCCCCGATGTCTCCGATGTCCCCAATCCCCTCACTGTCCTGATGTCCCCGATGTCCCCAATGTCCTTCATGTCCGCAATGTCCCCAATCCCCTCACTGTCTCCGATGTCCCTAATGTCCCCCTGATGTCCCCAACGTCCTTCATGTCCCCAATGTCCCCAATCCACTCAATGTCCCCAATGTCCCCAATCCCCCCCCTGTCCCCAGGCCCGTGCTAGCGAGGCGCAGTGCCGGCGGGTGGCGGCGCGGGCGCTGCGGCTCCGTGCGGGCGCGGCCGAGGCGCGGGCCCGGGGCCGCCGCCTGTGCCGGGACCTGGAGCGGCTCGGGGACGGAGCGGCGGAGCGGCAGCGGGAGGCGGCGGCGCTGCGGGCGCGGCTCAGGTGCGGCCGGGACACGGACACGCGGGACACATGGGACACGGGACACGGGACACGGGACACGGGACACGGACCCACGGGCCCCATAGAACCCAGAGAACCCACAGGCCCCATAGAATCCATGGACCCACAGAACCCACGGGACACGCCGGGCACACGGGACACGCGGGACACACAGGACACGCGGGGCACACGGGACCCATAGAACCCACCGCCCACGGCCCACGGAACCCACGGGACACGCGGGACACATGGGGCACGCGGGACACACGGAACCCATAGAACCCATAGACCCCATGGACCCCATAGAACCTATGGGCCCCATAGAGCCCACAGAACCCATAGAACCCACGGAACCCGCATGACCCACGGGCCCCATAGAACCCACGGGTCCCATAGAACCCATAGACCCCACGGGCCCCATAGAACCCATAGACCCCATAGACCCCCATAGACCCCATAGACCCCATGGGCCCCACAGAAACCATGGACCCCATAGAACCCCATGGACCCCATGAACCCCATAGACCCCACAGAAACCCACAGACCCCACAGAACCTACAGACCCCATAGAGCCCACAGAACCCCATGGATCCCATAGATCCCACAGGCCCCACAGGCCCCACAGAACCCATAGAACACACAGAAACCCACGGGCCCCACAGAACCCCATGGACCCCATAGACCCCATGGACCCCATAGACCCCATAGAACCCACAGCCCACGGGCCCCATAGAACCCACGGGCCCCATAGAACCCACGGGCCCCATAGAACCTATGGACCCATAGAACCCATAGACCCCATGGACCCCACGGAACCCACAGACCCATAGAACCCACGGCCCCATGGATCCCACGGGCTCATGGAACCCACGGGCCCCACAGAACCTATGGGCCCCACACACCCCACAGGCCCCACAGACCCCACACACCCCTATGGGAGGGGGACTCTGTAGGGGTTCTGTGGGGTCCCTATGGGATATTGGGGTCCCCATGGGACACGGGGGTGTCTGTGGGGTCTCTGTGGGACACTGGGGTGTCTGTGGGACATTGGGGTCTCTGTGGGATATTGGGGTGTCTGTGGGATCCCTATGGGACACTGGGGTGTCTGTGGGATATTGGGGTGTCTGTAGGGTCTGTATGGGATATTGGGGTGTCTGTGGGACTTTGGGGTGTCTGTGGGGTGTCTGTGGGGTCTCACCCCCGCCGCCCCCCAGGTGTGACCCCATGAACCTGACCCGCATTGTCCGGCGGATGCTGCGGGACGGGGACAGCGACTCCGGGGACAGCAGCGGGGACAGCGCCCCCTGACCCCCCAAACCCCAAAACCCCAAAACCCCAAAACCCCAAAACCCCAAAACCCGCCCGGGACCCCCCCCAGCCCCCGGTGCGCTTTTGGGGCGGGGGTCCCCAAAACCATTAGAGGGGATCCCACTGGCCCCGGGGGACGTTTTGGGGTCCCCAAAGCCGCGCTGGGGCCGCGCCCCAAAAAGGGGATTTGGGGTCGGGGGGGGGTTGGGACCCTCCCCAATCCCCTTTTGGGGGGTCCCGTGCGGGATTTTGGGGGGCTTGAAAATATTCGGAAGTCTGGAAAGGCTCAAATCCCCCAAAAGGCGTCGGGAGGGGCGCCAAAACCAACTCTGCACCAACCGGGGGGTGGTGGGACCCTAAAACCCCCCCCGAGACACTCCAAAACTCCCCGAGACACCCCAAAACCCCCCGAGACACCCCAAAACCCCCCAAAATCCGCTGGGACACCCCAAAACTGTATTTACCCTGATTGGGGGGGCTGAAACTCCCCAATAAAAGCCCCGAATTTCTCTAAATCCTCCACAGTCTGCTCGGGGTGGGGGTGGGGAACCCTTTGTACCCAAATTGGGGGGTGAAATCCCCCAAAACCCCCCAAAATCCGCTGGGACACCCCAAAATCCTCCAAAACCTCATTGGCGGGGTTAACCCCCCCAAAAACCCCCCAAGATCTCTCCAAATCCCGCACAGTTTGCTCGGGTAGATGGATAAGACACTTTTTGTTACAATTCTGGGGGTTTCACCCCCCAAAAACCCCCAAAACCCCCCAAAACCCCCCAAAATCCGCTGGGATCCCCCAAACCCGTCTAAAACCTCATTGGCGGGGCTGAAACGCCCCAATAAACCCGCGCGATGTCTCCAATCTGCTCAGGGGGATGGGAAAGACTCTTTTTATTACAATTCTGGGGGTGAAACACCCTAAAACCCCCAAAACGCCCCAAAATTCCACCAAAATCCCCAAAATTCCCCCAAAACCCGCCGGGAGGGGTCGCGGGGAGAGGGGCGTGGCCTGCATAGCTAATGAGAAGGGGCGCGGCTCTTCTGACCAATCAGAGCGCGGCATGCAAATGAGGCGCGGCGGCGGGGGCGGTGCCGTTCTCGCGCGCTCCGCGAGTTCTCGCGAGAGTTGCGGCGGCGGCGGGATGGGAGCGCCGAGGTGCGGCCGGGCCCGGGGGGGGGGCGGCAGAAAATGGGGAAAAAATGGGCAAAATCGGGAAAAAAGCGGCAAAATCCGGCTAAAAGCAACGGCCCGGCACGCCGGGCAACACGGGGAGGCGGCTGCTGGCGTTGTGGGGGGTGTCAGGCCGCGCGGTGGGGCAGAGCCTGCGTGGGGGGGGGGGGTGGGGGAGGTTTTGGGGTGAATCCGCGGGGGTTTGGGGGTGTCCCGGGGGTTTGGGGCTCTCCGTGACATGGCCGCACCCGCAGATGCCCCGGCACTGCTCCGCCGCCGGCTGCTGCACCCGCGACACCCGCGACACGCGAGACAGAGGGATCTCCTTCCACCGGTGAGGGACCCCCGGGCGGGGCAGGGACCCCCGAATCCCCCCGAGGCAGCCCCGACCCCCCCCGGCACCGCTGTCACCCCCCCTGAGCAATGGTCTGTCCCGTGTCCCCCCCCTCACAGCAATGGTCTGTCCCAGGTGTGTCTGTCCCCCCCCCCACAGCAATGGTCTGTCCCAGGTGTGTCCCCCCCCTCACAGCAATGGTCTGTCCCAGGTGTGTGTCCCCCCCCCTCACAGCAATGGTCTGTCCCAGGTGTGTCTGTCCCCCCCCACAGCAATGGTCTGTCCCAGCTGTGTGTCCCCCCCTCACAGCAATGGTCTGTCCCAGGTGTGTCCCCCCCCCTCACAGCAATGGTCTGTCCCAGCTGTGTCCCCCCCCCCCACAGCAATGGTCTGTCCCAGGTGTGTGTCCCCCCCTGAGCAATGGTCTGTCCCAGGTGTGTGTCCCCCCCTCCTCACAGCAATGGTCTGTCCCAGGTGTGTCCCCCCCCTCACAGCAATGGTCTGTCCCAGGTGTGTGTCCCCCCCCCCTCACAGCAATGGTCTGTCCCAGGTGTGTCTGTCCCCCCCCCACAGCAATGGTCTGTCCCAGCTGTGTGTCCCCCCCTCACAGCAATGGTCTGTCCCAGGTGTGTCCCCCCTCACAGCAATGGTCTGTCCCAGGTGTGTGTCCCCCCCCCCACAGCAATGGTCTGTCCCAGGTGTGTGTCCCCCCCTCACAGCAATGGTCTGTCCCGTGTGTCCCCCCCCTCACAGCAATGGTCTGTCCCAGGTGTGTCTGTCCCCCCCTCACAGCAATGGTCTGTCCCAGGTGTGTCCCCCCCTCACAGCAATGGTCTGTCCCAGGTGTGTGTCCCCCCCTGAGCAATGGTCTGTCCCAGGTGTGTGTCCCCCCCCTCACAGCAATGGTCTGTCCCAGCTGTGTCCCCCCCCCCCACAGCAATGGTCTGTCCCAGCTGTGTCCCCCCCCTCACAGCAATGGTCTGTCCCGTGTCCCCCCCCCCCCTCACAGCAATGGTCTGTCCCAGGTGTGTGTCCCCCCTCACAGCAATGGTCTGTCCCAGCTGTCCCCCCCCCCCACAGCAATGGTCTGTCCCGTGTCCCCCCCCCCCTCACAGCAATGGTCTGTCCCAGGTGTGTCCCCCCCCTCACAGCAATGGTCTGTCCCAGCTGTGTGTCCCCCCCCTCACAGCAATGGTCTGTCCCAGCTGTGTCCCCCCCCCCTCACAGCAATGGTCTGTCCCAGGTGTGTGTCCCCCCCCTCACAGCAATGGTCTGTCCCAGGTGTGTGTCCCCCCCTCACAGCAATGGTCTGTCCCAGCTGTGTCCCCCCCTCACAGCAATGGTCTGTCCCAGGTGTGTCTGTCCCCTCTCACAGCAATGGTCTGTCCCAGCTGTGTGTCCCCCCCCTCACAGCAATGGTCTGTCCCAGCTGTGTGTCCCCCCCCTCACAGCAATGGTCTGTCCCAGCTGTGTGTCCCCCCCTCACAGCAATGGTCTGTCCCAGGTGTGTGTCCCCCCTCACAGCAATGGTCTGTCCCAGGTGTCCCCTCTGTCCCCATGTCCCCCCCATGTCCCCGCTGTGTTGCTGCCCTCGGGTGTCCCCTCACGCCGTGTGTGGCCCTGTCCCTGTGTCCCCATGTCCCTGACCCTGTCCTCAGTGTCCCCTCCGTCTCCCAAATGTCCCCTCAGTGTCCCCAGTGTCGTCCATGTCCCCAATGTCCCAAATGTCCCAATGTCCCCTCGGTGTCTCCAGTATCCTCTCAGTGTCTGCAATGTCCTCAGTGTCCCCTCCGTGTCCCCAATGTCCTCTCAGTGTCCCAAATGTCCCAGTGTCCCCTTGGTGTCCCCAATGTCCCCAGTGTCCCCAATGTCCCCTCAGTGTCCTGAGTGTCCCCAGTGCCCCCAATGCCCCAATGCCCCAATGTCCCCTGGGTGTCCCCAATGTTCCAGTGCCCCAAAGCCCCAATGTCCCCTCGGTGTCCTCAATGTCCTCAGTGTCCCCTCAGTGTTCCCCAATGCTTCAGTGTCCCAATGTCTCCAGTGTCTCCAGTGTCCCCAATGTCCCAGTGTCCCCTTGGTGTCACCAATGTCCCCAGTGCCCCAATGTCCCCTCAATGTCCCCAATGCACCAAAGCCCCAATGTCCCCTCGGTGTCCCAAATGTCCCTTTGGTGTCCCCACTGTCCCTGCTGTCCCCAATGTCCCCTTGGTGTCCCTGCTGTCCCCAATGTCCCCTTGGTGTCCCTGGTGTCCCCAATGTCCCCTGTGTCCCCAGGCTGCTGTGGTGGGAGGACCCTCACTGGGCACAATCTCTGATGTCCCCAAATGTCCCCAATGTCCCCTGGGTGTCCCCAGTGTCCCCAGTGCCCCAAAGCCCCAATGTCCCCTCGGTGTCCCCAATGTCCCCACTGTCCCTTTGGTGTCCCCAATGTCCCCAATGTCCCCGTTGTCCCCAGGCTGCCGCGGCGGGAGGACCCTCAGTGTCCCCAATGTCCCCAATGTCCCCTCGGTGTCCCCTCAATGTCCCCAATGTCCCTTTGGTGTCCCCAATGTCCCCTCGCTGTCCCCAGGCTGCCGGGGCGGGAGGACCCTCAGTGTCCCTTTGGTGTCCCCAATGTCCCCTCAGTGTCCCCAATGTCCCCTGTGTGTCCCCAGGCTGCCGGGGCGGGAGGACCCTCAGTGTCCCCAATGTCCCCTCAGTGTCCCCAATGTCCCCTCAATGTCCCCAATGTCCCCTGTGTGTCCCCAGGCTGCCGGGGCGGGAGGACCCCCGCCGGGCGCAGTGGTTGGAGAACAGCCGCCGGCGGGACCCGGCGGGGGGGGGGCGCTGGGACCCCTCCTCCAAATACATTTACTTCTGCTCCCAGCACTTCGAGGGCTCCTGCTTCGAGCTGCTGGGCTGCAGGTGGGGACACGTGTGGTACACGTGTGTTACACGTGTGTTACATGTGTGTGCGGGTGTGTTACAGGTGTGTTACAGGTGTTACAGGTGTGTTACAGGTGTGTTACAGGTGTGTTACAGGTGTGTGCAGGTGTGTTACAGGTGTGTTACAGGTGTGTTACAGGTGTGTGCAGGTGTGTTACAGGTGTGTTACAGGTGTGTTACAGGTGTGTTACAGGTGTGTTACAGGTGTGTTACAGGTGTGTGCAGGTGTGTTACAGGTGTGTTACAGGTGTGTGCAGGTGTGTTACAGGTGTGTTACAGGTGTGTTACAGGTGTGTTACAGGTGTGTTACAGGTGTGTGCAGGTGTGTTACAGGTGTGTTACAGGTGTGTTACAGGTGTGTTACAGGTGTGTTACAGGTGTGTGCAGGTGTGTTACAGGTGTGTTACAGGTGTGTTACATGTGTCACAGGTGTGTTACAGGTGTGTGTGTTACAGGTGTGTGCAGGTGTGTTACATGTGTTACACGTGTGTGCAGGTGTGTTACAGGTGTGTCACAGGTGTGTTACAGGTGTGTTACAGGTGTGTTACAGGTGTGTGCAGGTGTGTTACAGGTGTGTGCAGGTGTGTGCAGGTGTGTTACAGGTGTGTGCAGGTGTGTTACAGGTGTGTTACAGGTGTGTTACAGGTGTGTGCAGGTGTGTTACAGGTGTGTTACAGGTGTGTGCAGGTGTGTTACAGGTGTGTTACAGGTGTGTTACAGGTGTGTCACAGGTGTGTTACAGGTGTGTTACAGGTGTGTTACAGGTGTGTTACAGGTGTGTGCAGGTGTGTTACAGGTGTGTTACAGGTGTGTGCAGGTGTGTTACAGGTGTGTGCAGGTGTGTGCAGGTGTGTTACAGGTGTCACAGGTGTGTTACAGGTGTCACAGGTATGTGCAGGTTTGTGACAGGTGAATTTGGGGTGCTCAGGTGAGTTTGGGGGGCTGCAGGGGAGGGACCCCTCAGGTATTCCAGGTGCTCCCCAGGCTTTGGCTCCCACCTGGTTTTGGGGTCCCCCCCCCGCCCTGTTTGGGGTCCCCCTCGGTTTTGGAGTCCCCCCTGACTCGGGCTCCCCCCCGTTTTGGGGTCCTCCCCCACCCTGTTTTGGTTCCCCCCCGATTTTGGGGCTCCCCCCCCCCCCCCCCGGTTTGTTCCCCCCCTGATTCGGGGTCCCCCCGGTTTTGGGGTCCCCCCTGGTTTTGGGGTTCCCTCAAGTGTTGGGGTCCCCCCGCTTTTGGGGTCCCCTCCCCGCCTTGTTTTGGGGTCCCCCCCGCCCTGTTTTGGTTCCCCCCGGTTTTGGGGTCTCCCCCTATTGGTTTGGGTTCCCCCCCGATTCGGGGTCCCCCCCCGGTTTTGGGGTCCCCTCAAGTGTTGGGGTCTCCCCCACTTGGTTTGTTCCCCCCTGACTCGGGCTCCCCCCGGTTTTGGGGTCCCCCTGGTTTTGAGTCCCCCCCGGTTTTGGGGTCCCCTCAAGTGTTGGGGTCTCCCCCAATTGGTTTGGGTCCCCGCCTATTTGGGCTCTCCCCTTTTTTGGGGTCCCCCCCGCCCTGTTTTGGGGCTCCCCCCGGTTTTGGGGTCCCCCCCCGTTTTGGGGTCCCCCTCCCCCCGCCCTGTTTTGCGTCCCCCCCGGTTTTGGGGTCCCCTCAAGTGTTGGGGTCCCCCCCTATTTGGGCTCCCCCCTTTTTTGGGGTCCCCCCCCGCCCTGTTTTGGGGTCCCCCCCCGCCCTGTTTTGGGTCCCCCCCGGTTTTGGGGTCTCCCCCCGGTTTTGGTGTCTCCCCTGACTCGGGGTCCCCCCCGGTTTTGGGTCCTCCCCTGTTTTGGGGTCCCCCCCTCCCTGTTTTGGGTCCCCCCCGGTTTTGGGGTCCCCCTGGTTTTGAGTCCTCCCCGGTTTTGGGGTCCCCTCAAGTGTTGGGGTCTCCCCCTATTGGTTTGGGTCCCCCCACCTGATTTGGGGTCCCCCCTGACTCGGGGTCCCCCCGGTTTTGGGGTCTCCCCCTATTTGTTTGGGTTCCCCCCCTGATTCGGGGTCCCCCCAGTTTTGGGGCTCCCCCCAGTTTTGGGGTCCTCCCCGGTTTTGGGGTCCCGCCCTGTTTTGGGGTCCCCCCTGTTTTGGGGTCCCCCCCTCCCTGTTTTGGGCTCCCCCCCGGTTTTGGGTCTCCCCCCCGGTTTGTTCCCCCCCCATTCTGTTTGGGCTCCCCCCCGTTTTGGGGTTCCCCCCCCATCCTGCTTTGGCTCCCCCCTGGTTTTGGGGTCCCCTCCCCGCCCGGTTTTGGGTCCCCCCGGTTTGGGGTCCCCTCAAGTGTTGAGGTCTCCCCCACTTGGTTTGGGTCCCCCCCTATTTGGGCTCCCCCCCATTTTGGGGTCCCCCCCGCCCTGTTTTGGGGCTCCCCCCCGGTTTGTTCCCCCCCTGATTTGGGGTCCCCCCGGTTTTGGGGTCTCCCCCTATTGGTTTGGGTCCTCCCCTGTTTTGGGCCCCCCCCCGGTTTTGGGGTCCCCCCCCCACCTGGTTTTGGGGTCTCCTCCAGTTTTGGGGTCCTGTCAAGTGTTGGGGTCTCCCCCTATTGGTTTGGGTCCCCCCCTGATTTGGGGTCCCCCCGGTTTCGGGGTTCCCCCCGCCCGTTTTTGGGGTCCCCCCTGACTCGTCTCCCCGGTTTCGGGGTCCCCAGTGGGTACCACCGGCTGAAGGAGGGCGCTGTCCCCACCGTCTTCGCCCCCGACCCCCCCCGGACCCCCCGGCCCAGGAACCCCCCGGCCCGGGACCCCCCAAAAACACAGAGGGGCACCCGCAGGTGGAGGTGAGCCGGGATGGGGGGCCGGGGGGTTTGGGGGGTCCTGGGGGGGATTTGGGGGGTCCTGGGGGTGATTTGGAAGGGATTTAGGGGTGTCCCGGGGGGGATTTGGGGGGTCCTGGGGGGGATTTGGGGGAGTCCTGAGGGGGTTTGGGGGGTCCTGGGGGGGGTTGGGGGGTCCTGGGGGGGATTTGGGGGTCGTGGGGGGATTTGGGGGGTCCTGGGGGGGATTTGGGGGGTCCCGGGGGATTTGGGGGGTCCCAGGGGGATTTGGGGGTCCTGGGGGGATTTCGGGGGGTCCTGGGGGGATTTGGGGGGTCCTGGGGGGGATTTATGGGGGTCCCGGGGGAATTTCGGGGGTCCCGAGGGGATTTGGGGGGGCTTGGGGGGATTTGGGGGGGCTCAGGGGGGATTTGGGGGGTCCTGGGGGGGTTTGGGGGGGATTTGGGGGGATTTTGGGGGGTCCTGGGGGGGATTTGGGGGGGATTTGGGGGGTCCTGGGGGGATTTAGGGGAGCTTGGGGTGATTTGAGGGGGCTCGGGGGGAATCTGGGGGGGCTGGAGGGGATTTGGGGGGTCCAGGGGGGGTTTTGGGGGGTCTGGGGGGATTTTGGGGGTCTCTCTGGGGGTCTCACCAGGGCTGTTCTGGGGGTCTCACCGGGGGTGTTTTAGGGTCTCTCTCGGGGTCTCTCCGGGGGTGTTTTAGGGTCTCTCCGGGGGTCTCTCCAGGGCTGTTTGGGGGTCTCTCCGGGGGTGTTTCGGGGGTCTCACTGGGGTGTTTTGGGGGTCTCTCCAGGGCTGTTTTGGGGGTCTCTCTGGGTGTGTTTTAGGGGTCTCTCCTGGGCTGTTTTGGGGGTCTCACCGGGGGTGTTTCGGGGGTCTCTCAGGGGGTCTCTCTGGGGGTCTCTCCGGGGCTGTTTTGGGGGTCTCACCAGGGGTGTTTTGGGGGTCTCTGTGGGGGTGTTTTGGGGGTCTCACTGGGATATTTTGGGGGTCTCTCCGGGGCTGTTTTGGGGGTCTCTCCAGAGCTGTTTTGGGGTCTCTCCAGGACTGTTTTGGGGGTCTCTCCGGGGCTGTTTTGGGGGCCTCTCCAGGGCTGTTTTGGGGTCTCTCCGGGGCTGTTTTGGGGGTCTCTCCGGGGCTGTTTTGGGGGTCTCACCGGGGCTGTTTTAGGGTCTCTCTGGGGGTGTTTTGGGGGTCTCTCTGGGTGTGTTTTGGGGGTCTCTCCGGGGGTCTCTCTGGGGCTGTTTTGGGGGTCTCTCCGGAGGTGTTTTAGGGTCTCTCCGGGGGTCTCTCCAGGGCTGTTTTGGGGGGTCTCACTGGCGTGTTTTAGGGTCTCTCTGGGAGTCTCTCCGGGGCTGTTTTGGGGGTCTCTCAGGGCTGTTTTGGGGGTCTCTCCGGGGCTGTTTTGGGGGTCTCACCGGGGGTGTTTTGAGGGTCTCTCCGGGGGTCTCTCCGGGGCTGTTTTGGGGGTCTCTCCGGGGGTCTCTCAGGGCTGTTTTGGGGGTCTTACCGGGGGTGTTTTGGGGATCTCCCCGGGCTGTTTTAGGGTCTCTCTGGGGGTCTCTCCGGGGCTGTTTTGGGGTCTCTCCGGGGCTGTTTTGGGGGTCTCTCCAGGGTTGTTTTGGGGGTCTCTCCAGGGCTGTTTTGGGGTCTCTCTGGGGCTGTTTTGGGGATCTCTCCGGGGCTGTTTTGGGGGTCTCTCTGGGGGTGTTTTAGGGTCTCTCCGGGGGTCTCTCCAGGGCTGTTCTGGGGGTCTCTCCAGGGCTGTTTTGGGGGTCTCACCGGGGCTGTTTTGGGGGTCTCTCTGGGGGTCTCTCTGGGGGTCTCTCTGGGGCTGTTTTGGGGTCTCTCCGGGTGTGTTTTGGGGGTCTCTCCAGGGCTGTTTTGGGGGTCTCTCCAGGGCTGTTTCGGGGGTCTCACCGGGGGTGTTTTAGGGTCTCTCTGGGGGTCTCTCTGGGGGTCTCTCCGGGGCTGTTTTGGGGTCTCTCCAGGGCTGTTTTGGGGTCTCTCCGGGGCTGTTTTGGGGGTCTCTCCAGAGCTGTTTTGGGGGTCTCACTGGGGGTGTTTTAGGGTCTCTCTGGGGGTCTCTCCAGAGCTGTTTTGGGGTCTCTCCAGGGCTGTTTTGGGGTCTCACCGGGACTCTTTGGGGTCTCTCCGGGCTGACCCTCTCCCCCATCCCTCCCCCACAGACGGGACCCCCGCCCGCCCCCGCTGCCCTCGGACGTCTCGTGCTTCCCGCGGGACTCGCGGGACCCCGGCCCGCCCCCGGCCGGCGACCACGGCGGCGTCCCGGCCCTGCCCGGCCCCTCGGGCTCCATCCCCGAGCCCCTCCTGGTGGCCACGGGCGAGGAGGTGACCGCCGGCGCCCCGGCCCTGCCCGAGGGACCCCCGGGACCCCCGGGACCCCCGGGACCGCCGTCACCGTCGCTGTTCATGCTGCGGCTGCCGCCGCGGGCGGGCTCCTACATCCAGAGCGAGCACAGCTACCAGGTGGGCAGCGCGCTGCTCTGGAAGCGCCGCGCCGAGGCCGCGCTGGACGCGCTGGACAAGGCCCAGCGGCAGCTCCAGGCCGTCAAACGCCGCGAGCAGCGCCTGCGGCTGCGCCTGGCCGAGCTGCAGAGGGAGCGCAGAGCCGCCCTGGAGCCGCGGAGGAGCTCCAAGGAGCGCCCGGCGGAGCTCCACAAGGAGAGGAGAGCGGGCGTCGAACAGCGGAGGAGCTCCAAGGAGCGCCCGCAGCCGTGCGCGGAGGCTGGAGGGCAGTGAGGAGCTGGAGGAGCTCCCAGGCGGCGCGGAGGTTTGTAAATAAAGGAGTTCGCCCTGTGGCTGCGGCTGGTGGAGCTCCAGAGGGAGAGGAGAGGGGACTCTGAGCTGCGGAGGAGCTCCAAGGAGGCAGCGGAGCTGTGCCTGGTGGAGCTCCGGAGGGAGAGGAGAGCAGGCTCCGAGATGCGGAGGAGCTCCAAGAAGAGCCCAGCAGAGCTCCAGAGGGAGAGGAGGGGGGACTCTGAGATACGGAGGAGCTCCAAGGAGTGCTTGGTGGAGTTCCAGAGGAAGAGGAGAGCGGGCTCCGAGATGCAGAGGAGCTCCAAGAAAAGCCCAGCGGAGCTCCAGAGGGAGAGGAGAGTGGGTTTGGAGCTGTGGAGGAGCTCCAAGGAGCTAGCAGAGGTGTGGCTGGTGGAGCTCCATAGGGAGAGGAGACTTGGAGTCGCGGAGGAGCTCCACGGAGCACCCGGTGGAGCTCCAGAGAGGAGAGCAGGCTCTGAGCCGCGGAGGAGCTCCAAGGGGCCAGCGGAGCTGCAGCTGGTGGAGCTCCAGACGGGAAATTTGTGGGAGTTTCCAAGGGAAATTTGTGTGGGTTTACAGGGGAAATTTTTGGGGATTTGGTGGGTTTCTAGGGGGAATTTGTGGGGTTTCTAGGGGAAATTTGTGATTTGTGGGAGTTTCTGGCGGAAATTTGAGGGGATTTTATGGGGGTTTCTAGGGGAAATTTGCGGGGGATTCTCAGGGAAATTTGTGGGGTTTCTGGGGGAAATTAGTGGGGGAAATTAGTGGGGGTTTAATGGGGGCTTCTAAGGGAAATTTGTGGGGATTTTATGGGGTTTCTAGGGGAAATTTGTGGGGATTTTATGGGGGTTTCTAGGGGAAATTTGTGGGGGTTTAATGGGGGCTTCTAAGGGAAATTTATGGGGATTTTATGGGGGTTTCTAGGGGGAATTCTCAGGGTAATTTGTGGGGGTTTGTAGGGGAATTCTGTGGGATTTGTGGGGGTTTGTGGGGTCTTTGGAGGGGATTTGTGGGGATTTTGTGGGGGTTTCTAGGGGGAACTTGTGGGGGAAATTTGGGGTTTTTAGGGGAAATTTGTGGGGGTTTGTGGGGGAATTTGTGGGGTTTTTTAGGGGAAGGTTTAGGGAAAAATGGTTCGGGGAGGGGCTGGAATGGAATTGGGATTTCAGAGGAAGGAATCGTCACTCCTGGAATGGGGAAAGTCAGTGGGAAACTGGGGGGGAAAAAATTCCCAAATATTTAGGGAATGAGGTGGGAAATTGGGGGGGAAAAAATTCCCAAATATTTAGGGAATGAGGTGGGAAATTGGGGGGGAAAAAATTCCCAGTTTGGGGAATGAGGTGGGAAATTGGAGAGATTTCAGTGGGAAATTGGGAAGAAATTCCCATTTTGGGAAACGAGGTGGGAAATCGGGGAGAAATTCCCAATTTGGGGAATTCTTTGGGAAATGGGGATGGAATTCTTCCCTGTGGGGCTGGGATGGAATTCCCGGGGATTTGTTCCCGATCGGAGCCCGGGGTGGGAACGGGACGAGGATTTGGGGGCTCCAAAATCGAGTGAGGACAAAAAAACCTTCGTCCCCCAGAAGGGAAAATGGGGGAGCCAACCCCAAAAACCCTCAAATCCCCCAAATCCTTGGGCAGCCAAAAAATGGGAATTAAAGGTTTAATTTCAGGTTAATGACATCAAACCTCCCCAAAATGCCTGATTAGCCCCTAATTACCTTTCATTAATTACCCTGAGGCCACCCCGGAGCCGCTACAATCCCAAAAAATCCTCAAATCCCCCAAATCCTCGGGCAGCCAAAAAATGGGAATTAAAGGTTTAATTTCCAGCACCAAACCTCCCCAAAGTGCCTGATTAGCCCCTAATTAGTTTTAATTAATTACCCCGGGGCCGTCTGCTCGCTGGGGCTACCACGGAGTCACTACAATCCCAAAAAATCCTCAAATCCCCCAAATCAGCCTAAAAATTGGAATTAAAGGGTTAATTTCCAGCTGACACCAACACCAAACCTCCCTGAAGTGCCTGATTAGCCCGTAATTAGTTTTAATTAATTACCCCGAGGCTGTCTGCTCGCTGGGGCTACCACGGAGCCGCTACAATCCCAAAAAATCCTCAAATCCCCCAAATCCTTGGGCAGCCAAAAAATGGGAATTAAAGGTTTAATTTCCAGCACCAAACCTCCCCGAAGTGCCTGATTAGCCCCTAATTACCTTTCATTAATTACCCTGAGGCCGTCAGTGCCCTGAGGCCACCCCGGAGCCGCTACAATCCCAAAAAATCCTCAAATCCCCCAAATCCTTGGGCAGCCAAAAAATGGGAATTAAAGGTTTAATTTCAGGTTAATGACACCAAACCTCCCCGAAGTGCCTGATTAGCCCCTAATTAGTTTTAATTAATTACCCCGGGGCTGTCAGTGCCCTGGGGCCACCCCGGAGCCGCTACAATCCCAAAAAATCCTCAAATCCCCCAAATCCTTGGGCAGCCAAAAAATGGGAATTAAAGGTTTAATTTCCAGCACCAAACCTCCCCGAAGTGCCTGATTAGCCCCTAATTAGTTTTAATTAATTACTCCGGGGCCGTCAGTGCCCTGGGGCCACCCCGGAGCTGCTACAATCCCAAAAAATCCTCAAATCCCCCAAATCCTTGGGCAGCCAAAAAATGGGAATTAAAGGTTTAATTTCAGGTTAATGACACCAAAATGCCTGATTAGCCCCTAATTACCTTTCATTAATTACCCTGAGGTCGTCAGTGCCCTGGGGCCACCCCAGAACTGCTACAATCCCAAAAAATCCTCAAATCCCCCAAATCAGCCAAAAAATGGGAATTAAAGGTTTAATTTCCAGCACCAAACCTCCCCGAAGTGCCTGATTAGCCCCTAATTAATTATAATTAATTACCCCGGGGCCGTCTGCTCACTGGGGCTACCACGGAGCCGCTACAATCCCAAAAAATCCTCAAATCCCCCAAATCCTTGGGCAGCCAAAAAATGGGAATTAAAGGTGTAATTTCAGGTTAATGACACCAAAATGCCTGATTAGCCCCTAATTACCTTTCATTAATTACCCTGAGGCCGTCAGTGCCGTGAGGCCACCCCGGAGGTGCTACAATCCCAAAAAATCCCCCAAATCCTCCAAATCAGCCAAAAAATGGGAATTAAAGGTGTAATTTCAGATTAATGACACCAAACCTCCCCAAAATGCCTGATTAGCCCCTAATTAGTTTTAATTAATTACCCCGGGGTCGTGTGCTCGCTGGGGCTACCACGGAGCCGCTACAATCCCAAAAAATCCCCCAAATCCTCGGGCAGCCAAAAAATGGGAATTAAAGGAATTTAATTTCCATCTGACACCAACACCAACCAAGCGGCTGATTAGCCCTAATTAGGCTCTGCTAATTAGAGCGCGAGGCGCATGTCGCGGATGGCGGCGAAGGTGGCGGCGCTCAGCGGCACGTAGGAGCGGCGCGCGGCGTCGCGGAAGAAGAGCCGGTCCCTGACCAGGCCGGGGTCGAAGCCCTCCTTGACCAGGTTGGTCTTGCACTGCTTGAAGGTGCCCGTGGTCTCCAGAGCGGCCTGGGGAATGGGGACACGGTGTTGGGAAACTGACGGGAAACCAACGGGAAACCACCGGGAAACCACCGGGAAACCACCGGGAAACCAACGGGAAACCACCGGGAAACCGCCGGGAAACCAACGGGAAACCACCGGGAAACCAACGGGAAACCAACGGGAAACCAACGGGAAATCACCGGGAAACCGCCGGGAAACCGCCGGGAAACCATCAGGATGGCATTGGGAAACCGCCAGGACGGCGTCAGGAAACCGCCGGGAAACCACCGAGATGGTGTCAGGAAACCGCCCGGACGGTGTTGGGAAACCACCGGGAAACCACCGAGACGGTGTTGGGAAACCACCGGAAAACCACCGGGAAACCACCGGGAAACCGCCGAGATGGTGTTGAGAAACCACTGGAAAACCACCGGGAAACCACCGGGAAACCACTGGGAAACCGCCGAGATGGTGTTGGGAAACCACCGGGAAACCACCGGGAAACCACCGGGAAACCACTGGGAAACCGCCGAGATGGTGTCAGGAAACCGCCCAGACGGTGTTGGGAAACCACCGGGAAACCACCGGGAAACCACCGGGAAACCGCCGAGACGGTGTCAGGAAACCACCAGGATGGTGTCGGGAAACCACTGGGAAACCACCGGGAAACCGCCGGGACGGTGTTGGGAAACCACCGGGAAACCACCAGGAAACCGCCGAGATGGTGTCAGGAAACCACCAGGATGGTGTTGGGAAACCGCCGGGAAACCACCGGGAAACCGCCGGGAAACGGTGTTGGGAAACCACCGGGAAACCGCCGGGATGGTGTCGGGAAACCGCCGGGAAACCACAGGGAAAACACCGGGAAACCACCGGGAAACCACCGGGAAACCACCAGGACAGCGTCGGGAAACCACCAGGAAACGGTGTTGGGAAACCACCGGGAAACCACCGGGAAACCGCCGAGATGGTGTCAGGAAACCACCAGGATGGTGTTGGGAAACCACCAGGAAACCACCGGGAAACCGCCGAGATGGTGTTGGGAAACCACCGGAAAACCACCGGGAAACCACCGGGAAACTGCCGAGATGGTGTCAGGAAACCGCCCAGATGGTGTTGGGAATTCGCCGGGAAATTGCCGGGATGGCGGTGACACCATCGGAATCACGAGATGTGGGGGTGACTTTGGCATGGAGTGATGCCCGTTGGTGCCTGGTGACCCCCATTGGCCCAAAGTGACCACCACTGGCACCGGGTGACCTCCACTGGCCCAAAGTGACCACCACTGGCCCAAAATGACCACCACTGGGACGAGGTGACCTCCACTGACCCCAAGTGACCTCCATTGGCCCAAAGTGACCATCACTGGCACCAGGTGACCCCCATTGGCCCAAAGTGACCACCACTGGCACGAGGTGACCTCCACTGGCCCCAAGTGACCCCCGTTGGCACAGGGTGACCCCCATTGGCACAGGGTGACCCCCGTTGGCACAGGGTGACCCCCGTTGGCACAGGATGACCCCCATTGGCACAGGGTGACCCCCATGGGCACAGGGTGACCCCCATGGGCACAGGGTGACCCCCATTGGCACAGGATGACCCCCATTGGCACAGGGTGACCCCCATTGGCACAGGGTGACCCTCATTGGCACAGGGTGACCCCCATTGGCACAGGGTGACCCTCATTGGCACGGGATGACCCCCATTGGCACAGGGTGACCCCCATTGGCACCAGATGACCCCCATTGGCACCAGATGACCCCCATTGGCACAGGGTGACCCTCATTGGCACAGGGTGACCCCCATTGGCACAGGGTGACCCCCGTTGGCACAGGGTGACCCCCATTGGCACAGGGTGACCCCCGTTGGCACAGGGTGACCCTCATTGGCACAGGGTGACCCCCATTGGCACAGGGTGACCCCCATTGGCACAGGGTGACCCCCATTGGCACAGGATGACCCCCGTGGGCACAGGGTGACCCCCATTGGCACAGGGTGACCCCGGTGTTGGCACCGAGTGACCGTCACCAGGAACAGGCAGACGGTGCCACCGACAGCGGGGTGACCCCCATGCTGTCACCAGGGGACCCCGGCACCGTTCCTGGCACGGGGTGAGCGATGCCACCATGGGGACACCAACGGTGGGATTGGCACTGGAGGAGCTCTGAAGTCTTCTCCAGCCCAAACCATTCCATGGTTCCATCCTGCCATGACCAAACTGGATGACCCTTAAAGTCTTCTGCAACCCAAACTGTTCCATGGTTCCTTCCTGCCATGATGGACCTGGATGAACTCTGAAGTCTTCTCCAACCCAAACCGTTCCACGATTCCACCTGACCATGGCCACAACTGGATGACCCTCAAAGTCTTCTGCAACCCACAACATTCCATGAGTCCATCCTACCATGATGGACCTGAATGAACTCTGAAGTCTCTTCCTCCAACCCAAACCACTCCATGATTCCATCCTGCCATGATGGACCTGAATGAGCTCTGAAGTCTTCTCCAACCCAAACCATTCCACGATTCCATCCTGCCATGACTGGTAGTGGAGGAGCTCTGAAGTCTTCTCCAACCCAAACCATTCCGTGATTCCACCCTGCCGTGATGGACCTGGATGAGCTCTAACACCTCTTCCAACCCAAACCATTCCATGATTCCACCCTGCCTTGATGGACCTGGATGAGCTCTGAAGTCTCTTCTCCAACCCAAACCATCCACGATTCCACCTGACCATGACCACAACTGGATAGCCCTTAAAGTCCCCTCCAACCCAAACCATTCCATGATTCCACCCTGCCTTGATGGACCTGGATGAACTCTAAAGTCTTCTTCCAACCCAAACCTTTCAATTATTCCATCCTGCCTTGATGGACCTGGATGAGCTCTGAAGTCTTCTCCAACCCAAACCATCCACGATTCCACCTGACCATGGCCACAACTGGATGACCCTTAAATTCCCCTCCAACCCAAACCATTCCACAACTCCACCCGGCCACGATTGGTCATTCCAGTGGTGGACCACCCCCACCCCAAGACCAACCCCACCACCCGAAGCCCCCCTGGAGCCCCTGACCTGGATCCGGACGAATCGGGGCGCGGCGTAGGGGGGCAGCGTGTCCTCGGTGAAGGCGTAGAGTTCGTCACCATCGAAGGTGGCCCCGTCCTTGAGGCGCACGGCGGCCATGCCACAGCGGCCCTCGCACCCTGCCAACGTCACCGGGGTCACCTGGGGCCACCTCATCTCCCTGGGGTCTTCTTGAGGCCCCCTGGGGTGGGGTGGGGGTGGCCAAACGCGTTTTGGGTGGGTCTGTCCCGGTTTTGGCACCACGGAGCTGCTGGGATGGGGGTGGAGGTGCACCACGTGCTCATTTTGGGTGAACTTTCCCTGTTTTTGCCTTTTTTGTGGCCACATGGAGCCAACCCAGCATCTGACATCGCTTTGGGCAACCAAGTCCCGTTCTCACTTTTCTGGGGCATCCTTGGGCCGCTCTGGGGGTCTCAAAGAAACTCTGGATGTTAAAAGTCCCTTTTGGACCTTCTTGGTGGTGGCTCAGACCTGCTGGGGACGCGTCACCCGCCTCGAACACCCCCAGAGGTGGGTTTTGGTGGGACTCACCCGGCACGGCCACGCCGTAGACGTTGACCTCCTGGATGAAGCTCACCAAGCCCAGCGTGGCCTCCACCTCCGTCGTGGCCACGTTCTCCCCTTTCCAGCTGGGGAGGAGAAGCGACGGCGCCGTCAGTGAGGGATCAGGGCCGGCCCCGACCGCTCGGACACGCGCGGTTACCGGAAGGTGTCCCCGACGCGGTCCTGGAAGTAGATGAACTTCTCGCTGTCCATCATGAGGAGGTCGCCGCTGTTGAAGAAGGCGTCGCCTTTGACCAGGACGTCCCTCAGGATCTTCTTCTCGGTCTTCTGCGAGTCGCCGGCGTAGCCGTGGAACGGGGTGTTCTTGGTGATCTTTATCACCAGCAGCCCCGTCTCACCTTCGGGGAGGAAGAGGAGGATGGTTCAACCTCCTGCTTTGGTTTCTCCCAGGGGTTCCTGGTGGCTTCCAGAGGTCAGGGTGGTTTTGGTGCATCTCCATGGCCCGAGAAGGTCACGGCGAGGATGGAGCTCACCAGGTTTGGTGGGGATGCAGAGGCCCCGCCCGTCGCGCACCGGCTGCTCCTCCTCCACGTCGTAGCGGATGAGCTCGAAGGGAGCGAAGAGCTGTGGGAGAGGAGATCTGGGCTGAGGGACAGCCAGGAGAACTTCCTTCCCCTGGAAAATTCTGGAATTTTCTCTCCATGGAAATTGCCAGAGTTTCGTTTCCATGGAAAATTCTGGAATTTCCTTCCTGTGGATATTGCCAGAATTTCCTTCCCATGGAAATCGCCAGAATTTCCTTCCTGGGGAGATGTCCAGAGTTTCCTTCCCGTGGAAATTGCCAGAATTTCCTTCCTGGAGAAATGTCCAGAATTTCCTTCCCATGGAAATGTCCAGAATTTCCTTCCCAGGAAAATGTCCAGAATTTCCTTCCCGTGGAAATTGCCAGAATTTATTTCCCATGGAAACTTCTGGATTTCCTTCTTGTGGAAATTCCCAGAATTTCCTTCCTGGAGAAATGTCCAGAATTTCCTTCCTGGGGAAATGTCCAGAATTTCCTTCCTGTGGAAATATCCAGAATTTCCTTCCCATGGAAAATTCTGGAATTTCCTCCCCCGTGGAAATCTCCAGAGTTTCCTTCCCGTGGAAATTGCCAGAATTTCCTTCCTGGGGAAATGTCCAGAGTTTCCTTCCCATGGAAATGTCCAGAATTTCCTTCCTGAGGAAATATCCAGAGTTTCCTTCCCATGGAAAATTCTGGAATTTCCTCCCCATGGAAATTGCCAGAGTTTCCTTCCCATGGAAAATTCTGGATTTCCTTCTCGTGGAAAATTCTGGAATTTCCTTCCTGTGGAAATTGCCAGAATTTATTTCCCATGGAAAATTCTGAAATTTCCTCCCTGTGGAAATTGCCAGAGTTTCCTTCCCATGGAAAATTCTGGAATTTCCTCCCCGTGGAAATTGCCAGAGTTTCCTTCCCATGGAAAATTCTGGAATTTCCTTCCTGTGGAAATTGCCAGAATTTCCTTCCTGTGGAAATATCCAGAGTTTCCTTCCCATGGAAAATTCTGCAATTTCCTTCCCCTGGAAAATTCTGGAATTTCCTTCCTGTGGAAATTGCCAGAATTTCCTTCCTGGAGAAATGTCCAGAATTTCCTTCCCATGGAAATATCCAGAATTTCCTTCCCGTGGAAATTGCCAGAGTTTCCTTCCCATGGAAAATTCTGGAATTTCCTTCCCGTGGAAATTGCCAGAGTTTCCTTCCCATGGAAAATTCTGGAATTTCCTTCCCATGGAAATTGCCAGAGTTTCGTTTCCATGGAAAATTCTGGAATTTCCTTCCCCATGGAAATTGCCAGAATTTCCTTCCTGGAGAAATGTCCAGAATTTCCTTCCCGTGGAAATTGCCAGAGTTTCCTTCCCATGGAAAATTCTGGAATTTCCTCCCCGTGGAAATTGCCAGAGGTTCCTTCCCATGGAAAATTCTGGAATTTCCTTCCCGTGGAAATTGCCAGAGTTTCCTTCCTGTGGAAATTGCCAGAATTTCCTTCCCGTGGAAAATTCTGGAATTTCCTTCCTGTGGAAATTGCCAGAGTTTCCTTCCCATGGAAAATTCTGGAATTTCCTTCCCATGGAAATTGCCAGAATTTCCTTCCTGGAGAAATGTCCAGAATTTCCTTCCAGTGGAAATTGCCAGAATTTATTTTCCATGGAAAATTCTGGAATTTCCTTCCCGTGGATATTGCCAGAGTTTCCTTCCCATGGAAAATTCTGGAATTTCCTTCCCGTGGAAATTGCCAGAGTTTCCTTCCTGTGGAAATTGCCAGAGTTTCCTTCCCATGGAAAATTCTGGAATTTCCTCCCCGTGGAAATTGCCAGAGTTTCCTTCCCATGGAAAATTCTGGAATTTCCTCCCTGTGGAAATTGCCAGAATTTCCTTCCCGTGGAAATTGCCAGAGTTTCGTTTCCATGGAAAATTCTGGAATTTCCTTCCTGTGGAAATTGCCAGAATTTCCTCCCTGTGGAAATATCCAGAATTTCCTTCCTGTGGAAATTGCCAGAGTTTCCTTCCCATGGAAAATTCTGGAATTTCCTCCCCGTGGAAATTGCCAGAGTTTCCTTCCCATGGAAAATTCTGGAATTTCCTTCCCATGGAAAATTCTGGAATTTACTCCCCGTGGAAATTGCCAGAGTTTAGTTTCCATGGAAAATTCTGGAATTTCCTTCCCGTGGAAATGTCCAGAATTTCCTTCCCATGGAAAATTCTGGAATTTCCTTCCCGTGGAAATTGCCAGAGTTTCCTTCCCATGGAAAATTCTGGAATTTCCTCCCTGTGGAAATTGCCAGAATTTCCTTCCTGGAGAAATGTCCAGAATTTCCTCCCCATGGAAATGTCCAGAATTTCCTTCCCATGGAAAATTCTGGAATTTCCTTCCCGTGGAAATGTCCAGAATTTCCTTCCCATGGAAAATTCTGGAATTTCCTCCCCGTGGAAATTGCCAGAGTTTCCTTTCCATGGAAAATTCTGGAATTTCCTCCCCGTGGAAATTGCCAGAGTTTCCTTCCCATGGAAAATTCTGGAATTTCCTCCCCATGGATATTGCCAGAGTTTCCTTCCCCTGGAAAATTCTGGAATTTCCTTCCTGGAGAAATGTCCAGAATTTCCTTCCTGGAGAAATGTCCAGAATTTCCTTCCCATGGAAATTGCCAGAGTTTCCTTCCCATGGAAAATTCTGGAATTTCCTCCCCGTGGATATTGCCAGAGTTTCCTTCCCATGGAAAATTCTGGAATTTCCTCCCCGTGGATATTGCCAGAGTTTCCTTCCCATGGAAAATTCTGGAATTTCCTTCCTGTGGATATTGCCAGAGTTTCCTTCCTGTGGAAATTGCCAGAGTTTCCTTCCCATGGAAAATTCTGGAATTTCCTCCCCGTGGAAATTGCCAGAGTTTCCTTCCCATGGAAAATTCTGGAATTTCCTCCCTGTGGAAATTGCCAGAATTTCCTTCCCGTGGAAATTGCCAGAGTTTCGTTTCCATGGAAAATTCTGGAATTTCCTTCCTGTGGAAATTGCCAGAATTTCCTCCCTGTGGAAATATCCAGAATTTCCTTCCTGTGCAAATTGCCAGAGTTTCCTTCCCATGGAAAATTCTGGAATTTCCTCCCCGTGGAAATTGCCAGAGTTTCCTTCCCATGGAAAATTCTGGAATTTCCTTCCCATGGAAAATTCTGGAATTTACTCCCCGTGGAAATTGCCAGAGTTTAGTTTCCATGGAAAATTCTGGAATTTCCTTCCCGTGGAAATGTCCAGAATTTCCTTCCCATGGAAAATTCTGGAATTTCCTTCCCGTGGAAATTGCCAGAGTTTCCTTCCCATGGAAAATTCTGGAATTTCCTCCCTGTGGAAATTGCCAGAATTTCCTTCCTGGAGAAATGTCCAGAATTTCCTCCCCATGGAAATGTCCAGAATTTCCTTCCCATGGAAAATTCTGGAATTTCCTTCCCGTGGAAATGTCCAGAATTTCCTTCCCATGGAAAATTCTGGAATTTCCTCCCCGTGGAAATTGCCAGAGTTTCCTTCTCATGGAAAATTCTGGAATTTCCTCCCCGTGGAAATTGCCAGAGTTTCCTTTCCATGGAAAATTCTGGAATTTCCTCCCCGTGGAAATTGCCAGAGTTTCCTTCCCATGGAAAATTCTGGAATTTCCTCCCCATGGATATTGCCAGAGTTTCCTTCCCCTGGAAAATTCTGGAATTTCCTTCCTGGAGAAATGTCCAGAATTTCCTTCCTGGAGAAATGTCCAGAATTTCCTTCCCATGGAAATTGCCAGAGTTTCCTTCCCATGGAAAATTCTGGAATTTCCTCCCCGTGGAAATTGCCAGAGTTTCCTTCCCATGGAAAATTCTGGAATTTCCTTCCTGTGGAAATTGCCAGAGTTTCCTTCCCATGGAAAATTCTGGAATTTCCTCCCCTGGAAATTGCCAGAGTTTCGTTCCCATGGAAATGTCCAGAATTTCCTTCCCGTGGAAATTGCCAGAATTTCCTTCCTGGAGAAATGTCCAGAATTTCCTTCCTGTGGAAATATCCAGAGTTTCCTTCCCATGGAAAATTCTGGAATTTCGTTCCCGTGGAAATTGCCAGAATTTCCTTCCTGAGGAAATGTCCAGAATTTCCTTCCTGTGGAAATATCCAGAATTTCCTTCCTGGAGAAATGTCCAGAATTTCCTTCCTGTGGAAATCACCAGAATTTATTTCCTGTGGAACCTTCTGGATTTCCTTCTTGTGGAAACTCCCAGAATTTCCTTCCCATGGAAAATTCTGGAATTTCCTTCCTGTGGAAATTGCCATAGTTTCGTTTCCATGGAAAATTCTGGAATTTCCTTCCTGTGGAAATTGCCAGAGTTTCCTTCCTGGGGAAATGTCCAGAATTTCCTTCCTGTGGAAATTGCCAGAGTTTCCTTCCCATGGAAAATTCTGGAATTTCCTTCCTGTGGAAATTGCCAGAGTTTCGTTTCCATGGAAAATTCTGGAATTTCCTTCCTGTGGAAATTGCCAGAATTTATTTCCCGTGGAAACTTCTGGATTTCCTTCTTGTGGAAATTGCCAGAATTTCCTTCCTGTAGAAATGTCCAGAATTTCCTTCCTGTGGAAATTGCCAGAGTTTCCTTCCCATGGAAAATTCTGGAATTTCCTTCCCGTGGAAATTACCAGAATTTCCTTCGCATGGAAATGTCCGGAATTTCCTTCCCCTGGAAATTGCCAGAATTTATTTCCCGTGGAAAATTCTGGAATTTCCTTCCTGTGGATATTGCCATAGTTTCCTTCCTGGGGAAATGTCCAGAATTTCCTCCCCGTGGAAATTGCCAGAGTTTCCTTCCCATGGAAAATTCTGGAATTTCCTTCCTGTGGAAATTGCCAGAATTTCCTTCCTGGAGAAATGTCCAGAATTTCCTTCTTGTGGAAATGTCCAGAATTTCCTTTCCTTTCCTGATTTTTGCTCCAAAATCTGATTTTTGCACCTTCTGCTCCGTCCCAGCTTTTGCTCAAAAATCTGATTTTTGCATTTTTGCAAAAAAACTCAAAAACTACTTCAACCTCTCTTGACCAAAACCCAACTTGAGGAGCCCCTCAAGACACCAACGTCACCGTGGTCCATCCCACGTCCTCACCTTGATGAAGCGGTTGGCCCTGCCCACGGCGCCGACCTTGCCGGTGTAGTTGATGAATCCGGCGTTGCCCTCGGTGGCGCCGTAGAACTCCCAGATGGTGACGGGCCCGAAGCGCCGCAGGAACTCCTTCCACACCTCGGCCCTCAGCCCGTTGCCCAGGGCCATGCGCACGCCGTGCTCCCGGTCATCGGCGCGCTGGTGGGACATGGGGATGGGGCCACCTCCAGGTGTGGACGGGGCGTGGCTGAGTCCTCGGGTGGGTGGTGGGAAGGTGGGACCTCACCTGGGGCGTGTTGCACAGGTAGCGCATCAGCTCGCCCACGTATTGGATGACGGAGACGTTGTAGCGCCGGCAGTCGGGCCAGAACTGAGAGGCCGAGAACTTGGACCGCAGGACGCAGGTGGCACCTGGGGACACAGCACGGGGATGGTGACACCAACACTTTGGTCTTCTGTCTTTGTTTGCAGCTCTCCATTTGTCCATCATCCATCCATCCATCCATCCATCATCCATCCATCCATCCATCCATCCATCCACCATCCATCATCCATCATCCATCCATCCATCCATCCATCCATCATCCATCATCCATCCATCATCCATCCATCCATCATCCATCCATCCATCATCCATCCATCCATCCATCCATCATCCATCCATCCATCATCCATCCATCCATCCATCCATCCATCCATCCATCATCCATCATCCATCATCCATCCATCATCCATCCATCATCCATCCATCATCCATCCATCCATCCATCCATCCACCCATCATCCACCCATCATCCATCATCCATCCATCCATCATCCATCATCCATCCATCCATCATCCATCCATCATCCATCCATCATCCATCCATCATCCATCATCCATCCATCATCCATCATCCATCCATCCATCCATCCATCCATCATCCATCATCCATCCATCCATCCATCCATCCATCATCCATCATCCTCCATCCATCATCCATCCATCCATCCATCATCCATCCATCATCCATCCATCCATCAATCCATCCATCCATCCATCATCCATCCATCATCCATCATCCATCCATCCATCCATCCATCCATCCATCCATCCATCCATCATCCATCATCCATCCATCCATCCATCCATCATCCATCATCCATCATCCATCATCCATCCATCATCCATCATCCATCCATCATCCATCATCCATCCATCCATCATCCATCCATCATCCATCCATCATCCATCCATCATCCATCCATCATCCATCATCCATCCATCATCCATCCATCATCCATCCATCATCCATCCATCATCCATCCATCATCCATCCATCATCCATCCATCCATCCATCCATCATCCATCCATCATCCATCCATCATCCATCATCCATCCATCCATCCATCCATCATCCATCCATCATCCATCCATCATCCATCCATCCATCATCCATCCATCCATCATCCATCCATCATCCATCCATCCATCCATCATCCATCCATCATCCATCATCCATCCATCATCCATCCATCATCCATCCATCCATCATCCATCCATCATCCATCCATCCATCCATCATCCATCCATCATCCATCATCCATCCATCCATCATCCATCCATCCATCCATCATCCATCATCCATCCATCCATCATCCATCCATCCATCATCCATCATCCATCCATCATCCATCCATCCATCCATCATCCATCCATCATCCATCATCCATCCATCCATCCATCCATCATCCATCATCCATCCATCCTTCCATCCATCATCCATCCATCCATCCATCCATCCATCATCCATCCATCCATCATCCATCCATCCATCCATCATCCATCCATCCATCCATCCATCCATCCATCCATCATCCATCATCCATCCATCATCCATCCATCATCCATCCATCATCCATCCATCATCCATCATCCATCCATCCATCATCCATCCATCCATCCATCATCCATCCATCATCCATCCATCATCCATCCATCATCCATCATCCATCATCCATCCATCATCCATCCATCCATCCATCCATCATCCATCATCCATCCATCCTTCCATCCATCATCCATCCATCCATCCATCATCCATCATCCATCCATCCATCATCCATCCATCCATCCATCATCCATCCATCCATCCATCCATCCATCCATCCATCATCCATCATCCATCCATCATCCATCCATCATCCATCCATCATCCATCCATCATCCATCATCCATCCATCCATCATCCATCCATCCATCCATCATCCATCCATCCATCCATCCATCCATCATCCATCCATCATCCATCCATCATCCATCATCCATCCATCCTTCCATCCATCATCCATCCATCCATCCATCCATCCATCATCCATCCATCATCCATCCATTCATCCATCATCCATCCATCCATCCATCATCCATCATCCATCCATCATCCATCATCCATCATCCATCATCCATCCATCATCCATCCATCCATCCACCATCCATCATCCATCCATCATCCATCATCCATCCATCCATCCATCATCCATCCATCATCCATCCATCCATCCATCCATCCATCCATCCATCCATCCATCCATCCATCCATCCATCATCCATCCATCATCCATCCATCATCCATCCATCCATCCATCATCCATCCATCCATCATCCATCCATCATCCATCCATCCATCCATCCATCATCCATCCATCATCCATCCATCATCCATCATCCATCATCCATCCATCATCCATCCATCCATCCATCCATCATCCATCCATCCATCCATCCATCATCCATCCATCCATCCATCATCCATCATCCATCCATCATCCATCCATCCATCCATCCATCCATCCATCCATCCATCATCCATCCATCCATCATCTATCCATCCATCATCCATCATCCATCCATCCATCATCCATCATCCATCATCCATCCATCCATCATCCATCCATCCATCCATCCATCCATCCATCCATCCATCCATCCATCCATCCATCCATCATCCATCCATCCATCATCCATCATCCATCCATCATCCATCCATCCATCATCCATCCATCCATCCATCATCCATCCATCCATCCATCATCCATCCATCCATCATCCATCCATCCATCATCCATCATCCATCCATCCATCCATCCATCCATCCATCCATCCATCCATCCATCATCCATCCATCCATCCATCCATCCATCCATCATCCATCCATCCATCCATCCATCCATCCATCCATCCATCCATCTATCATCCATCCATCCATCCATCCATCCATCATCCATCATCCATCCATCATCCATCATCCATCCATCCATCCATCATCCATCCATCCATCATCTATCCATCCATCATCCATCATCCATCATCCATCCATCCATCCATCCATCCATCCATCCATCCATCCATCCATCCATCATCCATCATCCATCCATCCATCATCTATCCATCCATCCATCCATCCATCCATCTATCATCCATCCATCATCCATCATCCATCATCCATCATCCATCCATCATCTCCACGTTCTCCGTGTCCGTACCGACGTCCAGGCAGCCGCCGAGCCCCACCAGCAGCCCGGCCGAGTGGTAGAGCGGCAGCGCGGTGTAGACGACATCGTCGGGCCTCAGGCCGCAGACCCGGCCCAGGCTGGCCACCATCATCAGCTTCAGCTCCGTGATCACCGCGGCCTTGGGCAGCCCTGCGGGACAGCGACGGGTGGGACGGGGCTGGGAGAGGACCCCGGGACCCCCGGACACTGCCCATGTGTGGGCACACCCAGCACACACCTGGCCCAGGTGGACCCACCATGGTCAGGGATGGAGGAACACCACCAAGACCCCTCCAAGCTGCTCATGTGTGGGCACACACCTGGCCCAGGTGGACCCACCATGGTCATGACTTGAGGAACACCCCCAAGACCCCTGGACACTGCCCATGTGTGGGCACACACCTGGCCCAGGTGGTCCCACCATGGTCAGCCCCCCTGGACCTGCCCGTCCCACCCCGCCCGGTGTCCCGGCTCACCGGTGGTGCCGGAGGTGTAGATGTACAAGGCCCGGGAGTCTCCGGTGACGCCGGCGCGCAGCTCGGCGGGCGGTGGCTCGGCAGGTGCCACCTCGATGGTGGGCAGCAGCGCCTCCACGCCCGCCGTGGGCGACGCCGCGCTCAGGTAGAACACCTCCACGCCGTCCCGCCGCAGGTGGGGCAGGACCTCCTCCACCGCCTCGCGCAGCTCTGCGGGGACAGAGGGACATGGCAGGTGACACCGCGTGGGCACCTGGGCAGGTGGGCACCGCTGACGTCACCTGCCCAGGTGGGCACTCCAGGTACCCCCAAGTGGGCACCTGGCCAGGTGGGCACCGCTGATGTCACCTGCCCAGGTGGGCACCCCAAAGTTCCTCCAATGGGCACCTGGCCAGGTGGGCACCACTGATGTCACCTGCCCAGGTGCCCACTTGGAGGAACTTTGGGGTGCCCACCTGGGACCATTGGACCCTCATCCTTGGCTCCAGGTGTGCCCACCTGGCCAGGTGCCCACTTGGAGGAACTTTGGGGTGTCCACCTGGGGACTTTGGCCCCACCACCCATTCCAGGTGTGCCCACCTGGCCAGGTGCCCACTCAGAAGAACTTTGGGGTGCCCACCTGTGACTCTTGGACCCCCATCCATGATTCCAGGTGGGCACACCTGGAGCCAAGGATGAGGGTCCAAGGGTCCCAGGTGGGCACCTCAAGGTACCCCCAAATGGGCACCTGGCCAGGTGGGCACACCTGGAATCATGGATGGGGGTCCAAGAGTCACAGGTGGGCACCCCAGGTACCCCCAAATGGGCACCTGGCCAGGTGGGCACCGCTGACGTCACCTGCCCAGGTGGGCACTGCAGGTACCCCCAAGTGAGCACCTGGCCAGGTGGGCACACCTGGAATCATGGATGGGGGTCCGAGAGTCACAGGTGGGCACACCAAAGTTCCTCCGAGTGGGCACCTGGTCAGGTGGGCACCCCCAGAATGGGTGGCGGGGCCAAGGTCCCCAGGTGGGCACCCCAAAGTTCCCCCAAGTGGTCACCTGGCCAGGTGGGCACACCTGGAATCATGGATGGGGGTCCAAAGGTCCCACGTGGGCACCTCAAGGTAGCCCCAAATGGACACCTGGCCAGGTGGGCACCGCTGACATCGCAAAGGTGCACCCCAGGTGGGCACTCCAGGTACCTCCAAATGGGCACCTGGCCAGGTGGGCACCCCCAGAATTGGTGGCGGGGCCAAGGTCCCCAGGTGGGCACCCCAAAGTTCCTCCAAGTGGGCACCTGGCCAGGTGGGCACACCTGGAGCCAAGGATGGGGGTCCAAGGGTCCCAGGTGGGCACCCCAAAGTTCTTCTGAGTGGGCACCTGGCCAGGTGGGCACCCCCAGAATTGGTGGCGGGGCCAAAGTCTCCAGGTGGACACCCCTAAGTTCCTCCAAATGGGCACCTGGCCAGGTGGGCACCCCCAGAATGGGTGGCAGGGCCAAGGTCCTCAGGTGGACACCCCAAAGTTCTTCCGAGTGGGCACCTGGCCAGGTGGGCACACCTGGAATCATGGATGAGGGTCCAAGAGTCACAGGTGGACACCCCAAAGTTCCTCCAAGTGGGCACCTGGCCAGGTGGGCACCCCCAGAATGGGTGGCGGGGCCAAGGTCCCCAGGTGGGATCACCCCGAATGGAGCCCCGATCCCCTGGGGGCACCCAGGGGTGACACAGACAGGGACGGGGACACACAGGGACACACAGGGACACACAGGGACACAGACAGGGACACCCAGGGGTGACACAGACAGGGACAGGGACACACTGTGACACAGACAGGGACACACACAGGGACACCCAGGGGTGACACACGGTGACACACACAGGGACAGTGACACACCCAGGGACACAGACAGGGACAATGACACGCACAGTGACACACACAGTGACACACCCAGCGACAATGCACACACCGGGACAGGGACACACCCAGGGACAGGGACCGCACCCAGGGACAGTGACACGCAGTGACACGCACAGTGACACACCCAGCGACAATGGCACACCCAGGAACACAGAGGGACACACGTATTGACTGACACGCACAGAGACAGACAGGGACACACAGAGGGACACACACAGGGACAGGGACATGCAGTGACAGTGACACACAGGGACAGTGACACGCAGTGACACACACAGTGACACACCCAGGGACAATGGCACACACAGGGACACCCAGGGACACACGCAGTGACAGTGACACACACACAGGGACACAGGGACAGCCACGTCCAGGCTGTGACACACACACAGGGAGAGGGACAGTGACACACAGGGACACACAGGGACAGGGACACACCCAGGGACACAGACAGGGACACAGAGGGACACAGACAGGGACAGTGACACACAGTGACACACAGGGACACAGACAGGGACAGTGACACACAGTGACACACAGGGACACAGACAGGGACACAGTGACACACACGAAGGGACAGTGACACATGTGCAAACCCCCCCCACCCCACTTGCACTCACAGTGACTGGCCACACTACGGTGGCCTTGGTGGCACCAAACCCCCCAAACACCACATTGTCCCCTCTCATGGTGACCTTGGTGGCCACAAACCCCCCAAAACACCACATTGTCCCCTCTCATGGTGACCTTGGTGACACCAAACCCCCCAAACACCACATTGTCCCCTCTCATGGTGGCCTTGGTGGCACCAAACCCCCCAAACACCACATTGTCCCTCTCATGGTGACCTTGGTGGCACCAAACCCCCCAGGTGACACATTGTCCCCTCTCATGGTGACTGGCCAACACCACGGTGGCCTTGGTGGCACCAAACCCCCCAGAACATCACATTGTCCCCTCTCATGGTGACCTTGGTGACACCAAACACCACATTGTCCCCTCTCACCGTGACCTTGGTGGCACCAAACCCCCCAAACACCACATTGTCCCCTCTCACAGTGACCTTGGTGACACCAAGCCCCACATTGTCCCTCTCACCAGGACTGGCCAACACCGCGGTGGCCTTGGTGGCACCAAACCCCCCAAACCCCACATTGTCCCCTCTCACAGTGACCTTGGTGGCACCAAACCCCCCAAACACCACATTGTCCCCTCTCACAGTGACTTTGGTGGCCACAAACCCCCAGAACACCACATTGTCCCCTCTCATGGTGACCTTGGTGGCACCAAACCCCCCAGACACCACATTGTCCCTCTCACAGTGACCTTGGTGACACCAAACCCCACATTGTCCCTCTCATGGTGACCTTGGTGACACCAAACCCCTCAAACACCACATTGTCCCTTTCACAGTGACCTTGGTGGCACCAAACCCCCCAGAACACCACATTGTCCCCTCTCATGGTGACTGACCACACCACGGTGGCCTTGGTGACACCAAACCCCCCCAGAACACCACATTGTCCCCTCTCATGGTGACTGGCCACACCACGGTGGCCTTGGTGGCACCAAACCCCCCAAACACCACATTGTCCCCTCTCATGGTGACTGACCAACACCATGGTGACCTTGGTGGCACCAAACCCCACATTGTCCCTCTCACCAGGACTGGCCAGCACCGCGGTGGCCTCGGCCGCCTCCAGCGCGTGCCGCAGCGCCCGTCCCCGGACGTTGCAGTTGAGACAAGCCATGGGACAACCCAACTTGGCCAACGCCAACCACGTCCAGAGGTATTCGGGCACGTTGGGCAGGAACACGGCGACGGTGCGGCCGCGCCGCAGCCCCAGCCGCCGCCGCAGCGCCCAGGCCGCGCGGTTGCTGCGCCGCTCGATGTCCTCGAAGGTGTAGATCTGCTCCTGGAAGATCAGCAGCGGTTGTTGTGGCCGGAGCCGCACGTGGCGCCGGAACACGTCCAGCAGAGTGACCGGCGGCCGGGCGGCCAAACGCCGGCGGCAGCGCAGCGATGACCGGGTCATGGTGGTGAAGAACATCAGGTCCTGCCAGAAGAACGGCACCGACCACGCCGTGACCACCAGCAGCAGCAGCAGGGCCACAGAGGCCAGCAGAGCCACCGGCAGCGCCATGGACATCGGTGTGGCACAGCCGGTGGCCAAGGTCCGCCCGGTGACCTTTGGGCCGTCCGGAGTTCGCCGCGCCGGCGGTTCCGCGCTTTGTTTGCTCTCCTCGCTCCGGGTGACGATTGTTGCTCCCGGCGCTGAGGGAGCGGCTCAGCGGGCGGCGGCTGCCACGGGCCGGTGGTTCTGCAGGGCCTGGCTGCACGGATGGCTGGCTGTCCATCTGTCTGTCTGGCTGTCCCGCTGTCCGGCTGTCCGTCTGTCTGGCTGTCCGGCTGACCCACTGTCCCGCTGTCCAGCTGTCCATCTGTCCAGCTGTCCGGCTGTCCTGCTGTCTGGCTGTCTGTCTGTCTGGCTGTCTGTCTGTCTGGCAGGCTGTCTCTCTGGCTGTCTGGCTGTCCGGCTGTCCTGCTGTCCAACTGTCTGGCTGTCTGGCTGTCCAGGTGTCCAGCTGTCCGGCTGTCCATCTGTCCAGATTCTGCCACCCTGGATGTCCGTCTGTCCATCCCTTCAGCCTCTCCCACCCTGCCTGTCCGTCTGTCCCACTGTCCGGCTGTCCCACTGTCCCACTGTCTGGCTGTCCAGCAGGCTGGCTGTCCGGCTGTCCCACTGTCTGTCTGTCCGGTTGTCCGGCTGTCCGGCTGTCCGCCTGTCCGGCTGTCCAGCAGGCTGGCTGTCCGGCTGTCCCACTGTCTGGCTGTCCGGCTGTCCGGCTGTCCAGATTCTGCCACCCTGGATGTCTGTCTGTCCATCCCTTCAGCCTCTCCTACCCTGGCTGTCCATCTATCTGGCTGTCTGGCTGTCCCACTGTCCGGCTGTCCCACTGTCTGTCTGTCCCACTGTCCAGCTGTCTGGCTGTCCTGCTGTCTGTCTGTCTGTCCGGCTGTTCGGCTGTCCAGCTGTCACACTGTCCGGTTGTCCCACTGTCTGTCTGTCCGGCTGTCCGGCTGTCCAGCTGTCCGGCTGTCCAGATTCTGCCACCCTGCCTGTCCATCTGTCCATCCCTTCAGCCCCTCCTACCCTGGCTGTCCGGCTGTCTGGCTGTCCGGCTGTCCCACTGTCTGGCAGGCTGTCTGTCTGGGTGTCCAGCTGTCCGGCTGTCCGTCTGTCTGGCTGTCCAGATTCTGCCACCCTGCCTGTCCGTCTGTCCATCCCTTCAGCCTCTCCTACCCTGCCTGTCCGTTTGTCCAGCTGTCCGGTCTCTGTCCGGCCATCCACCCTCTCCCATCATGTCTGTCTGTCCGTCTGCCTGACCTCTGCCAGCCCGGCTGCCGGTCTGGGACACCTCGGGGACACCCCGGGGACACCCTGGGGATGCCTCAGGGACTCCCTGGGGACACCTCAGGAACACCTGGGGGACACCCCCGGAGCAGGGACACCCCGGGGACACCCTGGGGACACCTCAGGGACACCCCGGGGACACCCCCGGAGCAGGGACACCCCGGGGACACCCTGGGGACACCTCAGGGACACCCCGGGGACACCCCCGGAGCAGGGACACCCCGGGGACACCCTGGGGACACCTCAGGGACACCCCGGGGACACCCCCGGAGCAGGGACACCCCGGGGACACCCCAGAAACACCCCGGGGACGCCTCAGGGACACCTGTGGGACACTTTGGGGACACCCCGGGGACACCCTCGGAGCAGGGACACCTCGGGGACACCTCGGGGACACCCTGGGGACACCCCCGAAACAGGGACACCCCAGAGACACCCCGGGGACACCCTGGGGATGCCTCAGGGACACCCTGGGGACACCTCCGAAACAGGGACACCCCGGGGACACCTCGGGGACACCTCGGGGACACCCCGGGGACACCCCAAGACGGGGGCTCGGCGCTGCCCCAAAAGGAGGCGCAGGTCCCACCGAGACTCGAACTCGGATCGCTGGATTCAGAGTCCAGAGTGCTCACCATTACACCATGGGACCGCTCCGCGCCGCCCCGCGCCGCTCCCTCCGCCACAGAAAAGAGACCCCGCGCCGCCCCCGCCCTGCGCGCCCCCGAGGCGCTGGAAATGGGGCAAAAGGGGGGGAAAACGGTTAAAAAATGGGGGGAAATGGTTAAAAAATGAGGGGAAAGGGGAAAAAGGGGATAAAAAGAGGAAAAGGAGACACGCCCGAACAGGGACTTGAACCCTGGACCCTCAGATTAAAAGTCTGATGCTCTACCGACTGAGCTATCCGGGCTCTGCCCGCGGCCGGGGACGCGGCGGGACTGGGGGAAATGCCGGGGATTTGGGGACAATCCCGAGGATTTGGGGGAAATCCCGGGGATTTGAGGAAAGCCCGGGGATTTGGGGAAATCCCGAGGATTTGGGGACAATCCCGAGGATTTGGGGGAAATCATGAGGATTTGGGGGAAATCCCGAGGATTGGGGAAAATCGAGTGGTTATGGGGAAAATCGAGTGGTTATGGGGAAATCAAGTGGTTATGGGGGGAAATCCAGTAGTTATGAGGAAAACCCCAAGGATTTGGGAGAAAATCGAGTGGTTATGGGGAAAATCCAGTGGTTATGGGGAAAAACCTCACGGTTTTGGGGAGAAACTTCGTGATTTTCGGGGGGAAATTGAGGATTTGGGAGAAAATCGAGTGGTTATGGGGGAAATCGAGCAGTTTGGGGGGTAAAACCCCGAGGATTTGGGGAAAATCGAGTGGTTATGGGGAAAATCGAGTGGTTATGGGGAAAATCGAGTGGTTATGGGGAAAATCCAGTGGTTATGGGGAAAAACCGAGCGGTTTTGGGGAGAAACTTCGTGATTTTCGGGGAAAATGGAGGATTTGGGGGGAAAATCGAGAGGTTATGGGGGGAAATCGTGCGGTTATGGGGTGAAAAGCTGAGGTTTTCGGGAGAAAACAGATTTTATTTTCAGAAAAAACACACGGTTGCAAGGAAAAACCCGAGGTTTTGGGGAGAAAAGTGAGGTTTTAGGGAAAAATCTAGCGGTTGTGGGGAAACCCCCGAGATTTTATGGAGAAACCCCAGGTTTTAAGGAAAAACCCGAGATTTTGGGGAAAACCCCGAGGTTTTAAGGAAAAATCCGAGGTTTTGGGGAAAAACCTGAGGTTTTCGGGGGTTTTAACTCGTTGGGGTTGAGGCAGGGAGGTTTACTCTAAAATAATAATATTATTTATATAATATTATTATTAATAATAAATATAATATTATTATTAATAATAAAAATAATATGATAATATAAATTATAATGATGACAATAATAGGAATTATCGGGAATAATGCAAATAAAATATAATATATAACAATGTAGCCATATAATGGCATATAAATCTACTATATTATTATTATTATTATTATTATTATTATTATTATTATTATTATTATTATTATTATTATTATTATTATTATTATTATTATTATTATTATTATATCCCCCACAAGGTGCACAGGCCCTTGCCAGAGGCCGCTCAGCACGGACTGATCACATTTCCCAACATTTTTACCCTCTTATTTCTCTTTTTTAACCTCCATTTTCCACCCTCTTTCCCCCTCATGTTTCCCATTTTCTTAATTCATGTTTTCAACCATTTTTTCCCCTCACATTTCCCATTTTTTGCCTCACCTTTCCTGCCTCTTTTCCCCTCATGTTTCACACCATTTCCCCCTCATATTTCCCATTTTTCTCACTTTTCCTGCCCTTTTCTCCTTCTGTTTTACACCTTTTCCCCCTCATATTTCCCGCTCTTTTCTCCCCTCACAATTCCCTCCATTTTCTCCCTCCCATTTCCACCATTTTTCCCTCTCACTTTTCCCACCCATTTTCCCCCTCACATTTCCCATTTTTTGCCTCACCTTTTCTGCTCTTTCCCCCTCATTTTTCACACCATTTCCCCCTCATATTTCCCATTTTTTTGCCTCACCTTTTCTGCCCATTTTCCCTTGTGATTCCCTCTCTTTTCTCCCCTCATATTTCCCTCCATTTTCTCCCCTCACGTTTCCCTTCATTTTCTCCCTCATGTTTATCTTAATTTTTTCCTCACCTTTCCCACTAATTTTTCCCTCATATTTCCCATTTTTTGCCTCACCTTTTCTACCATTTTCCCCCCTCACGTTTCCCTCCATTTTTTCCTCTCACTTTTCCCACCTTTTTTTCCCCTCACATTTCCCATTTTTTTCCTCACATTTTCTGCTCTTTTCCCCTCATTTTTCACACCTATTTCCCCCTCATATTTCCCATTTTTCTCACTTTTTCTGCCCTTTTCCCCTTCTGTTTTACATCTTTTCCCCCTCACATTTCCCGCTCTTTTCTCCCCTCATGTGTTCCACCCATTTTTAACTCTCACCTTTCCCACCCATTTTCCCCCTCACATTTCCAATTTTTTGCCTCAACTTTTCTATCCTTTTCCCCTCATTTTTCACACCATTTCCCCCTCATATTTCCCATTTTTTGCCTCACCTTTTCTGCCCATTTCTCCCCTCATATTTCCCTCCATTTTCTCCCCTCATATTTCCCTCCATTTTCTCCCCTCACGTTTCCCTTCATTTTCTCCCTCATGTTTATTTTAATTTTTTCCTCTCACTTTTCCCGCCCTTTTTCCCCCCTCACATTTCCCATTTTTTGCCTCAATTTTTCTGCTCTTTCCCCCTCATTTTTCACACCATTTCCCCCTCACATTTCCCATTTTTTGCCTCACCTTTTCTGCTCTTTCCCCCTCATTTTTCACACCATTTTCCCCTCATATTTCCCATTTTTTGCCTCACCTTTTCTGCCCATTTTCCCTTGTGATTCCCTCTCTTTTCTCCCCTCATATTTCCCTCCATTTTCTCCCCTCATATTTCCCTCCATTTTCTCCCCTCACGTTTCCCTTCATTTTCTCCCTCATGTTTATCTTCATTTTTTCCTCTCACCTTTCCGACCCATTTTCCCCTCATGTTTCCCATTTTTTGCCTCACCTTTTCTACCATTTTCCCCCCTCACGTTTCCCTCCATTTTTTCCTCTCACTTTTCCCACCGTTTTTCCCCTCACGTTTCCCATTTTTTGCCTCAATTTTTCTGCCCCTTTTCCCTCATGTTTCACATCGTTTCCCCCTCATATTTCCCATTTTTCTCACTTTTCCTGCCCTTT